GGGTGGGCTGGTCGGAAGCAGCCACTCGTCGCGTCGGACGGGCCGTGGATGGAACCACATGCGTGGTCGAGGCTGGCCAGCATGATGCTCGGGTCGGCGGCGCTGGTGCCGCCAGCGTGCGTTGTCGAGCGAGTGAGCGTCGCTGCGTAGTGAGCAGGCAGGCGTGCAGCACGGGGTCGTCGCCGAGGGTGCCGTTGGCCCGCATCCACACCCGCTGCGTGGGCGGCAGCGGGCCGCTGCGGTCGAGCGGGCTGTGTCAGTAGCGGATGTCAGAGCCTAGACACGCGGTCGGGACGGCCCGTCACGGGTGGCTGGGCCATTGCATGCTTTTGGTTAGTCGCGCGCTGCAGGCGTCTCGGGTCCGGCACCTCGGGCCTCGGCTCTCGAGATGGTCGAGTCCGCTCCTCGGCGACGTGAACGACGCGCCGCTGAGGTGGTAAGATGGCCGGCCGTGCTGGATGGCGACCACGCGGCGGGTGGTCGTGAACGACCGCCCGTCTCTTATCCGGTCGCGTCGTACAGCACCGGTGCCTTGGCGTCGCCGGCCCGCAGGAAGTAGGCGTGCAGGGAGTGCACCGTCTCGCGTCACCGTGCGGGCCGCGGGCCACCACGCGCATGCCGGCCACCTGACCGCCGAAGAGTGCGCTGGCGGTCGTCGGCGGGCGAGCGGCCCCGGAAGATGTTGACCTCGATGGCTCTCGAGGTCCAGGAGGGCCACCACATTGTCCAGCGCCGTCTGCATCGGCCCATGATGCCGTGGGCGAACGCCGACTGCGGGTACCTCCAAGACAGCGCGCTAGTCGGAGTAGCCGTCGAAGGTGAGCACCGCTAACGCTCGATGTCCACGCTCTGCAACGCCTGGTGGCCGAGCTGCGCTGAAGGCGCTGCGCTACTCGCCGTGTGTCGTGTGAACGTGACCGTCGACGTCACCGTGCTCGCGACCTGTCACGCCGTGCTCGGCTGGCTCGCGGTGATGAGCCACCTGCGCGCCTGGAGGTGGTCGCTCGTGCCTGCGTACTTGCTGAGCCGGGCCTGGGTGTGGCAGCGCAGCGGACCCCATCGCTGGGGCGGGGAGGTGCTGACGTTCTGGATCATCGCGCTGGTGGCCTCGTGCCGGTCGTCGCGTAACGTGGTGCGGTCGTCGAGCACTTCACGCGCGCGCACGCTGCCATCGTGGTGGCCGGCCACCTCGGCGCTACGGAACGGTGTGGGTGGCCAAGTACCTGTTCCTCGACCGGGTGATGTGGCCTCTGCTCTAGCGCAAAGCTGAGCAGGATGCGGTCGTTGCGACTGTGTCTGCCGATCCAGCGCTACCACTCACGCGATCTCCGATGATGACGAGCGTTGCGTCGCGTCCGCGAGCGGCCGCGGGCTTTCATGCCCGCGACGAGGCTGGCCCTCTACGAGGCTGCGGCGTCGCTCGATGTGGACGGCCGCTGCTGGAGGTGGGCAGCTACTGCGGCAAGTCGGCGGTCTGTACATCGCGCCGGCCGGAGGCGACCGGCGGGTGCTGTTCTGCGTGGACCACCACCGCGGCTCCGAGGAGAACCAGCCCGGCTGGGAGCACCACGACCGGAGGTGGTGGACTCCGAGTTGGGCGTGATCGACACGCTGCCGTTCTCCGCTCGACCGTCCGACGCCGCCGGGCTCGAGGACACGTCGTGGCCGTGGGTGGGCGACTCGCGCGGTGGGCGTCGCTGTGGGCCACTGCCGCTGGCTGGTCCTTCATCGACGGCGGCACGGCTGCCGAGCGGCCACCGCGACTACGAGGTGGTGCGCCCCATGGTGGCGCCGGAGGGCTTGCTGGCCATCCACGATGTGTCGAGTGTGGACCCCGCCGACGGCGGGCGTCCGCCCTACGAGATCTGGTGCGCCACTGGCCGACGGCTGCTTCCAGAGCGCCGCGGTCGGCTCAACTGCGAGTCCTGCAACGCACAGCGCTGCACCGACCGGACCGGTGAGGGGCGTCGCGTTGACGGCGTCCACCGGTCGGGCCAGCAGGATACGGCCTTTGTGCCTTTGGCCGCGGCCGTCGGCTCAGGCGCTCGCGATCCTCGTCGCGCTGCCGCGATGGCCGCCGGGTGCAGCGTCGGGCAGTTCGCCGCGGCCAATGGACCCACCGCCGTTGCGGGTCTCAGTGCGCCGACGACTGAGACGGTCGACTCGACAGTGCCCGCTCCGACATCGACGCGCGCGTCTCGCAGGACCCTCCACGACCTCACGGACCTCGACAGAAACGCTCCTCGACGACCTCGATCCGGCCGGAGGCGCCGCCACCACGCTCTCGGCGCGACCAGCGAGAGCTCTCAGGACGATGCGCCGAGCCGACGGGCATCGCTGGGATAGGACCTGGAGCCCTGACCGTTCAGATCGACGGCGATGCCGTGCGGCTGGAGGTAGCCGCGCCACCGTGTCATACGGCGGCGCCTCGGCCAACATCTTCACGCTGCAGAACCGTGTTGCCCAAGGCGATCTAGACGCAGACGGAGACCAGGACGTTGTTGCCCACATCGTCGAGCGCACGCGGGGACGTCCTTTCCATTCGTCGTGCCATGATCACGACGACGCAGTGGTGGCGCGCAGCCGTATGGGTGGGCGACCGAGTGGTCATGGACCGCATCTCGGTGCAGGACGGGCTGATCGAGGTGTCTCTGTTCGACCGGGCGCTGGACGAGCCCTTCACGATCATCTCCAGACACACGATGCTGGAGATCGACGTGTCGGCCGCGGCGCCGCGGGTCACGGTGATCAGCACCGAGCCCATCGAGGATCTGCCGCTGCCCGGCCCCGAGCGCCCCGAGCTGGCCGTCAGGTTCGATCCGGGAGCGGTGAGCGCTACCCAATCCGGGTCCATCGATTTCCGTGAGCGGCAGACCTACACGGTGCAGGCATCTGAGGGTCAGCCGTTCACTGCCACCCTCGACGCGCCCCTTGGCGTGTGGCTCGATGTCCGCCTCGACGATTCCGTGGTGACCTCGGCCGCGCAGCGGTCCCAGCTGGTGACGGCGGAACTCCCAGCCTCCGGTCCGTGGAAGGTGACCGTGGTCTCCTCGCACGCCGGCAGGTCGACTACGAGCTGACTATAGAGGTGCTCCCGTGGTCGAGGCCAGTCCCGCGCCCTCCACGACGGCGCCGATCGTGCGGCCGCCTCGACTGGTCACGCCTGACGACGAAGGCGCGGTCGTGTATCTGACCTTCGATGACGGCCCGCACCCCGTCTATACGCCGCAGGTTCTCGACGTGCTGGCCCGCTACGGCGCCCGGGCCACGTTCTTCGTGGTTGGCTCGCTGGCCCAGGCCTATCCGGACATCATCCAGCGCATCGCGGCGGAGGGTCATACCATCGCCAACCACACCTGGAACCATGAGGACCTTGCAGGACTGTCTCGGGCGGCCTTCGACGAGACGGTCGGCCGGACCCAGGCGATCCTGGCGGATCTCGCCACGCCGTGCCTGCGGCCACCGTACGGGTCGGTCGACGCCTTCACCAGGGAGTGGGCCTCTTCCCACGGCTGTCGCTGATGACGTGGGACGTCAGCCCTAAGGACTGGCTCCGCCCCCCGGCAGCAGAGATCGCTGACTCACATCGTGCGGTGGGCCAAGGCCGGGTTAGTCGTCCTGCTGCACGATGGGGGCGGCGACCGCTCCCGGACGGTCCAGGGCCTGGAAATGGCCCTGGAGCGGCTGCCGACCCGGGGCCTGCGCTACGAGCCGGTCTGCCGCTGACCTCTAGCGTCATCGGCTTGAGGCGGCCCGCGGGCAGTGTCCGCCGCGTGCTGGCCCCGTGCGCGGCGTGTATCATCGCACCTCCAGCCCTCCGTACTCGGTCGGCGGGGGACGCTATGCTCCGACGCGCCGACAGGCAGCGAAGCCGGTGAGAGCCCGGCACTGTCCCGCAGCGGTGATGCTCGACGGCTCCGGCCACCGAGACGAGTCCGATCGCCTGACTGCCGGCTCGACGATCCGACCCTCGAGGTAAGGGAAGGCTCGTGCGGTGGCACTCCCACTGCTCGGCCCCGAACTCGAGCAGAAGGGAGAACCAGATGACCACCACCGCAACCCGGCGGGCCTCACTGCGGGCCAAGCTCCTGCTGCCCGTGCTCGCCTTGACCCTCGCGGCGGCCGCCTGCAGCGGCACCCCAGACGACGGGCCGCCTGGCCTCGAGCGGATCGTGTCGATCTCGCCGACGGCACCGAGATGCTCTTCGCCATCGGCGCGGGCGACCGGGTGGTGGCCGTCGACCAGTTCTCGTACTACCCCGACGATGCCCCGGTCACCGACCTCGACGGCTGGAACCCCAATATCGAGGCCATCGCCTCATACGAGCCCGACCTGGTGGTGATGCAGACCGACGGCGACCTGATCGCCAGTCTCGAGGCGCTGGGGATCGAGGTGTGGGCCCACGACGCCCCTCTCGCCCTCGGACGACGTCTACGTCCAAATCGAGCAGCTTGGGGCGGTGACCGGCCAGACCGGCGAAGCGGCCGTGCTGATCGCCGACATGCGCGCCCGGATCGACGAGTCTGATCGCGGCCGCCCCGACGCGTCGGGGCTCAGCTACTACCACGAGCTCGACAACACCCTCTACACCGTCACCAGCACGACCTTCATCGGACAGGTGTACGCCTGTTCGGCCTCGCCAGTGTGGCCGACCCCGCCGACGCCGATGGCAGCGCCTGGGGCTACCCGCAGCTCAGCGACGAGTACCTGGTGGACGCCGACCCCGGACGTGATATTCCTGGCCGACACCCTGTTCTGCGGCCAGAACGCCCAGACCGTCGCGGCCCGAGCGGGCTGGGACCAGCTCACCGCGGTTCAGACCGGCCGGGTCGTCGAACTCGACGACGACATCGTCTCGCGCTGGGGTCCCCGCCTGGTGGACTTCATCGCGGCCATCTCCGATGTGCTGGTGTCCATCGCGGCTGGCGGCTAGACGGCCGGCGAGTCGGCGGGACTGGCCGTGACCGACCCGCAGCCCGCGGGCGCGGCCGACGTCGCCCTGCGAGCGTCGGGCTTGCGACCGGGCCCGCTGATAGCGGGCTTGGCCGCGGTCGTGGTTGCGGTGGTTGCCGGGTTGACCATCGGGCCGGTCGACATCGGCGCTCACCGGGTGGCGCTGCAGTTGCTCGACGGGCTGCCGGGGCTGTCGCTCGACTCCGGTCTGAGCGATACCCACTCCGCCATAGTGGAGCAGATCCGGCTGCCCCGAGTGGCTCTCGGACTGCTGGTGGGGGCCACCCTGTCGATGAGCGGGGCCGCTTACCAGGGCGCGTTCCGCAACCCGCTGGCCGACCCGTACCTGCTCGGGATCGCGGCCGGCGCCGGACTCGGAGCCACCATCGCCATCACCAGCAACCTCGGTGACGGCGCGGGCGCTCTGGACCCGGTGCCGCTGGCCGCCTTCGCGGGCGCGCTCATCTCGGTGGCGGTGTCTTATGTTGCCGGCCACGTCGGGGGCCGTTCGACCGCTTCGCTGATCCTGGCCGGCATCGCGGTGGCCAGCTTCCTGACTGCCTGCCAGACCTACGTGCTGCAGGCCAACAGCGACGCCTTCCGCCAGATCTTCGCCTGGATCCTGGGCCGCATCGCCACCTCGGGATGGTCCGAGCCGGCGCTGATGCTGCCGTACTTCGTGGTGACGACGCGGTGGTGCTGCGCTACCGCCGGGCCCGCTCGACGTGCTCGCCGTCGGCGACGAGGAGGCCGCCGCGCTCGGGTTGGAGCCCCGCCGGGTGCGCATGATCGTGGTGCTGGCCGCGTCGCTGGGCGCGGCCGCGGCGGTGTCGGTGAGCGGGCTCATCGGCTTCGTCGGAATCATCGTGCCCCACACCGTGCGGCTCGCGTTCGGTTCCAGCAACCGGGCCGTGCTGCCATTGTCGGTGCTGTTCGGCGGTGCGTTCATGGTGCTGGCCGACCTGGCCGCCCGCACCGTTCTGTCGCCGGCCGAGCTCCCCATAGGCGTGGTGACCGCGTTCCTGGGGGCGCCGTTCTTTGTGCTGGTGCTGCGCACCAGTCGCCGGGAGATCTGGTGACATCGCAGTGAGCGTGCGGTCATTGGAGGTGACCCTTGACGGCACCCAGGTGCTGCGCGGCGTCGACCTGGCCGCGTCGAAGGGGGAGTGGGTGAACATCATCGGCCCCAACGGCGCGGGCAAGACCACGCTGCTGCGAGCGCTGCTCGGCCTGGTGTCCTTCGACGGCGAGATCGACATAGACGGGCTCAGCGACCAGCGTCGCCGAGTCGCCCGGCTCGCATGCTTGCCTACGTCCCGCAGACGCCGGTCATCCCGCCCGGCATGCTGGTGGCCGACTACGTCCTGCTGTGGCGCACCCCGCATCGGGGCGTCTTTCGCGGCCGAGACCGCCACCGACCGAAGGGTCGCGGCGGAGGTTCTCGACCGCCTCGATCTCGGGGGGTTCGGCGACCGGTCCGTGCAGTCGCTGTCGGGCGGCGAGCGCCAGCGGGCCGTGCATGCCAGGCGGTTGGCCCAGCAGGCCGACGTGCTGCTCCTGGACGAGCCCACCACCGCCCTCGACCTCGGCCATCAGCAGGATGTGCTCGATCTGGTGGACGCGCTGCGCCGCGAGCGCGGTCTGACCGTGATCGACCACTGCACGACTCACGCTGGCGGCCCGCTACGGCGACCGCATCGCCATACTCGCTCGAGGGCGGGTCGCTGAGACCGGGCCGCCCGCGGAGGTGCTCACCGTGCGCAGAACATCGCGCATCTTTCGGAGCCAGGGCGTGCGGATCGTCGCCGACCCGAGGGCCACGTGATCGTGGCCCACGCCCCGGCGACCGGCCGACAAGCCACCGTCCGGCTCGCCCAGAATGGAGACCAACCATGACACACGACCGACTCCCCGCCCACCGAGGATCCCCGCCCCGGCGGGATGCGCACCGTCAAGAGCCTCGTGGTGGTCAACACCGGCGACGGCAAGGGCAACAAGTCCTCGGCGCGTCGGCACTGCCTGCGGCAAGGGGCCGCCGGTGCCGTGGATTGCGGTGGTGGTGCAGTTCCTCAGTACGACGACTGCACCGCGAGCAGCTGATGGCCGAGCCGCTGGGCATCGACTTCTGGTCGCTGGGCGAGGGCTTCACCTGGGACAGCGACGACCTGACCCGCGACGAGGCCGAGGCCCGCGAGGCCTGGCGCCACGGCAAGGCGCTGCAGTGGAGCGAGCGATGCATCGGATGGTGGTGTTCGACGAGATCAACTACGTCCGATCGAATGGGCTGCATCGACGCGCAGAAGCAGGTGCGAGGCACGTTCCGCAGCAACACGGCCCGAGCAGGTGTCGCTGGTGCTGACCGGCCGCGACGCGCCCCAGCTGATGCATCGAGTATGGCCGACTCACGTCGTAAACGACCGAAGATGGTCAAGACCAAGCACGCCTACGACTCCGGACATCCATAGCCAAAAGGGCAATGATTCTGATACGCACAAAAACAGGGGGGCCCGGCGACGTCCTCGGCGCGGTCGAGCAGGTCGGAGAGATGGCCGTGCTCGTGTCAGCCGGCAGCCTGGCAGCCACCCACGGCTGGTCCTGGTCCTGACCGGCCCGGTAGGGCTCGATCAGCCGCCGCGGGGATCGACTGACTCTTACTCTCGCCCGTAGTCTCACAGCGGCGAGCCGAACACTCAGGAGGCGATATTCGGACCACGAAAACCGACTAAAGGAATCCTACGGCGACGATCTCCAGTTCGTGGAGATCGAGCTGGATCCCGGCGAGGTCGTCATCGCCGAGGCCGGCGCGATGATGTACATGGAGCAGGGCATCGGTTTCGAGACCAAGATGGGCGACGGCTCCGACCCCGGCCAGGGCACCTGGGGCAAGCTCAAGTCGGCGGCCAAGCGGGTCGTCACCGGTGAGGGGCTGTTCATGACCCACTTCAGCAACCGCGCCCCCCAGAGCAAGCAGCGGGTGGCCATGGCCGCGCCCTACCCCGGCAAGATCCTGCCCATCAACCTGGCCGCGGCGGGCAGGGGCTCCATCGGCCCAGACAAGACTTACTGTGCGCGGCCGTCGGCAACAAGCTCGACATCGCCTCAACGAAGCTGGGCACGGCCTTTCGGCCGGGGAGGCTCATACTGCAGTCCATCTCCGGCGACGGCCTCGCCTTCCTGCACGCGGGCGGCACCATCGTCGAGAAGCAGCTGCAGGGTGAGACCCTGCGGGTCGACACCGGCTGCATCGTGGCCTTCCAGCCCCAGATCCAGTACTCGATCGAGCGGGCCGGCGACCTGCGCTCGATGGTGTTCGGCGGGCGAGGGCCTGTTCCTGGCCACCCTCACCGGCGTGGGCCGGGTGTGGCTGCAGTCGCTGCCGTTCAACCGCCTCGCCGACCGGGTGGTGGCCAACCTGCGGCCCGGCGGATCCCAGGGCGAGGGCTCGGTTGTCGGCGGTCTCTCCAACATGTTCGAGCGGCGCTAACCGGCGCGGCGCTGTTCCAGTAAGGGACACACCGAACCGGGAGTGTGCCGGTGTCCCGGGAAAGCGTGGGCAGACACTGACTCGGCCTCCCGCAAGGGCAGGATGACGATGGCGTATACCGACGACCAGATTCGGCGTCAGCTTCGGCTTGGCGAGGACAGCGCTTGGGAATTCAAGCGCGTTGAGTTTGGTAACAACGAGCCCGCACGGCGCCAACGCGACGGGTGGGCCGACGAGATCGCCGCTTTCGCGAATGCCCGGGGCGGAGTCCGGTCTTCTCGGGTCCACGACGCAGGCGAGGGTCAGGACATGTCCCGTGACCAACTGGATGCGCTGGAACGTCTCGTCAGGGAGATCCGCACCGACTCCATCAAGCCCACGATCAGGATTGACACGTATCGCAGGGAGCTGGACGAACGGGATTTTCCTGCTGTCTCCATACTGAGGGGACGCGCAGCATGACAGCCCTGGCGGCAGTTTCGTGCGCGTCGGTAGCGCGAAGCAGCCCAGGCACGGCACGAGCGGAGGGGAATGCGTATGGCTTGGGGTGGAGGGGGGCGTTTGGGCAGGGGGTTGGCGGGTTTTGGTGTTGGATTTGGGTCTTGCGATTGGCGCAGAGGAGCGGCCAGGCTCGCGTCACCCCAGCTTCGACGAGCAGACGATGACTGGCACCGGCTTTGCTACGCTCGACGAGCGGCTGTGGAAGCAGCTCCTGAGCGCTGAAGGCCTAGCCGATCCCCAGCTGGGATTGGAAAAGCTCGGGCTGCTGGCGACTGACGAGCACGGCGCCGTCCGGGCCACCGTGGCGGGCGTGCTGACATGCTCCCAGCAGCCGGAGCAGTTCCTGCGGGGCGCGGGGATCGCTGCCGTCCGCTATCGGGGAACGGATAGAGGTCGGGTCAGCGGACGCGCAGGAGATCAATGGTCCAATCAACCAACAGGTTACCCAAGCCCTTGCATTCGCCGAGCGAAACATGCGCGTCGGTGCACGAAAGGCCCCCGCTCGGGAGAACCTGCCCGAATACAGCACGCGAGCCGTTTTCGAGGGTCTTGTGAACGCTGTCGTACACCGCGACTACTCCATCCGGGGGAGTCGCATTCGGCTGTCGATCTTCTCTGATCGCTCGACGTTGTGGGCTCCCAGGCGCGCTTCCCAACAGCTTGACTATCGAGAGCATGACGGAACGGCAGTCGACTCGGAACGAGGTGTTGACTTCGGTTCTCGGCAGGATGAACGTCGGTGGCATCGACGGAAACTGGAGGCCGCAGTAAGTAAGTAATGGATCGGAGGTGGTGACGGTTGTCCCCACCATTCTTGTACCGATTATCCGCCCGAGACAACGAGAGCTGTCTGCCAAGGACCCCGGTCCAGGCTAATCGAGAGTCGGAACTGTGCCTCCGCTCCTGCCGCTGAGCTTGACTCCGGACCAGCGACTGTCATCATCACCGTGCGCCGCGACTGCGTACCGCTTGCCGATGCGGACGTGCTGGCACTGTTTCCGAATAACACATGGCAGCGGGACCGCACGGACGCCGAGGGTGAGGCGCATCTGGAGCTTCATTCGGTTCATCTGCCGATGACGGTCTTCGTCGCTTCCGAGGGCTGCGCCGGACATGTGGAACGCGAGTGGATCCAGCGCAGCGAGCGATCGCGGTCGAAAACGGAGCCAAAGGACGCGGTTGGCTCGGTGTATTCCCGAGTAGACCGGTCACTTACGGACTTGCGGCAGGCTCAATACCGATCCTCGTACGAGTACAGGGACCCGTACCTCTATGCCTCCAATATCGCCATCAACGGGGGGCAGCAGCAGCCAGTCTCCTTCGTCCCGGGCGAGGAGGATCTGCAAGTTGATCGACACCGAATGGCAAGTCTTGTGGTCGGGGTCGTCGCTATCGCGGGACAGTCGTCGACTTCTTAATACGGTACCGCCTGAGACCGTCTAACAGGGACCGGTCAGGCGAATGGGACGTTTGAACGAGCGAAGCGGGCCGAAGTCGAAAAGGAAAGTCGTCGCCCGGGGCCAACGCCATCGGGCGGGCGTGAACGACCACGACACAGGATCACGCAGACCGACCGCAGCAGACCCACTCCACTTGCTCGGCGTAACGACGGGACCAGCCAGACGATCCCGGCGGGATGGTCGAGCCACCGACTGCGGCCAGCCCCCGGTACCCCCACGACGCCGTTGCCAGTAGGCGACGACCCCACCCAGCGCAAGTCTGCGTCGCGGGGGCCAACCGGGGTGCCGCCGGTGACGATCACGGCGAGGCCGCGTTGTCCGGCGATCGTGTCGATCATGTTCGGATGCAGCCGGAGGCGGGTCGGTGCGGGGGGTCGGGACGAGATCAGCTCCACCGACGCCAGTAGTGGTCGGTGGCGTCCAGCACACGTCGACGAGAGAGGTCGGTACAGCGCCGCAGAGGTCGTCGGCCAGCACGAAGGCCAGTCAAACCCTCCAGGCGAAGGCGCAGAAGTCGGCAGTGGAAATGGCTCGCCGGGGACGAACACCATGGCGTCGGTCAGGAACCCCGAGTCAGGGGTTGTCGATGCTCATGGCTGCTGCAGGCCAGGCTGGTGAGGCCGATCTGTGGCCGATCACCCGCTCGCCCGGGCCAGCCGGATCTCCAAGCCAGGCCGCTGCACCCGGTAGGCCTCCTCGATGGTAAGTGCGGGTAGGCGACGGTGGTCTGGCGGACCTGCATGCGCTCGCGCTCAGCGGTGTCGAGCAACTCTGCCTCGGCCCGGATCTCGTCGTCGGTGAGCGCCGATGCCCCGTGCGCTACGGGGCCGTCGTTCACGGAGCGCCGCCGGGAGCGCGTCGGTTGCTCACGGCAGGAGCAGGATCTTTCCGGCCAGGCTGCGGCCCTGAAGCAGCCGGTGGGCATCGGCGCCTCGGCCACGCGGCAGCCTCGCCCAGCGATACGTATGTCGAGGGTCACCGACGCGATCCAGCCGAACACATCCGAGACCCGGGCGTCCAGCTCGGCTCGGGTCGAGATGAAGTCCCACAGCTTGGGCCGGGTCAGCCACAGCGACTTGCCCATGAGGTGAAGCGGCGCTTTGGGCTCCACCGCGCCCGAGGCGTTGCCGAAGGTCACCATCGACCCCCGTAGGCGCAGCAGGCGCAGGCTGTCGTCGTACACGGCCGCGCCCACCCCGTCGTAGACCACGTCGATGGCCTCCGGGCCGACTGCGTCCTCCACCCCGGCCACCAGGTCGGTGGTCGTGTAGTTCACGACGTGGTCGGCTCCCGCGGCCCGGGCCAGATCGGCCTTGGCGTCCGAGCCGACGGTGGCCACCACCTCGGCGCCCCGCAGCTTGGCCATCTGCACGATCAGCCGGCCGGTGCCGCCCGCGCCGGCGTGGACCAAGCACGGTCGCCGGGCCGATCCGGGGGCAGTCGGTGATCAGTAGTGGGCGGTGAGGCCCTGCACGCCGATGGAGGCGGCGTGTTCGGGATCGATGCCGTCGCGGGCACCTTGTACGCCACCGCGGCTCTCACCACGGCCCGCTCGGCGTAGGAGCCGGTCGATCCGGCCCAGGCCACCCGGTCGCCCGGGGCGAAGCCGTCGGTGCCCGCGCCGACCTCCAGCACGGTCCCGGCCCCCTCCTGGCCCAGCACCAGCGGCAGCGGCATGTCGTAGAGGCCCGAGCGGTGGTAGGTGTCGATGAAGTTCACCCGGCGCAGCCACCGCCACCTCGCATCTCCCCTCCGGCGGGCACCGGGTCGTGCCGCTGCACCAGCCTGCCATCACTTCCGCGCCGCCGTCTCAGCATCTGTCACACAGCCGCGCGATCGTTCGCTACCAGTTGTGGCATCGCGTGCTCCTGCGGTGTGAACCCTCGCGAGGCTACGGGGGCGACCGGCACGCGCCCCGCGTCGAGTGCTGCCGACAAGAGCCCTCTTCGGCCCGCCGGGGTCAAGGCGTCGCCTAGACGCCCGATCGTCTGCGGATTGGGGTTTCGCTGGTGCCGATCTCGGTGAGCCGTCCCACCGCGAATCTACCACGGATCGCCCGGCTCCAGCCACACCTGCGGTCGAAGCGGGCGCCCGCAGCGGTGGGCGTGCCCCGGTGAAGATCACGTCGCCGCGTCGAGGCCGACGACGGTGGACAGGTACTGATCTGGTACTCGATCCGACCGGCATGTTGGCGGCCACATAGTCGTCTGGCGCAGCTCGCCGTGACCGCGGTGGTGAATGAGGTGCAGCTGTCCGGTCGCCGATCTCGTCGAGGGTCACAGCACTGGTCCGCCGATCCGCTGCGTGCCAGTCTTGCACTCTGGGTGACGTGAAGCCGCTCCGTGCGGCAACCCAGTCCCGGATGGTTGCCCTCGTTGCCAGGGTCGGACGATGTGGCTGCGGGCCTGCTCGATGGATGCGGCGCCCGCCGGTGCCGATCACCACCACGATCTCGCCCTCGTAGTCGAGCTGCTCGGTAACGCGGGGTGGCAGCGCACAGCAGGCCGGCTCGTGGCCGACCACAAAGTCGTCTCGGGAACCGCACGAACACGCTCGGGTAGGAGTCGCCGCGGTCCTCGGCGTACTCGGCGCCGCGCCCGCCGTAGTTCACGCCGATGCAGATGATCTTGCCGGGACGCGGCAGCAGCCGCTCGAAGACAATGTCGTCGAGGGCGTGGTCGGCACGGCTGGCGGAGTCGGCCCATTGGGCCGCTTCACCGATCCGGCCTTGGGCTGTCAGGTCGCTGAGGTCGGTTACGCCATCGATGCGGCCCGCGAGGTCGATTACGCCTGAGGTGCTCCGTCCGGTGTCAGACTCCGCAAGCCGCATCAGGGGTGCGCTCGATCAGCGAGAACTGTCTACGCCCCTCCGCAGTAGAATCCGTGCGTCCGCCGAGCGGTGTCGGAGAGCGTGGCGCGTGAACCGTACAATCGTGCCCGACGGGACCGGCCATGCCTCACATCCTCCATCGAATACTCCGCCAACCTCGCCGGTTGACCGACATCGACGCCTTGGTGGCCACGGTGCACGCGCGGCCCTCGACGACGGCCTGCCCGCCCTCGACGCCCTGCGCACCAGGGCCGTGCCCCGCGACCACTACCGAATCGCAGACGGAACCGGCCTACGGAGTTCGTGGCCGTGGTGGCCCGCATCGGCCCGGCCGCGAGCCTGAGGCCGTTGAGCGGTTCCTGACCCGCCTCATCGACACCGTCGACGAGGCTGTGACGCCGCTGCTACCCGACCATCCTGTGGCCATCAGCGCCGAGGTCACTCATCGACCCGGATCTTCGAGTCAACCGAAACCACATCCGCACCCATCTCGCCCAGTCCGACAGCACTTAGCCTCGGGACCGGCGCCCACAGGAGACGCACCATGGCAACCGCAGCCGGCTTCACTGCCAGCTTCACTGCGAACCTCGCCGCCGCCGGACAGCACCTGGCTCGCTTCTCGGCCGCGCCCACGCTGCATCTGATCGACGGCGAGCCTGCGACCAGCGTTTCGGGCGAGACGTTCGCCAATGCGTCGCCTCTCGACGGGATGCACCTCGGAGACGTGGCCGCCGGCGACTCCGCCGACGTCGCGGCCGCGGCTGAGGCGGCTAGGCGAGCTTCGACGAGTGGTCGAGCCACTGGCGGCGAGCAGCGCAAGCGCATCCTGCACGCGTGGCTGACGCCATCGTGGCCCGGGCCGGCGAGATCGCGGTCGGTGGAGTCGGTCGACACCGGACAGGCCATCCGCTTCATGTCGTCGGCTGCGCTGCGGGGCGCGGAGAACTTCCGGTTCTTCGCCGACCGGGCCCCGGCCGCGCCGACGGTCTGGCCCTGCCGTCGGCCCACCATCTCAACTACACCAGCCGCCGCGCCATCGGCCCGGTTGGCGTGATCACGCCGTGGAACACGCCGTTCATGCTGTCCACCTGGAAGATCGCCCCGCGCTGGCCGCGGGCTGCACGGTGGTCCACAAGCCGGCGGAGTGGAGCCCGCTCACCGCCTGCCTGCTGGCGGAGATCGCGCTCGACGCGGGCCTGCCCCCCGGCGTGCTCAACGTGGTGCACGGCATGGGCGAGACCGCGGGCCGCTGCCCTCACCGAGCACCCCGACATCGCGGCCATCGCCTTCGTGGGCGAGTCGGCCACCGGCTCGGCCATCCAGGCCCAGTCGGCGCCCACCCTCAAGCGGCTCCACTTCGAGCTGGGCGGCAAGAACCCTGTGATCGTGTTCGACGACGCCGATGTCGAGCGGGCCCTCGACGCGGTGTGTTCATGATCTACAGCCTCAACGGCGAGCGCTGCACCAGCTCCAGCCGCCTGCTCGTGCAGCGCAGCATCTACGACGACTTCACCGAACGCCTCGCGGCCAAGCTGCGCAACATTCCGGTCGGCCACCCCCTCGACCCCGCCACCGTGATCGGCCCGCTGATCCCCTGCCACTGCGACAAGGTGCGCAGCTACATCGAACTGGCCTCAGCCGAGGGCGCCACCGTGGTTTCCGGCACGCCCTGGGCCGACGCCCCCGCCGGGGGCAACTTCGTGGCGCCCGTGCTGTTCACCGGGGCCACCAACGACATGCGCATCGCCCGCGAGGAGATCTTCGGCCCGGCGCTGACCGCCATCGCCTTCGACGACGAGGACGACGCCGTGACCCTGGCCAACGACACCGACTACGGGCTGGCCGCCTACGTGTGGACCGGCGACGTGGGCCGGGCCCACCGAGTGGCCGACGCGGTGGATGCGGGCATGGTGTGGGTCAACTCCCAGAACGTGCGCCACCTGCCGACCCCGTTCGGGGGCACCAAGCGCAGCGGCATCGGCCGCGACGGCGGCGACTGGAGCTTCGACTTCTACATGGAGACCAAGAACGTGGCCGTCGCCTACGGCAGCCACCCCATCCCCAAACTCGGAGGCTGAGGATGCAGACCCAGATGTTGATTGACGGGCGCTGGCGGGACGGCGCCGAGCCGAGCGGATCGAGGTTCTCGACCCGTCCACCGGCGACGGCATCGCCGAGGTGGCCGCGGGCGGCCCGGCCGATGCCGTCGCGCCTGCGACGCGGCCGCGGCCGCCCAGCCCGGCTGGGCCGCGACTGCGCCACTAGTCCGCTCGGAGATCCTGCGAGACTGCCACCGGATCCTCATCGAGCACACCGACGAGCTGGCCGACCTGATCACCCTCGAGCACGGCAAGCCCCGGGCCGACGCGGTGGGGGAGGTGGCCTACGCAGCCGAGTTCTTCCGCTGGAACGCCGAGGAGACGGTGCGCATCCACGGCACGATCAGCACCGCCCCATCCGGCGACAAGCGCATCATCACCCGCCATCCGCCGGTGGGGGTCGTGGTGATGATCACCCCGTGGAACTTCCCGGCCGGCGATGATCACCCGCAAGCTGGCCCCCGCGCTGGGCGCGGGCAACGCGGTGGTGATCAAGCCGCCCCGGGAGGCGCCCCTCACCGCGCTGCGCGTCGGCGAGCTGCTGGCCACCGCCGGAGTGCCGCCCGGCGTCGTCAACCTGGTCCCCACCACCGCCTCGGGCCCCTGGTTCGACGCCGCGGTGGACCATCGGGCCGTGCGCATGGTGTCGTTCACCGGCTCCACCGAGGTGGGACGGATGCTGCTGCGCCGCTGCGCCGACCGGGTCCTCAAGACGGTGATGGAGCTGGGCGGCAACGCTCCCTTCGTCGTGTTCGCCGACGCCGACCTGGAGGCGGCCACCTCCGGGGCCATGGTGGCCAAGATGCGCCACTCGGCCGAGACCTGCACCGCGGCCAACAGGTTCTTCGTGGAGGCGCCGGTGTACGACGAGTTCGTGGAGCGCCTGGCCGCGGCCATGGGGGCGCTGAAGGTGGGCAGCGGCTTCGACCCCGACGTCACCTGCGGACCGATGATCAACTCCGGCGCGGTGGCCAACATCGACAGGCTCGTGCAGGGGGCGATCAACGGCGGGGCCAGCGCAGTCACCGGCGGCTCGGCCATCGACGGGCCGGCTTCTTCTACGAGCCCACCGTGCTAGGCGGGTGGATGTGGCCGCGCCCATCACCCGCGAGGAGATCTTCGGACCGGTGGCGCCGGTGATCAGATTCACCGACACCGACGCCATGATCGCCGCGGCCAACGACACCGAGATGGGCCTGATGGGCTACGTGTACACCGAGGACCTGGCCAGGGGCCTGCGTGTGAGCGAGCGCATCGAGGCCGGCATGATCGGACTCAACCGGGGTGCGGTGTCGGACCCGGCCGCCCCCTTCGGCGGCATGAAGCAGTCCGGCCTCGGCCGCGAGGGAGCCTCGGAGGGCATCTACGAGTTTTGCGAGACCCAATATATTGCTACAAACTGGTAGGTCAGAGCACTAGAGCACATCCTGGTTACTGCCCCAGTTACTGCCACCTGTCGGTTCAACTCACCGGGCACCCCAAACCGTTCACGACCACCCGTCGGGACCGTGGGGACCATAGCGCCTGTGGGTGCCCGAAACCCTGTCGTGGCTGGTCAGGCCGCTCTTCGGAATTCGTTGATGAGTCCGTCGCAGCGTGTTGCTCGGATGATTCGAGGCTGTTGTTGCCCGATGGCGTTTGGCGGTTGCGTCGGAGCTGGGGGTCGTGGATCGAGGCAAGAAGCGTGTTCGACCGCGACTTGACAGACATCGGCGGAACCACCCACCACGCCCTGTGGCAACTCCGCGAGTCCCGCGACCCGGCCACCAGCGGCCTAACCGAGGAGGCCTCGTGCGGCAACGGGTCGCTGATGCGGGCCCTGCCCACGGCACTGATCCGCCCCGACGCCCAGCGGCGCCGCGCCGAGAGCGCGCAGATCTCCGCGATCACCCACGCTCACCGCCGCTGTGTGCACAGCTGCGTCGCCTACAACGAGATCGCCGCCGCGCTCATCGCAGGCGCCCCAGCCAGCGAGGCCATCAGCCAAGCCCAAGCCCTCGACTTGCACACCGACGTGCGATCCGCCCTAGACGTGTCGGCCAACACCCCCGAGACCGACCTCTCGACCACCGGCTACGTGATCGACAGCCTCCGCTGCGCCGTATGGGCCATCCAGCAGCCCGACACCCTCGAATCGGTGCTGGTAGCGCTGGTCAATCGAGGCAACGACGCCGACACGACCGCCGCCATCGCCGGTGGCCTACTAGGACTCATCCACGGCGAAGCAGGCATCCCACAACGCTGGACGCAACAACTTGAGTACGCCCCCGAACTAGTCGCAGCCGCCGCCCCCATCGAGACGATCCGGGTCCGCTGACCTGCGCTGACACCCGGTCTGTCGTGCTACTGGAGGCTGCCCGGTCGTGGCACTGGCGTCTGGAACGACCTGCCGTCTTGGTGGTCTGAGGTGGGACCCTGATTTGAGTCCGCACCTGGACTCACAACCGGGTCCCACCTCAGGGCGCTGGCTACCTGGTGCGCTGACTGCGACGAGACGGCGCTGGTGCTGCAACTGGGCAGCGACGAGTCGCCCGACGCCTCGTCGAACTCGATCAACGCGAGGGCAAGCGGATCTCCGTGAGGCCGTCGAGGAGGATCACGCCGCCGCCATGGCGGCCACCGCCTCGGGCCCGTAGTCGCCCCAATCGGCGGGCAGCGAGAAGTCGGCCGCGTGCAGTCACCACCCTCGGAGGTTCCGGCACGGCCGGATCGGTGCCTGCCGTAACCGGGCTCCCCAGCGCGGCGTCGAGGAGGCCCTCGTCTCGAGACATCTGCGTGTTATATGTTTTACTGCATGTGTTCTACGCATATGCTATGTATGTGCTATGTTGCTAGCTACCGCGAGTCCCGCCTGGTTGAGGCTGTCGGTCACCGTCTGTAAGGAGGCTCCGCTATGGATTCTGTTAGGCATCGTGTCCGCTGGGCGGGGATCTTGGCGGTCCTGGCTCTGACTGCTGCGGCGGCCGCTTGCGGTGGGGACTCGGCGCCCGAGCCGACCGCGCCGGACACGTCGTCACCTTCGCCGTCGGTCACCGAGGCGTCCGCGGTCACCGACACCACGGCGCCTGAGCCGTCCATAGCGGCCAGCGAACTCGCCATCTACGTAGACGAGGACACGATCCTGCGAGAAGTCTTCGATGCCTTCGCCGGCTCGGAGCAAGCGTGCATCCGCGGCGCCGTCGACGACGAGTTGCTGGAGTCTGTGCTGGACATGCTTGTGCTGTCCGATGACCTCACCGATGAGTTGGCGGCGTCGATAGTGTCATGTCTCGCTCCGGAGACCGCCCGCGAGTTCCTCCTCTCGACGTTCATTGCAAGTCTCGAGACGGAGGGGTTGAACACCGAGGTAGGGACGAACGCAGAAGCGTGCATACGGGAGTTCTTGGCTGACATCGACGTGGCCGCAATGGCGAACGCCATGACTTCTGAGTCTGGCGATCCTGTCTTTGGCGACGGCTTGTTGGGCTGCATTCACGCCGACGCTCTCAGGGAGGCGACGCCCGTGACGGTCGGCGAGCCTGCGCCCGGCCAGATCAACCACGACGCCGACGTCGACTTCTTCGTGTTCGAGGGCGAGCAGGGCGAGCTCTACCAGATCGACGTGACGCTCGGAACGCTGTCCGACTCCGTCGCGACTCTCTACGACTCCGACGGGTTCGAGTTGGACTACAACGACGATTACGGCGACACCTCCGCATCGCGCATCTATTGGGAAGCGCAAAGCTCCGGGAACCACTACGTCGCCGTGGAGAGCTGGTCCGGCATCGGCTCGTACACCCTGACGATCGCAGTCGCCGACATCACAGACGACCACGCCGACGCTCTCAGGGAGGCGACGCCCGTGACGGTCGGCGAGCCTGCGCCCGGCGAGATCAACCCCGACGCCGACGGCGACGTCGACTTCTTCGTGTTCGAGGGCGAGCAGGGCGAGCTCTACCAGATCGACGTGACGCTCGGAACGCTGTCCGACTCCGTCGCGACTCTCTACGACTCCGACGGGTTCGAGCTGGGCTACAACGACGGTTACGGCGACACCTCCGCATCGCGCATCTATTGGGAAGCGCAAAGCTCCGGGAACCACTACGTCGCCGTGGAGAGCTGGTCCGGCATCGGCTCGTACACCCTGACGATCGCAGTCGCCAACATCACAGACGACCACGCCGGCGCTCTCAGGGAGGCGACGCCCGTGACGGTCGGCGAGCCTGCGCCCGGCGAGATCAACTACGACGGCGACGTCGACTTCTTCGTGTTCGAGGGCGAGCAGGGCGAGCTCTACCAGATCGACGTGACGCTCGGAACGCTGTCCGACTCCGTCGCGACTCTCTACGACTCCGACGGGTTCGAGCTGGACTACAACGACGATCACGGCGACACCTCCGCATCGCGCATCTATTGGGAAGCGCAAAGCTCCGGGAACCACTACGTCGCCGTGGAAGGCTGGTCCGGCATCGGCTCGTACACCCTGACGATCGCCACTCGATAGAGCCGCGGCTCAGCGACCGTTCCTCTCGGTCCGCTTCGGGCGTGCCTGGGGGTTGGGCTGCTCAAGGGCTGGCGGCGCATACTCGTCAAGGCGACTGCCGGAGCCGGGAAGCCGCTGCCGCCGGGAGACCCCTGCTACAGGCCGAATGTGCCGTCGAGGCGGGTCTTCCAGCTGCCGGAGGCCACAGTGCCTCCGTCGACGAGGATGGACGCCCCGTTGACAAAGCTGGCCATGTCCGAGGCCAGGAACACGATCACGGCCGCGCACTCCTCCGGGTCGCCGGTTCAGCGCAGCGGGGTGGGGTGCACGCACGGCCGGATCGGTGCCTGCCGTAACCGGGCTCCCCAGCGCGGCGTCGAGGAGGCCCTCGTCTCGAGACATCTGCGTTGTTTTGATATGAGTTTTATATATGCGTATTATGTATATGTTATGTTTTGAGCCGTTCACGGCCTGGGAGGTCTTCATGACTAGTCGCGGCTTCGAGATGCTCCGGGTTGTGGGTTCTGGCTGTGGGCTGTCGCGAGGAGGCCGTGTTCGCCGCGTCGCTCCAGCCGCGGCCGCGCTGGCAGTCATCGTTGCTCTGCTCGCCCCCGTCGATGACATGCTGGCCCCGGCAACAAACGGTGAAGGGACAGGCGCCGTACGCCGCCCTCGGGGACCTCAACGCCGTCACGCGGCTGGGTGTATTCCTGTGGGCTGCGCAGCAACGACACCATCACATGCTGGGGGCAAATGGGCGGACGCTCGGGCAGGCCGACGCGCCCGCGGGGACCTTCAAAGCCGTCACCGCCGGCTGGGAGCATTCCTGTGGGCTGCGCAGTAACGGCGTGATCGTGTGCTGGGGCGACCTGACTATGCGGACTGCTGATCCTGTCGGCGGGGTGCTGGGCGGGGCGGGGGTGCATCAGCCCGCGGTGGACGCCCTTTACGAGTTGGGTGTGTTCGAGGGCACCGGCTGCGTCGACGGCAGCGGGCTGTGCCCGTCAGAGCCAATGCGCCGCTGGGAGATGGCGGTGTGGCTGGTGCGGGTCCTCGACCAAGTCGAGCCCCCCGCAGTGGGCGAGTCGAGCTTCGCGGATGTGGACTTCGAGAAGTGGTGGCTGCCTCATGTGGAGCGCCTGGCGGAGCTGGGAGGTCACCAAGGGCTGTCGGGTTGATCCGCTGCGGTTCTGTCCGGACCGGTCGGTGACCCGGGCCCAGATGGCGACGTTCCTGGTGCGGGCCTTCGATCTCGAGTCGGCAGAGCCGGCGGGGTTCACCGACACTGCGGGCAACACCCACGAGACCGACATTGATGCTCTGGCTGCGGCCCGGGTCACCGCGGGCTGCGCGACGGCCCGCTGCGCTACTGCCCCGAGCGGTCGGTGACCCGGGCGCAGATGGCCACGTTCCTAGCCCGTGCCCTGGGGCTGGTGGAGGTGCCAGCCCCAATCGAGGAGGAGCCGGCGGCGTTTCCTGGTGCGGGTGTCAGTGTCACCGCGGGCCGGGCCGATTGGTCTTCGGGTTACTTCCAGGCGGAGTTGTACAAGCTGTTGCTCGAGGAGCTCGGCTACACCGTCTCTGATCCGGCCGAACTTGAGCTCGGGCCCAACAACGGCTACCTCGCTATGGCCCACGGGCGAGATGGACTACTGGCCCAACAGCTGGTACCCGTCCACTTGGCGTGGCTTGCGGGCGAGCTGCCCGACGGCTCGCTGGTCGAGACCATGTCACCATCGTGGGTGAGGAGATGCTCGCGGGCGGTCTGCAGGGATTCCTGGTCACCAAGTCCTTCGCCGACGAGTACGGCGTGTACACCATGGACGAGCTCAACCGCAACGCCGACGCGCTGGCCGCGTTCGACGCGGCGGACTCGAGACCCCGGCAACGGCGTGGCGGACATATTCGGCTGCCCCCAGTCCTGGACGTGCGACAACATCATCGAGAACATGATCGCGTTCAGTGGTTGGGACAACATCTCGCAGATCAGCGCCGGCTATGACGCGATGTTCGCGCAGGCCGTCGACAACGTCGGTGAGGGCCTCCCGATGGTGCTGTACACCTGGACCCCGACCGCGTACATCACCGAGCTGCGTCCCGGTGACAACGTCTATTGGATGGGTATGGAGCGGGTCCTCGACGATTCCAACCCGGCCAACCAGGAGGGCGGCGAGAATCACAGCCAGCGCAGCGCGGACGGCACCGGCGGCTACGCCCCCATCAGCGTGGACCAGTGCCCGTCGGCTGCTGACCGGCCGAGCGGCCGATGCAAGATCGGTTGGATTGCTGCCGACATCCTGGTCACTGCGAACAGTGACTTCCTGGCGGCCAACCCCGCGGCCGAGGCGCTGTTCGAAGTGGTCAAGCTGTCGTTGATCGACGTGTCATTGGCCAACGCGGCTCAGGGCGAGGGCGAGAGCCCCACCGACCTGGCCGCCCAATGGATCGCCGACAACCGCAGTCCTGGTCGACCAGTGGCTCACTGCCGCCAGAGCCGCGGCATAGCTACCGCGAGTCCCGCCTGGTTGAGGCTGTCCCGCTAACCCGACGGGGCGCTCACTGGTTTTCGCCCGCTTCAAGGAGGGCGACGAGTCTCGCCAACGTCAGGGCGATCTCCTGCTGGTTCTCCGCAAGCTTGTTGAACCTGGCGTCGACGGCGGCGAATCGGGCGTGTGGGTGCCCGAAACCCTGTCGTGGCTGGTCAGGCGGCATGTTTGTATTCGTTGATGAAGCCATCGCAGCGGGTCGTTCGGACGAGTCGAAGGGGCAGCGGGTGGTCAGTCGTGTAGTTGTCGGGGGTGGTGTGTCGGGGTGGTCGCTGGTCTCGCGAGCGGTGCGGCCGGTGGATGTTGTAGTGCGCGATGTAGTCGATCACGAGCTGCTGGAGCTGGTGTTGGTTCCAAACAGCCTGCGTGAAACCCGGTGAGGCTCACCTGCTGGTTTGGGCGCATCGCTCCAGGCGATGTGCGATGCCCAGTCCTCCATCAGTGGTCTGCGCCGCTGCAACATGTCTGATCTGGCGTAGGCGGCTTCGGTGCGGTCCTTCACGGCGTGCCCGAGCGCAGCCTCCGCGAGGTCTCGGGGCACGCCGTGGGCGCCGCCCCGGACTGAGGCTGGCGGGGGGTGCGCGGGCGCGTAGAGCACCACCGGAGGCGGCAGGGGCGCCTCCTAGACTGGGTTGCATGTCCCGCGACCGGATCGAGCGCCGTCTGCGGGGGATCGGACGGCAGTTGAGCGCCATGCGGGCTGACCTTCGCGTATGCGAGGAGCAGCTGGTGCAGGTCGCCGACGAGGCTGGCGACTACAGGCTGCGGGCTCTGGTGTCGGAGACGCCGATCGCTGAACGCGAGTACCGGGAGGCGCGGCGGCACGCCGAGAGGCTCCGGCACCACCGCGACGAGATCGCGGAGCGCATCGCCCGCCTGGAAGCCGATCAGGACGCCCTGCTGGATGGGTTCACAGCGCGTCGTGAGCGCTCCCGGCGCGGTTCGGTGTGGTGGCGGAGGACGAGGCCATCATCCGCTCGACCTGTCGAGACGTTTGCTGCTGCGCGCGGAGGGCTTCGACGTCGGGCGACACGGACCGGGGCGACGATGCGGTCGGGCTTGGTAGCCGAGCACGTCCAGACGTGGCCATCCTCGCAGTGAAGATGCCCGGTCTCGACGGGATCGAGGCCGCGCCCGCCCTCATCGCTCCCCAGCGGTGACAGCGAGTCTCGTATCCGCGACGCGTTCAGCCAGCGGGACCGGATGCGACGCAGCCCGCGAGGCCGGGGCGATGGACCTACCCGTGACAGCACGTACCGGCGAAACGCTCTGGTGCCCGCGTCGAGCTGGCCCTGCCCGGTACCGCGAGATGGAGGCGCTCGAAGCCAGATCGCGACCTGGAGGACCGGTTGACGGGTGCGCAAGCTCCTCGATCGGGCAAGGGGCGGCTGAGCGACGGTCACGACAGGAGCGAGCAGGATCACGCCTACGTGTGCGCGATCGCGACAGCCAAATTGGCTCGCACAGCGCCGCACATGATGCGCGACAGTCGCCGGCGACGTGCGTGAGGACTCATCGCGCCGTGACCTTTGCGAACAAGCATCCAGTGCCGGGGCCCCGGGCCGCATCGCGCCGTGACGCCCCAGCGGCTACCTCGACGGCCTACGGAGCGCTGTGTGACCTGCCCGCGCGCCGGCTCGTTGCCGTAGATTCTCGCCATGTGGCAAGGTGATGCTGATCGACGGCAACTCGCTGGCACTAGTCGCGCCTCTTCTCGCCCTGCCCACCGACATGGCCACCGCGTCGCGGCCAGATCACCAACGCAGTGTTCGGCTTCACGTCGAGTGCTCATCAACCTGTGCGCGCCATCAGCCAGCCCGACAAGGGTGTGGTCGCCTTCGACCGCCCGAGCGACCTTCAGGCACGCCGTGTGGTTCCACCTACAAGGGACCCGCGACTCTGCCCCCGACCTCCTGCGCCAGCAGATGGGCGTGCGGGAGTCCTCAGAGGCGCTAGCCGTGCCCACGGGGACGACGCCGAGCTCCGGCCGACGACGTGATCGCCACCCTGAGCGACAGAGGCCGCGACGCCCTGGCGATGACCCTGATCGTCGTGAACGGCGACCCGCGACACCCACTACCAGCTGGTGGAGGACCCATGGTGAAGGTGCTTCATACAAACGTGCGGGCGGGCGTGTCCCGACTACAGCTGTATGACGAGGCCGGCATCCTGGACCGCACCCGCGTGATGCCGCCGACTACGTGCATATGCGGGTCTTGCGGGGCGACGCCACGGACAAATGCCCGGAGTGCCCGGGGTGGGCGAGAGACGCGGCCAAGCTGATCAAACGAAAGGGGGGGGCTGGACGTGGATCTTCGCCTCCTGGACGACCCTTGACGGCCCAGCTAAGAGAGGAGACACCTCGCGGCCGCCGAGGAGGAGCGGGTCCGCCACCAACGTGGGAGATGATGGCGGTTGGGATGCGCGACGTGCCGCGGACGCCAGGGCTCGACGACTCGCCCTAGGATGACGGTCGACGCCCAGGCGGTCCGACAAGCTGTTCGACTTCCTCGAGTCCGGCTCGCGGAACGCCCGCCTGGTCGAAAAAAGCCCATCGGGGCGCTCTCGGATGAAGGAAGAAGAAGGGAGCATCGTCGCCAGCGCGAAGTGATTTCCCCTTAACTGGAAAACGAGAGAGAGGGCAGGGAACAAGATGTTTTCCTGTTCTTTTCTTTCTTCTTTTTATTTTCCCAATTAATATGTTCTGGCCCCTTTCCTGGGGAGTTCTCCTTCGTGCAGGTCCTTCCTATCTTATGCTTTGGACGTATTTTCGTTCCAATATCGTAACAGCATAATTTGTCTCTAGCGACGATTTCTGATTGCATGGCAAATTTCCCCCTCTCTTTTCCACTTAGGCTGGGCCTTGTTCCCCCCTACTAGTCCGTTTTCCCTGCTCCTTCTCAATCCCGCAGTACTTGGCTTTCCGGTTTCTTGATTTCGTTTTTGGTTTTTCCAGTCCCTGTACTCCCATTTTCGGATTCGTTTTTCGTTATCTGTCCTCCTCCTTCCGAGCCTTTTTCCGAGAAAGTCTTAGAGGGCGGGAAGGATACCTAACGAGACGCCGAGTGGGGAGCGGCATAAGAGAGAGGGGAGAGGGCCACAGGCGAGTGACCCCCAGGCCCTCGCGGTCAAGTGCCCTCTACCGGCCGCCCCCCTCCGTGAAAGATCGCCTCCCCCCTCCCTCCCCCCCCCACACACTCCCCCCTCCCCTTTTCCCTCCTGGCTTCGCCCCCCCCCCCGTGTGCGTTTGTGGCAAATCTGACTGCACCTGACTTGTATGCTGCAATTCATAATGGTAGAGTGTAGGACTCCTATGTGTACAATGTTTGGAGAACATTGTTCAAAACATTTTGGCGAAAGTATTGGTTTGAGCGTGCCATGCACACCTGCCAACCGCATCTGCAAAAATATATTTTCACAAAGAGAAGCGTTTGAGTGTTTTGCAAAGGTTTTTATACGTATGGCAGGATACGTTTGAGGAGAACCTTCGCGGTGTGTTAGCCCGGCCGGCGAACGTTTTCTCCGAAGTTTTGTGAGTGGTAACACTGGCATTGGTGAACCAGCAAATCCGTGATGGTTTTCTGTGCGGATATTTCCATTTGCAACTGAAACACACAAGATTTCGAAAGCTCTATATGACTGTGTGAACTCCCCTCCCCCCCCCCTTGGCGTCTTCCCAGGACACTAACTGTGAGTCTTGGGGTCCACACGGCCCACCACATCCACCACTCCTCACTGGCAGACTCACTGTCGGTTAACGAGGGGGTGTGGTCATTCCTGAGACTGGTGGGACTGTGTCCACAGGAGATGGCTACCGTCATGCTCGGCCGCTTCACCGACAGGTTAGTGCTCTAGTCAGTTTTATACTATCCCACGTACTATCTAGTCCATACATGTGTACCGTGTGATGTGCAACTCCATTGGTGGATAAAAACTTCCACTACACGTAATAGTTAAGGTTGATACTTATATATACCATTTGGCAAGCACATTTGCTAAATTACTTCAATCGTTATGGTTTACTGCTCTGTATCCTGTTCAAACTTTTATCGGATTATCTTATTTTTCATTTCTGCAGGTTACGTGTTCTTATGTCACTCATCAGCAGGGCACACGTTCTCTATAGGCAACGTCTTTGGCACTCTAACACTGCACACTCCAGGTTACGATCATACAAACTGTAGTCTCTCCTAGCCTATTGCAGTCAATGCTAGTCCTACTCTGTATCGTGGCTCTGCAGGTATCATTTAACACAACTGGTGCTGTGGCCGGACCACCGCGTGTCGTTTGCAGCGGTCCACGACAGCCCCGTCCTACAGGACATGGTGTTCACGGGCCCGTCCTGCACCGTGTACACCCACACGACCCATCATCTCTTCCCGCTCAAGACCACCTCGCAGACCGGCGCCGAGCTCACCGAGATATCGTCCATGGTGAGCGGCGAGGACCGAGAGATGTTGTCTCCCTGCTCCACTCCGCGAGAATCTCGTTCGACTCCCGGGTCCCTTTCAAACTCTCCCCTGGCCTCCGCTGCGAGGCAGAGAGAAGGCAAGAAGAACGCAGGGGGACGTCACGGAGCTCTGCGCAACGGACTCACCGAATCACTCAAAAGCCCCTCCCCCTGCCCCGCCTCCTCATCTCCCTCCGCCCCTCCATTTGGCAAGTACAAGAAAAACTCGATTACATCGTCGAATTCTCGAACAAAACTCTTTTCGTCGCCGGACAAACACACAGGTAAAACTAGTGACAGCGTCACTCATAATGGTCACATGGATAACGGAGTGGATGATACCAATGATGACGAGGGGGTAATTGACGAGCGCCCCTGTAATAAGAGCAAGGATAACGAGGTCCTGGAGGGTGGGAAAGATGACCAGAGTGCTACTGTGCGTGCCTGCAAGGAGGGAAGACACCTCTACTGCATGCCGACCCACATGCCTCTCTTTCTCCTGGCATACACTCCCTCTGTGAGTTACATTGCAAGTGTTCTCCCTCACAATGTCGACAATGGTATACAGTGGAACCTCCGAACAAGGGTCACTATGGGACCAATGATTTTGTCTGGGGTTGAAACAAGTGTCCTTGTAGAGAGATCGTCCTTATATTGGAGGGTCCCTTATCATTGGTTCCACTGTAGATACAGCGTGTTACATACAGTACGTTGTTGTGTAGGTTGCAGTACCACTGAACCCAGTGTATGTGAGTGAGAGAGTGGCCGAGTACCACCGCCAGGAGTGGCTGGGGGGAGGCCCTGGCCCCTTCAAACGCCTCCTCCTCCACGGAGGCCAGGACGAGGGGAGAGAGGAGGAGGAGATGTGGCTGGGGTTGTTCCCCTCTCTGCCCGGCGGACTTCATGCTGTCAGGCCCTTCGGTGGCTGGTCACGCATCCAGATCCCTGGTCAGGATTGTTATACTGATACCATGGTTTACACCGTGTGTGGGATGGAGCCCATCTCAAGAATTTAGCATGCACTTTAGTTTACTTTTGTTGTGGGTTTTGCTCCACTTAGAAAGCCATGAAAAAACGTACTGTACACCTGTATATAGTAATTGGGCTTTTTTCTTGCGATTGTGTGAGCGTGTTTGGGTGTGACTCATAGCAGTAGTGGCAGTCAACTTGCATTCATCCACCATTCACCTATTGTGTATGACGTTACTAGAGGCCCCCTTTATCTATAGTCAGTCCTCTTTACACACCTATGTACATGTCCTTTGATAGAGGGTACCAGCACACTGTATAGTGCTTCACTTCCCTCTCACCCTCCATCTCCCCTCCTCCCTCCTCTCCCTCCCTAAGACAAGGATAACATGATCTACGACAGTGGTAAGATGGCGGTACTGGACAAGCTGCTGGCCCAGTTGCAGCGAGAGGGTCACCGCGTCCTGATCTACTCCCAGATGACTCGGGTGATTGACCTCCTTGAGGAGTTCATGGCCTACCGACGCTACAAGTTCATCAGACTGGACGGCTCCTCTCGTATATCCGATCGTAGGGACATGGTGGATGACTTCCAGACCAAGTGAGACACAACACTGCTCTAGTTCATAATACTAATGTGCACAGTACTCTCACAGTACACATATTGGTACATGCATTGCACGGTCATGCCTTAGTTGTGTTGTGTCCTATAGCAGCTCAGTAGCTCTGCTTAGTGTCATTATAGGTAGAATCCCACCCAGGGCAGCTATAAAAAATAATGTCCTGGGTGTCGTTAATTTGTGCATGCACGTGCCTTGTGTTAAATCCTATGTGTGTGTGTGTCTTTAGGTCTGACATCTTTGTGTTCCTGCTGAGTACCAGGGCAGGTGGTCTGGGAATCAACCTCACTGCTGCTGACACTGTGAGCCACGCACACACACACACGCACACGCATGCACACCCTTAAACACATCAGTAGTGCACAGTGTACAAGAGGTGGGGATTGTGAGGAAACATTATATGCATGAGAAACATGGGTTCATTTCACAGAAAAAAAAACTTGCCAGTGGTTCTCAAACCTCTTAAACGGTGTACATTGTATGAAGACTGATTGGCAGTATTTTGTACACCCAAGTGAATGTGTCTTGAGTCTTGTCCCTCTTGCACGTGTGCAGGTGATATTCTATGACAGTGACTGGAACCCCACAGTGGACCAGCAGGCCATGGACAGGGCTCACCGCCTCGGCCAGACCAAACAGGTCACCGTCTACCGGCTGGTGGTGAAGGGAACCATTGAGGAGAGGATTCTGCAGAGGGCCAGGGAGAAGAGCGAGGTACATACATACATACGGAGAACCTTCTTCTTATTGTAGGTGCTGTTACAAAAAGTGTGCTTTATAATGGGAGAATGAGAAAATAGCTTCCTATACATACATAACCAGTATAACACTGTGTACATACATATGTGCACACTAGACGGAAAGTATTAAGTTGTATGCTCCTACCCAGTGTGCATTTCAGTGAAGCTTTTCATGAGCTGTACAAATTGAATTCTTCGGCACCATTTGAGTCTCTTGCCCATTAAGGCTGTATATACCTCGGAAGGAAATGTGTCAGTACATGTATACACTATGTAAGGGCTAAATTTAGGACCCAATGCAAATAGGATTCCGTTTTAGTAAGATTTTATTCTGCCACGTTCCCTGTAGAAAAGGAAGTCTACTACATGAGTTCTAATGTAGTCGGTGTCTGTCAGTAAATACTAGTGTGTGTATGTACAACTGTGTGTGGGCTACAGATCCAGAAGATGGTGATCTCGGGTGGTGACTTCAAACCAGACACTCTCAAGACCAAAGAGATGGTCTCCCTCCTCCTGGACGACGACGAGATGAAATCTCGCTGTAAGTGGAGCACCTAAAGTCAGAGTTGTGAGCACATGTATAGGCTCAAAATGCAGGCAATCTCTGTTGACTTGTGAGAATCTTGCCTTACTTATGTACGTACATGTGTTGTCTTCCCGCAGTTCTGGCAAGGCAGGCAGAGAAGGAACAGGAGCAGGGGAGGAGATCCAGAGGAAAGAAGAGAAAAGGCCTCCCGGGGAGCGCTGGCGAGCCACTCTCAAAGAAGCCCAACGTCTCTGCCTCTCCCTCTCCCCTCGTCTTCTCCAGTCGTCCGGTGAGCGTCATGTCGGCCGCCAGCTCCGATGTCGCCATGAACGGCGGAGACCCAGTGATGGACATGATTGGAGGGGCAGAGGGACCGCCGCCCCAGAACTCACCGGTGGCACACAAGAAGGAGAGGAAACGCAGGACAAAGACGCCGGCACCACTGGGTGGCCGCGGAAAGTTCCAGAAGAAGAAGGGAGGTGGGGGAAGTTCTATGAGTGCTGCTGCGTCAGCCGGAGCCATGGCAGGGGCTCTCGCAGCCAGCAATGCTGCGTTTGCCACTCTGGGCTACTCCCTCCCCTCTTCCTACCCCTCCCTCGCCCAGTATCCACTCTCTGTCGGCCTTCCCGCCCAATTCCAGTACCCACGGGAGCAGTGCGCAGTCGTCTCCCCGGGCCAGCCCAAGCCCCGCCCCTTCATCGGGTGGGGTGTGGCAGCAACAGACCCCTCCCAGTTCCCGTCTCCCTGCCAGCAGAACACTCCTGAATCAGTCCAAGAACAGCAGCTAGCAGCCGTTTGTGGCTGTAGTATCTTCTCTCCGTTTCTCCCATTCTCTCTCCAATTGTGTATGCTTGTACAACACTTGTAAGCCTCGTTAATGTGTGCACACACCTTCACTGGAATATGTATGATGTGAATAATGGTCACTTTGGTATTGTGTTGTGTTCTCCAAAACACGCTAAATAGTGCCCACCCGTGGTGCGCACCATTAAGGGTAAATGGCTTCGCGGCAAAAGGAGGATCCGTACGCCCTTCTCCTAGTTGGTAGGTCTGCCACTGATGCCGAGATACGGAGGAGCTACCAGGAGCTTGCCAGAAAGGTATGCAACTGCTCAACCGCGGTAAACTGAAGTGAATGACTGATAGCTAGTTACATCCGGACAGGCTCATCGGGGATGGAGTGAGCGAGGCAGAAATAGAAGCAGCAACTGACAGGTTCCAGAAGATCAGCTGGGCATATGAGCTGCTATCCAGTGCCGAGTCTAGGAAAGAGTATGACACATCTACTGCAGGTATAGATAGCTCAGTATAATCTTGCTTCAAGGTTACGCATAGAGAGTGTGGGCCCAGGTTTATTATAGTGCTTGCATAGAAGAGGACTTGTTATGATGTCTGGAATCATGACCCACAGCACGTGAGGTGACACAGATGTGGCCACTGAGTGGCACGGTGGACCTGGACTCCATGGACTACAGCCCAGAGACTGGGACCTACTCCACGCACTGTCGCTGTGGTGGAAGCTACAGTCTGGCCGAGTCAGAGATGGAGGAGGCAGCCGTGGACACTGTCTGCTGCTCCACCTGCAGTCTAGCCATCAGAGTACTCTACCAGCAGGTGGTGGAGCCAGCTGAGGGTCAGGAGGTGGAGGAAGATGAAGCATCAGAGAGGAGTTTGTAGAAGTGTTTTAGCATGATTAAAATTTGTGTGTCATTCTTGTGTGAAATTGCAGGTTGAATGAGTCACTTGTATTACCATATATCACATTCATAAGAGATTTAGCTTGTCAATTTATTGACTAGGTGGACACATGGTGCCTAGTCCCTTAGCGTTTACCGCAGAGTTATCGCAAATATTCTGTGGTTTTGACAAAATCTAAGCTGCAACTATAATGGCATAAAAAGCTACCAACAACTGTTCTGTCTCAGTCTATACTAACACAGGGACTCAGAGGAGACGAATGCCCACTTAGTCCACTAGCTCCACCTTCAGGTAATGGATAAAGTATTTTTCATCTTTGCTGTCTCTGTACAGTTCCAGGTACAGAGGTTAATCGGTTAATAGTGCAGTAGAGAATGTCCCAGTGTTGATGTAGCCTCCCCCCTGAGCTGTCTCACAGGCTCCGTACTTGTAGTATTGATTGAATGTGAGCTTGAACGTCGACGGGAATTCGGTATCGGAAGCAACCCTTCGATTGTCCTGAGTTGCACCATCTGGGTAGCAGGGCGGGTACGTATTGTAGTTGCCTTTGTCGACTATCCACATAGAGTTGTCTCGGATTCCATCAGAGATAGCTACACGGAGATCAGAGTCTATCCCGGCTGTGTTGGGATGAGACTTGTCAAGGCCAACCGTTACGACAATGGTAGTTTTGGGGGAAATGCTTCCAAGAGAAAGTTGGAGAATTACTTTATTGTTGGCAGCTTCAGGTCCAAATTCAATGGCCCTGTCGTGGACAACAGCAGAAGGACTTATGTAGGTGGCAATAAGAGGGATTTCTTCCGCAATCGAGTGAAAAGCTCTCACTGGCTGTAGCTATCATGGGACAGAGAAATACACCAGTTGAGCTGTAAAAAATACGTACATAATATGTGCTGGCTCCGAAGTGGATGAGAGACAGGATACTGCAAAGCAAAAAGACAGTCTTGATATCCATGCCTGGAGAGTGTGTACTTATTTCTTCTCAGGGACCCAACCTGCAGCTGCAAGGATTAGAATTATGGCTAAGGGAAATGCAAGCTGCACTTTTTATAGTGTTTCAATGGTGGAGCAAAGCATTTTTGTAACACACCAGTAATGGGAAAAGGTAAGTAATGAGGTCATTAGCTAAGCCACATGTCATGCAAGCAATTTAGTGAATAAGACAAAGATACTGTAATGCTTTGAAAGTTAAATAAACTGGCAGAAGAAGATAAAGAATTTAACATATTTTGACTTGGGCTTTATAGGTGGTTTGTTGGCTAATAAGGAAAATGCGTTGGGTTGGCAGCAGAGTGACAAAGTCATGTGCAGATTAGAAGTTAGTTTTGAAGGCTTGGTGTTAGTACACAAATCAGTGCAATCACTGTGATACAGTGGCCTTATAGTTAGTTGGCCTAGCAATGCAAAGTGGCTGCGCAACAGCCCCACCCCCACTGCGCAATCTATCTAATAATGCGAAATTTCGCGTGGTACAATTTCAATATTTCACTCCCCAACATGCTTGTGCTGCTGCGATCATCTGTGAGCTCCTTCTGCAGGTAAAAGTATGTTTCTTCAAATCCCATTGGTTCCTATGAAAGTTTGTTCCAGTAGAAATCTGCTAGTGCCTCGTTTATCCCTCGCTCCCCTCTCCACTGAGCCAGGTCCTGGCCCCTCTGTAAGCTATTCGTGTGCTGTGTACGGAAAATATAGGCCTAGAGCCTACATCTTCATTTCCCCAGAGCAATAGTGATGAGTTGGTTCAAGAGCGACTCTATACCAAGGTCAATATAAAGGTTTGTTGTTCCTTACGGTTTTGTGTGTGGTTTGTGCGAGGTTTGGTGTGTCGTTGGAGGTGAAAGGAGCAGACTATGCGGTGCTGGACAGCTACTGTCGCTATGTAATCACTGCAGGGAAGGCACTTGGAGTCAACATTGGAGGAAGGTGGGTCCAGTAAGGGGTGTGTATATACCACTTATAATACTCTCCATCCCCTCTCCTACACCCTCCCACCTGGCTCCCAGAGTTGCCCTCCCCACCAGGATCCAGAAATTCACAGTTCTCAAGTCTCCACACATCTACAAGAAGCACAGAGTCCAGTACGAGATCAGGACTCACAGCAGACTCATGCAGGTATGCTATATTATACCTCTGCATGTCTTATAAATGGGTATATAGACACCGCTGTCCATAGCATAATCGGACATGTAAAATGGCTGAAATTTTACACTGGTTAGCTCGCCCATAGTGCATAGCATAATTTTGGTGCTTCAGGTGTACCTTAGACTGCGGCCAATAAAGCATAAAATTTGTATGTAGAGTTGGGCCACACAAGGATAGTACTAAAACTCTATTTGTACTCCGATGTATGTTTTTTCCCAGGTGAAGCACATTACAGGGACCACGGCGGACATATTCCTGGAGTACATCCAGAGGAACCTGCCCGAAGGAGTGGACATGAGTGTGTACCAGGAGCAGCTGGACTCCCTGCCTGCCATGCTCACCGGCCCTCCAGAGGGAGAGGAGGCTACCACAGTGACTGCCGAGGAATCAGCTAGCGGGAGGAGGAACAAACGAAGATAGTTTAATCTATCATTCGAGTAGCTACTGTTGTGCGCATGCGCGAAAGCGGAGACTGACGTGGCAAGCATTCAGTAAGAGAGTTCTCTGCCGCTGAGTTTTGGATAGACCATGACCGTGGCTGGGGTTATATTAGTCGTGTTTCTGGCGGGATCAGCTAGCGCCCTGCCCGTGGATCCGCGGCTGGACAGGCAAGCTGGCGGCGGGTACCTACCTCCCGACAGACCCGTCTACGCGGACGAGGCCGGGAAAGTGAGGCGGCCTCGGTTCCCAGACACGCCAGGTCTGGACCAGGACGAGTACAACAGATACTGGCAAGAGATGGTCAAGGAAAATCCAGGTGTGAATCATGGAAACTCCGTTTTCTCCTTAGAGAGGGAAGGGGGGGGGGGGATCAGCTTTTTGTCTAGTTCAGTGCGTAGTGTAGACTCCCGACAATAGTTGGTTCTTTCTCTTCCCCTCCTGGCAATCAGTTTCTTTTTGTCCCCTCTCTCCTCGTGTGCACCTCTCCTCCTGCAGCCATGCTGGAGCACCTGAAGAAGGGTCTAGACCCGGAGCAGCTGCCCATGCTCCACCCTAGAGTGAGTGAGAGGATGGCGAGGTCCTCGGACGGTGTCCGCAACAGACTGGAGGAGGCACGGAGGATGAACATCGACGAACTGAGGGAACTACAGAGGTTGGCTACCAGTAACTGGCATAATGGTGTACATAATGAACAAAGTAATTTGGGGGCGGGGGTTAAGTGTATGTAGTATATAATATGGAGGTGTACTAAGGGATGTCAGTGACAGTGTGATGCACTAATCAACTTCATACGTATCAGTGTGTTGGACACACTTAGGAATGTCAGCTAGTCGCGCTTCAACCATGCATAGTTACACCAGCAATCAATGTATAAGGACAGCTATGTGATAGAATGGAGCACTGTTATGACGCTAAGTGTAGCTTCAGGTGCCAAACTCACGTGTGTTACCTGGCTGTGTGCCACGTCATCCTGATTGGCATGCTGTGTGGGTTAGGTCACAAGGTGCACCATAGGTTTGTGTTGTGTATTTACTCCTCGAGGATATTTACACTGCACACTACAGCTACAAACAGGGTGACCAGAATGGTCGGTTCCCCTGTCTTTCCTCCCTTTGGCTTGCTAAAAGTACGACAAATTTAGGCCACAGTGACTTCTGACAATTTTTGCACTGCACTTTCAAGGTGTTCAGGGTGGTTGGCCTTCCTCATATTTGCTTGATAAAAGTTTGGCCACACAATAGTATAGATTTTATGCAGTAAGAGGATTGCCTACCCTCTTTCTACAGATATTATTTGTGCTGCACACTCCAGTTGTAGTAAAAGTATTCAGAGCAGTTTTTTGGACTGCCCTTCCCCCTACTCGCTTGCTAAAAGTACGAAAACCTAGGCCAATAATCATAACCCAATAATTTCGAATCCCACATAAGTATGGACACCTAATCCTAATGCTGTCGAAATAGATGGGTCCCACTGTGCCTTGGGGATGAATCAATGTATACGTCACATCCCATGTTGTGACTGTGGCAGGCTACAGCAGTCACTGCAGGAGCAGAACCGCAGGTTCTCCCCAGACTCTGAATGGGTGGCCAAAAACCAGGCTCTGAGGGATGCCCTACCCGAGCATTATGACGCCGACGACATCAGGAAGAGAATGGCTGAGGTGAGAGAGAGAGAGAGAGAGATCCTTTATACTCGCCATTACGTATAGTCTCTAATACTATGTATTACCTATGCACAGACACACATGCACACACACACACACACGCACGCACGCACGCACCACACACACACACACACACACACACACTGGTGGAGCCGCGAAACTGTAACTTTCAAGTGAGAACAAAGTACTACTAAAACCATTTCCCAACAGAGACCATTTGTAGAATTGGGCAAGCGATCCAAAAAGGTTTTCGGTTTTCTCTATGAAGCTCTTTTTACTACCATGTTGCATAATGTATATTTGCTCCCTCTATGTTCCTGTCTATGGTATATACACACTACATGTAATTGATAAGCGTGTGTGTGTGTTGTAGCAACGTCGGGTTCTGGAGGAGATAGACCGTAAGAGGAGAGAGGAATACGAACAGTACCAGCTGCAGCTGGAGCACCAGAGGAGAGAGAAACTCAAGGCCATGAACGAGGAGCAGAGACTCCAGGCAGAGAGAGCGTGAGTCGACTGTTGGGGGTTTCCCACATTTACACAATGAGTGGTGGAGCCACACTGAACAAACCACACACACACACACACACACAGACAGACCAACTGCAATAACCCTCGCTGCGTATGCGCGCAGGCGAGGGTTAATGAGTGGTGGAGCCACACTGAAGTGGAGCTTTAATAGACACTCTAACTGTAGCCATATGCATTTTGTGGACATGTGTCAAGGTGTGTAAACGTAACCTAGAAGGGGGTGGACTACGATACCTGTGTGCACTCTCAGAGATGAAAAGGCACCAAAGTCTCTAAAATAGGGGATCTGGTTTCTCTCTTGAAGGGCAAGGCAGAGTACATCTGTCCTCGTTTCATTGGATGGCTATTGTGTGTGTGTGTTTAGGTTGGAGGAGGCGAAGGAGAAACAGAAGCAGCACGAGAAGATGTACAAGCCGGCCAGCAAGCACCAGCTGGAGGAGGTCTGGGAGGAAGACGATGGGCTCAAAGACGAAAAGTTTGATCCAAAAACTTTCTTTTTCCTCCACGGTATATATGTGTGACCAGTATACAGTATACAGTATAGTACACCCTCTGTGTTACAGTATACACCTCTGAACCCTTCACACTCTGTTTCCTCGATATTTTGTCCCGATTCAAAACATTAAAGTGTGTTTTAGCCTGTTTCCTTGTATGTAGTATATACCATATATGTTAGTATTAATTGTTGCTTTGTATGTATGTAGACATTTGTGCCATTGATCAATCCTATTTGATGTGCCCACTACTATATATGACACAAATGGAGACAAGATACTTGACCCAATGGAACTTCAGGCTCTCTTCTACAGTGAGGTCAGTAACGTATCGTGTTGTACAGCACTCTCAGCAAACTGTATGACGATGATTACTAATGAAAGGGGTTGGGGGTTGAGTCCTGAACAGTTACATATACGAATACTAATGTACATGGTTTATTGGGACAACTTAACATGCTTTACCCCATACTCGGTGTTCAGGTGAAGAAGGCGTATGGTAAGAACATTGACAACATGGAGATGCAGGAGGAGCTGGCCCGGATGAGGGAGTATGCCCTGAAACAGCTGGACAAGAACGGAGATTCGCTGATAAGTCTCCAAGAGTTTTTGGCCTACACGCAGGGAGCTCAGTTTGAGGACAATGAGGAATGGAAGGGTGTGGTCGACCAGCCTGAGGTGAGGGAATCGAAAGAAGTATTGAAAGATGCCGAGATTTGATGTGCGAGTCGAATAATGTCTCAGTGCATCCAAGCATGAGTATATATAGGCCAAGTTATAGTGGTTTTTCTCATTTTTGTTGGAGTGTCTCTCATCAATAAACTTCTGGAAGCAGGATTATTTCGGGCAGCTTTCTATATATGAGGAGGGGACCCTACAGTTAATATTCTATAAAACTTTTACACTTTCTGATTCACAACCTTTGTTGTTGTTATCCCCTTCGAACTTACTTTTCTGTAGAGGTTTATTTCTATTGTAGTCTCTCTCTCTCTCTCTCTCTCTCTCTCTCGTCAGTCGTTCACAGAGGAGGAGATGAATAAGTTTGAGGAAGGCTACGAGGACTACTATGACTATGATTATGACAAGGATGGAAACATCATTGGCTTCAAGACGAGGTCCAGAGAGACAAGCAAGTCTACCGACAAACACCCACCCCAGGAACAAGAACCGCCAGGTGAACTGGGGTAGCCTACATAGGTAGCCAGTGGTTTTAACTCTCCTGCATGCAGAGTGATTACGGAATGTAACATTATATATTATGTATATAGTAGTGGAGACTAAGGCTATGTACAATAATGCCCCTGTTTGAAGTTTTGAGTCGTGTAATTCTGTGTGTGTGCACGTGTATTTGTCTGTGTGGGTATACTATATGGAGGTGGTGTGGTTCTTGCCTAGTGTGTTACACATACTCTGTGCCACGCAATACAAGGCATTGAGGTTTTGTTGTATGTCCCAGCCCCAGAAGGAGGTGTGAAAGAAATGAAGGGGGACCCTGGTGCTGATGAGCATCGTGGGCCTCCAACTCACAGAGTCGGCGAGGTAGATAGCCACCAACAGCAGCAAAAGCAGCAGCCAGAGGGACGCAATGAAGGAGTGCCAGCTGGAGGAGGACAGGTGGTGGAGGGAGTTCCGGGGCAACACCAGGATGAACATGGCCAGGAGGGGGTGCCTGGTAAAGTGGTGCAGCAGGAGATGCAAGATGATGGAATGCCAGGCCAAGAACAGATCCACATCCAGCGTGAGTATGAGACGCTACCGGCCTTGCACGTGACTACGCTTTGCTTCATTTCATCTCCACATGCATGTGTATTAACGTTGAAACTGTATGTCATTGAGTGTACATGTTACAGATGTGTAAGTATTTTTCCCCTTGTACACATACTATTATGTAGCTGCAGGGACTCAGAGGGAAGGTCAGGCACAGCAGTTCAACAAAAATAATGATCATCCAGCTCCCGGGCACCAGTAGCAGTCTCGACCGCCAAACTGAACACCACTGCATACATTATTTGTGGCAATCATTATTCTTAAGCATTATGGACGTTGCTGTTACTTTTGCCTTTTATGTGACTTTGCATAGTCTATTTTTGAGGTACAGCAGTAGAAAGCCATTGGCACAAAGCAGGCCTCAGTGAAACTTACATCTTGACAAATACATGAACTTCAAACACTCAAAATAGAACTCAACATTCAGCATTTCCACTCTTAGGAAAACCCGGAGGAATTGATAGTGGTGGTATATAGTAGTCGATCGTGCGCATGCGCGCGTTTAGCTCCTCTGCGCGTTGCTAGCAATGTCGGAGGACGGCCGTCATCGCGGCGGTTCTCCGCCAGAGCAGAGACGTCTCTCTCTGGGAGGACAGTACAGTAGAATGTAAGCTAAATATAGACAGTTCTACGGGCATGCATACTCCGAAAAACTGCAGTTATCGACGTCAGAACAGACGGATCCAGCCGACTGCAGGGCCAGCTGCACTGGAAGAGGATGTAAGTTTCGATTCTGTTGCTAGCTAGGCGTCAGAAGCAAGTGTTGCGTTATGCCCTGCAGCAGTCTTCAGCGGCTCAGCCTTCTGCACTGCAAGAATTTGTCACACCAGCCATCACTGTCACACATCCAGCAGAGGAGGTATATTGTAATACATAAACTTTTGTTGTCAATTGGTCAAGAATAAATGCTTGAAAGTAGAGTTTAGTCTAAAAATTAACTGTCCTCGGGTCTCTTGCATTTGTGTGCAGTTGGGAAGTGAGGAAGTTTCAGAGATAATTTTTCCCGAGGAGCATGTGAGTGGGGAGGAGGAAGAGCAGCTGAACAGGGATGAGGCACTTTGTTCTGCTCCACACAGTTCTTCGGCCAAAGCTCAGCCTGGTATAACTTTGTGGTGGTTTGCATTGTGGCAGTGATGTTGTAGCTACCGTGCAGGTGAGGGGCCCGGCAGACTATCGCCACCCACTGTCTTAGTGGATCAACCGATCCTTGGAAAAGAAGATGAGGAGGAAGCAGAGAAACACGAGGAAGATAGAGATGAGGAGAACGTGACTAAAGAGAGGAAAGACAGAAGTGGTGCATCACAAGGTTAGTATATCCTTCACTATCAAGTCATCACTGGAACTCTGCATACAGTGGAACACCTCTCTAAGAACACCCCTGAAATGAGGACACAGGACACCCTTCCTCCAAGAACAGTTCTTGCATTCCCTTGAAATAAGGACACCTTACCGCTATGGACACTTTAGTTGGTCCCATAGGTGTCTGAATTAGGGGAGGGGTTCCACCTGTAGACCTACTTGCTGATGTTTGCCTACTATTGTAGCCCCTAATGTTCAGGGTCACGCTGGGGTCACATAAGATCCAGAGCTCTCTCCTATCCCGTCCACTCTCCCGGCTCTGGTCTCCAGTCCATGCTTCAGGTGGCCAGACCCCAGCCAGCCACGGGAGAGAAGAGAGACGAGGGTGAAGACGAGGCTGTAGCCAGCGGAGGTGCTAGTGAGACCATGTCTAAGGTGTATTGTGTGCTTCATTCTTATATTCCCTCATGTGCATGTATGCCTTGTGTGTACTCCTGTAGGACTCATGTGAACATGAGGCACCAACACCCATGACTAAATGTAAGTATGATGCACATACAGTGGATGGTACGGAGGTTTATGCTTCACGTTGCTGCATGTTGCCGACTTCCTTTTTTGGCTGTGTCACTCTGTGTCTAGTTGTGCAAATGGCCCTGATGGCAAAAAAGTGGAAGAACAGGTCAAAAGAAGAAACAACATCCTCTAGGGTGAGTTATGGCTAACTTGCATTACTAACTGGACCCCACTATATTATGTGACTCTGCTCATTGGCTGTGTGTGTGCGTGCAGACCTCTAGAGAGAACCTGCGTGACAGACAGACGAGGAGACCCATGGTGGAGATTCCCCGTGCTCTGAAACTAGAGGTTCTGGAGGAAGCACACCAGATTGTTCACAAGACTTTGCAGAGTGAGAACCAAGCCGCCAAAGTCTGCCCCTCATATACCCTCTGTTTGTTAGAATTCCACAAGTATCTCAGTAGTAAATTCAACGTCTATAAAGACTTTGTCGTCTTGTTCAACAGGGTACAGGTCAGAGCTTGGACTGCGCCACAAGCTGACACTGCAAGCAGAGCAGCACTGTGAGAATCTGGCACAGCAACTTGGCCACACCCAGCACACCCACTGATGTTCTTACTTCAACTACACTTATTCTTGGGGAAATTTTGTTGTAATGGTATGTGGTCACAACACTTGAGAATGAATGGTGCAGGATAGAGATTGCTGCGTGTGGAGTCGCGCGAGAGTAAAGCCTAGGCCACGAACGAAGAAGGCGCACATGCATATGCGCGCGCGCAAGACTACTTGGCGCGCGCTCATGCGCGGCAACACGCCCCCTTTTGTGAACGCCCCTTTTGGATGCGCGGCGGATGATTGCAGCCCGCGTTTTGTATCATCCTCATCCTCAAGCCCTCAGTTGGTTAGTCATTCTGTGATTAGTATACAGTTAGGGTTTTATGGAAGGCCAGATTGGCCAGGGGCGCCTGTTCCCTTGCGCGGATTATGATCACTTCAGACATTTTTATGCTTTTGGAAATACCCCACCTGAGGACTTTCTACAAAGCGTATTGGTGACAGATTGTCGCGATCCTACCGTTCTTAGTCTTGGTTGTGGGGACATGCGTTCTCCTATGTTCACAATCCTCAATAATTTTGGGTTCGAAGGTGGAAAGAGAAATGGATTTAGTGGAGTGAAGTTTGTACTAAACGATTGCAGTGCCTCAATTCTTGCTCGTAACATCCTGTTTCTGTATCTCTGTACAACTATGCCGGAGTCTATCGATAATCGAAAAGAGTGGATAGCTTCAATTTGGTCCCTTTGGTATAACCATGAGCTACAGCCACAGCATAAGCAAATGCTTGAGTTAGCGACACAAAAGCTTATTGATTGGTCCATTACCTGGCAAAGTTGGTCCAGTTGCCCCCTTGGTAATGTTGTGCAGTTTTCTTCGCCAGCTACATTTGCTAAAGTGAAGGCAATTTGGAGCAATTGGAAATCTTATACTAATAAAAGTGTTCCGGAAATGAAATCAGAAAGAGAAGAATTTCAAATGTTTCACTTGTTGGCAATGGGCATTCCTCCAAATAGTAACAGAGAGGAAGGATTAAAGATACGTGCAAGTGAAGATGTTAAAATAAACCTAGCTATACATTGCTATGATACGAGGCTTGAGGAAACGATTGTGGGCGAGCATTTACAGTATCTGAGTAGTGGTACCGCATGGGCAGAAAAGGTTCTTGGCATTTCAATGCCTGATCAGAGCACGGTTGTTAATCCAACACTCTTTGAGCAAGATAATATATACAATTTGCACTATTCTTTAACCCCTTACAAGGGCTTTAGTTCAAATTTTCAGTATATGCCTACTGGTCTAGGAGGTGAAATATTGAGACTCCTGCCTGTAGCTGATCGCCACTTTAAGTCACAACCTATGCTAGCTAATGCCGTTCAACAGTTTTCTATGATGTTGCAAGCAACAGCTAACACGCTAAAATGTAAAAAGGTGTCATTCACATTTCATATTGGTGATTCTATAGAATATTGCTATTATCGACTCCGTGATTTTTCTGAAATGCCCATCTTGTTTGATGCAATATATACATCCAATCTCTTTGACTATATCTGTCCTTCAAAGTTAGTTTTTAGCACATGTTCTCTACTAAAGCACACTGGTACACTGTTCACGGCCACATTATAACTTTTGTGGCCAAAGAATAACGAGTTTCTCGAAACCCATTTTGGCTTCCCTCCAGAGTTATTTCCTGCTTTTCTTGGTGTACGTTGTATTGGCCAGGATGGTCAATATTCATCATCTATTAACCACAGGCCTTGTCCAAATTCATTGCTCCCATTTTCCCACTGCACCACTTTTCCTTGGAGAGAAGTAAAATCACAGCTGCTTGTAATAGATAATATTGGGGAGTCCAAAAGAGCAGTCGATTGCCTGTCTACATTATTTTCTACTGTATGCCTCCTTAACGATCCAATTGAGAGCTTTTTATCTGTCTTGCAACAATTTTTAAAACGAGTGCAACCACCCATTTCATGTCCGCAATTTTTGAATGCACTTGTTATTGCAATAAAAGATAATACGAGTGTACAGTCGTATCTCGTTCAACTGCAAACTCAGTCTTGGCTGCATGGTTTGCACATGCATATCACTGTTACGGAGGACAACTGCCCTGTCTGCAAGCAACAGCCACTAGAGGGTTATATTCAGCAATTTTGTTTGTCGGTTGAGATGAGCCAACGCAATGCCGAGAAATTTTTACTAGAATTATCAAGTCCACATGTAACAATAACATCATTTGCTGCTAAAGTTGCTAGCTCAAAATTGGAGCTAACCTTTTACCTACCAAAAGATTATTGTTCTTCAAAAAATGGGACTTTGACTGTTCAAACAACTAAAGATATAGAGCTCGGAATATGGGGTTTTAAAACAATTGTCCCAGTGACAAAAAATATATTCAAGGGTACAATGGAAAGCTTGAAGGCCTCCGCTATTGATTACATTTTTTGCCCACCCTGTGTTAGAGAACCATGCGTGCAAGCATTACCGTTAGGACGTATTGTTAAGCACATGGACAACGGCTCCAGTTTTGAGACAGTTATATCCATGAATGCTACCTGCCTGACAACACTGAAGGACAGCAAATTGAATGTGCAACCTAATTATGACCACCTATTGTTACAGTGTGGATCATTAACCTATACAATTTTGTACCCATTCGCAATCAGGCCAGCCAAAGTTTCAGTGGAAACTAAAAAAAATAGTCAAATTTTCGTTACAGTGGAGCGTGATGGCAGCATATTCTACAAAGAAAGGTCGACCTATTACATTAACCCAGGGAATCAATTAGCTCTCCCAAGATTTAAGTGCGATATTGATGCAATGAGAAAATATTGCTACTTGCAAGCACTATACACTGTACAAGGTTATCCCACCTGTTTTACACACCTGTTTACGTACTTCGTGAATGGAAAAAAGCGCAGTTTAATATCAGGGAAACCTTCCAAAAGATATACATATGTTTACATCCATGACCTACACTACAGCCCAATTTTCGGTTCACCGGCTCTTGAAGTGTCGTATTGTTTTTTGGATGAAAAACCAGACTATCTTCGTTTAGAAATTGCTAGCCAATTGCAAGGAAGTTCAGAATTTGACTTCAACCCAATAGATGATGTTGAATACACTTTAATGAAAGAGATTTTCAAGTATTTTTCAGCTATTACAAAGTGCAAAATTTCCACTGTGGAACCCCCTGCTCGTATATTCCTGAATGCACGGGAGCATTTTGACCATGCTGTTCTGTTTCCACTCTATCCAAACCATGCAAATCCTAGGTTTAAGAAACAGCTTAAGTTTATGGATGGTGTACCTACCCCTGTGACTCCTTTGCTGGACGAAAATTATATTTTACAATGTGGCAAGGGAAGGAAGGATGTCTGCTCTTTCTGCAAGGACTCAGAGATAACAATAACATGTGACCATTGTGAAACGGCAAAATACTGTAGCAATGAATGCAAGGACATGCATTGGCTGTATCACAGTAATGTTTGTGACCGAAATAGGGATACAGAAAATAAAGGGTGTGCCGAAAAAGCATCAAAACCGAGCAGTCACGTGTGTTCACAGTGTGGAAGGAGAAGAGATTCGTGCAAATGTTGCAGCAAATGTAAAAATGCATGGTATTGCAATGAAAAATGTCAGCGTCTACATTTTCCTCAGCACAAGGAAACGTGTGCAGCTCAAAAGTAGATGAACAATATTTATAAAGACTACATCCCACATATTACAATTGTTAATGAAAAGCACTGAAGTGTAAACCCTCGGCGAACTGCGCATGCGCGGTACCGCTAATTGATGGGCTGGGCTATTAGTATGCGTTTACTCGTGGTCTCCGGCTAGCATAGCTCACAGAGAGTCTGACACGGGCTAGCAACAGTAGTAAATAGCGTGCAGGAGTCAATACACGCTCTTCATTGTGACTTGTGCCTTCAAGATACACAGAGCAAGCGGACCCGCCTAATGATTTTGGATCACACTGCATCACGTGATAAGCTTATAGATTAATATACTAGGTCTTACAACACGCCATAATAAAATCAGAAACACACAATTATGTGGTGGTATGGAAATTATATAGGTGCAGATAAAGGACCATTGCTATATCAATCCACGTCTCTTCTTGTAGTCTGCCAGGTTCAGTGATCTCTTTGGGGCGTCGTTGGTGCGAGGTGTCGAGGTGACTGCAGACTTGTTGAGGGTCTTGACCGAGGTCGTACCTGACACACAGACAAAGTATATTATGGGCACAGGGCAGTAATGAGAGGCCACGGCAATGATTCTTGTGGGTCACACTTTTCACCACGACATTCGCTACAAACGCTCAACTTTATAATCGCTAAAAAACACTCGTCATCACTCAGAATAAAACTTCTGTGTTTAAAGTGAGCATTGTAACCATGTGCACCCGTGAATCCTTGATGCCAGACCAGAGTTGCTGGTCCAACACTTACACTCCATGCACAACAACTATTCACTGAAGTAGGTGCAACTTGAAACCACTATTCTTCACTGAAGTGGGTGAGGGGCTGACCTTCAGGAGTGGAGGGGAGGTCGATTTGAATGTCGAAGTCGTGTGCGGAGAACAGGTCGTGAGAAGAAGAGGCGGAGGAGGAGGTGGGCGGGGCCGGGGTTGAGGAGAGGAGACTGGCGTTGGGTGTGGACTGGTCTCCTCCACCCAGGGAGGCCAACTTCTGAGAGGTACACACAGAGAGAGGCAGACTAGATGATCCGGCCTCACAGAGAGCTATATACACACTGTAGTGTATCTACCTGGCCATTGGGAGTCGAAGGTCTGCTAGTCTTGTCAGCAGCTGCAACCTCCTCCTGTGAACATACGTAAACACTCCTAAATTCTTGCAACCACTACATATCGAAAACTACACGTTGTAAAAGTCATAGCAGTCTCCGGTTCGTTTGCACGCAGTTGGTTGTTTGTAGCATTTGTGGTGCATGAGAGAAGTATAGCTGCTTTGTTTCATTGGCACAACATGTGCAGTATGTAGCAAACTACAGTACTTTCTAGCGATAGCTGGATAATGTGTGTTCACCGAGGCATATATAGAAGGCTCACCTGAGTAGATTTCTTGTCTCCCTCCACCCGTCGAGCTCCCTGAACTGTCCCCGAGCCGTCCACTACATCCTTTGTCTGAACAGGACAGAGCAAATCTAACACGGAAACCGACTAACGAATATGCCGGCATTCGGCGTAATGAGCAACAGGCTGTTTCTTACCAGAGTGACTAGAGTCGGTTTACAGCGTCGTCTGGTGAAAGGATCGTCATCCTTCATCTTGTCCACTGCTAACTCCGCCTGTGTAATGATGGCATTATATATTCCATACACACAGCTTGAGATGGACCAGTTTGTGTATATACTAGCTTGTGTGGGGTCCCAATGCAGTAGCTAACCTACAGGACAGCACTAAAAAAGAAAAGTCATGCTCTATGAACACATGACACTGCTCTCCAGTCTATAATACCCACTGTTAGTGTAGATCATGTGAGAATCATGTGAGAATCATGTGACATGTGGAAGACTGACCTTCAGAGCCTCTTCTGCTCTGGAAACATTTCTCTGACGATTCCGTTCATTGATGTAACTGTCAACATAATGATACAGGTACAGGTATGAACATTTGAGAATGGAAACTAAGGTGTTTCTCCATGTAATTTTGTTGGTAGGAGGGACATTGTATTGTGGGATTAGCAACCCCCATTACACTTACACTTGCTACTGAACCTCTCGTAAGTTTCCCACCTCTAATGGACACTTTGAATAAATGACTCTCACTGGTCCCTTGCAACTGGATGCGACGACCCTATTTCTAACTAAGTGGCTGACCTGATGGCAGAGAGTCCTTTGGAGCGTTGTTTGTCCAGCTGCTCTGCCTTCTCCTCCAGTTCCAGTAGCTCCTGAGTCAGCGCGGAGACTGTCTCCGTGTCTCCATCCTCCTCTGCCAACTCCTGCACACAGTCACACACAAAGCTACACAACAATGTGACAAACTGCCCCTACTTGTGTATTTCTCAAAATTATCCACAGTTTCTCTACACACAAGCTGGTTCAGCCAGTCTCTAATAGCGTTCACCTATAGCAAATCAGCTACAGTCTCTATAATAATTGCAAGTAAGCTAACATGCAGTAAGACCTCAGTAGGGACAGTAAAGATTACGTGTGTATACTTTTCTCCGGAAGAGTCTGTTCTTGGTCATGGCGTAGTTGGTGGGAGCTTTTCTGAACTTCTGCTTCTCCAGTATGATCTGAGTTGGTTGCAGCAAAACACCGTTTAGTGGGCTACTGTAACACCCTGTAATATGAATGGCTAGAGAGTGCACGACACAAGGTTTAGGATGTACTAAAACATATGGGCCATATACTACTATGAGATTTACATTATACTGTATAACCCACTGTCATAAATGTGAAGCAATCTCTGGGCAGAGCTCCACTGACAGGCTGCACACGTACATACATGTGGTGGTGGTGGGGTGACAAACATACAGTACCTTGTCAATGTCTTCCTCCTTGAACTGGAAAGACTTGGCCTGCTCGATGCGTTTGCTCTTCTTCCTGATGAAGTCAACTGTAGGCAGAGGCTGGCCTCTCTGCGCCAGCTGCAAATATTGTAACATCACAGATCATAATTCCAATGGCCTTAGCTACCAAGAACTGTAGTACGTGGGTGTACATGTTGACTGCAGGTTGAGAGTATTGACAGGGCGGTTGCTCAGGTTTTTGTCTCTACAAAGTTCAGTTGCATAAAATTATCTCCATGTGTGCTTCTACTGTGGGACAGAAGTACTGAGCCGGAAACTCCCCCCTCGAGTTGGCATTTCACACAACACCATAATGTGTGCAGAATGTAGCGCTGCGTTAGAACGACACCCTATACTCAAGGGCTGACAACATCAAACTGGTTGTGCAGAGCAACGTAGAACGCGAAACGCTCGTATACGTACTTCAGTCTTCCATTTGGAGAACTCAGAGTCAGTGAACGGACTGTTGGAGACGTACTCCATTCTGAAGGACCTCTCCTGTGGTCCATGTCTGTGATGATCAACATACAGAGAGACGCATGAAGCCTTGTCGCCCACCACCCCTTCCTCCCAACAAAGGCTTAAACAAATTCTTCCACACGTATGAACGGACAAATACTTTAACCATAGGATCTTAGTTTGTGGCACGAAAGAAGAAATGTCAGAGCGAGATAGGGCAAATAAATGTTAGAGTGAGATGTAGGGGGAAATGAGAAAGTTAGGATCAAGATATGGAGAATTATATACTTCAAACCCCTGCCGCCCATAACAACACGCTGCAAGTTGAGGAAACCAACGGTCCCCAACACTCTATGAGTACCCATCACTAATGTGCACGCTGGCAATAAACCCCACGTCCCATATGCCAAAGAAAAAAGCTGACCTCAGTCTGAGGCACTTGTTAGTCTTGGTAGGCCCCAGAGAGTAGACCTTTTGGTTCTCTATCACCTCCGTTATCTCACACACCTACACATAGCAGTTTGGCACATTTTTGATACAGATTAATATGCAAAATGTGGTCCTGCAAAAGAGTGTGTGTGTGTGTGTGTAGTTGCGTGTGGTTGTCTCACTCTGTAGACCATTCTGCCCTCGTGGGCTCCAATCCCGACCCTCACATAGCAACCAACAGCCACGTCTCTGAAGAACGGCATATGAACCCACCTGCACCACAGACACAGTGACGTTTCAACCGTGGTTTATATATGGAACTAACCCAACAGTCTCCAATACCTCTGTATTTTGTGTACGTAACTTTCACCATCATACTCTTATGTATAATAATTATACCTCTTATAAAAGACACTTGATTCTTTCTCTTATATACATAGGTGTATAAATTTACCTCTGAAAAAGAGATGCCTATGAATATCCCTATATATCTTGCCTCAATTTCCGTTTTCTTTTCTCCCACCACCAAAAAAGGGATCATTAATCATGTTGCGTTTTTTGTAGGCACAAGAGTGGAAGAAGAGACAAACCAACTATGCTTAGTACTTTGACTAGTGTTGGAGTGTGGAATCGTAACATCTGCCATATTGCTGCACCTATCCCTATCTCCCCCAAATTTCGCTATCCTCCCTAAGTAAGGGTGTCAACGATTTCGCATTTTGTGTAGGCACAAGAGTGGAAGAAGAGACAAACCAACTATGCGTAGTACTTTGACTAGTGTTGGAGTGTGGAATCGTAACATCTGCTATCTTGCTGCACCTATCCCTATCTCCCTCAAATTTCGCTGTCCCCCCTAAATAAAGGTGTCAACGATTTCGCATTTTGTGTAGGCACAAGAGTGGAAGAAGAAACAAACCAACTATGCGTAGTACTTTGACTAGTGTTGGAGTGTGGAATCGTAACATCTGCTATCTTGCTGCACCTATCCCTATCTCCCCCAAATTTCGCTGTCCTCCCTAAGTAAGGGTGTCAACGATTTCGCATTTTTTTGTAGGCACAAGAGTGGAAGAAGAGACAAACCAACTATGCGTAGTACTTTGACTAGTGTTGGAGTGTGGAATCGTAACATCTGCTATCTTGCTGCACCTATCCCTATCTCCCTCAAATTTCGCTGTCCCCCCTAAATAAAGGTGTCAACGATTTCGCATTTTGTGTAGGCACAAGAGTGGAAGAAGAAACAAACCAACTATGCGTAGTACTTTGACTAGTGTTGGAGTGTGGAATCGTAACATCTGCTATCTTGCTGCACCTATCCCTATCTCCCCAAATTTCGCTATCCTCCCTAAGTAAAGGGTGTCAATGATTTCGCATTTTTTTGTAGGCACAAGAGTGGAAGAAGAGACAAACCAACTATGCGTAGTACTTTGACTAGTGTTGGAGTGTGGAATCGTAACATCTGCTATCTTGCTGCACCTATCCCTATCTCCCCCAAATTTCGCTATCCTCCCTAAGTAAGGGTGTCAACGATTTCGCATTTTTTGTAGGCACAAGAGTGGAAGAAGAGACAAACCAACTATGCGTAGTACTTTGACTAGTGTTGGAGTGTGGAATCGTAACATCTGCCATATTGCTGCACCTATCCCTATCTCCCCCAAATTTCGCTATCCTCCCTAAGTAAGGGTGTCAACGATTTCGCATTTTTTGTAGGCACAAGTGTGGAAGAAGAGACAAACCAACTATGCTTAGTACTTTGACTACAGTTGGAGTATGGAATAGTAAGGTCTTCTATTCACCTACTCCTATTTCGCTTAAACCGTCGCCTCCATTTCGCTGTCCCTTAACCACGTACTGTTGACGGTAACACCACCTTAGCTCTTTATTGTTAATTTCAGGCAAACACTGGTAAATCTGTAACTTGAGGATTTTATGTACATTTTAAAGCCTTCACGTTAAGTGCGCGTGCAACAGTGTGCAGCTGTCTATTATTGTGACACCCACTTTTCTAGTCTGAATCGAGACAGCTTTATCTTGGTGAGTTCCTCCAGATTGGAGATGTAGCGAAGGGCTGAGTCATGTGACCCTCCAGCAGACCTGCACAACAAACAGATCATTTTTAATCCCTCATCTCCCTCTCTTTCCTCCTCTCACACCTAACACAGACCTTTTTCTACGTGAGAATCAAACAGCACACACTTACAAAAGAAAGAGAAGTGAAAAAGAAAGAGATGGAGAGGGTCAGGCATGAACCACATCTAACACAGCTATATACTCTCACTGCACATACATTCGTTGCAGCCTCTCTCCCTCCCTCCCCCTCACCTGCCCCCGGACTCATCCTCTGAGTCTCCTCCCTCAGACTCCGAGCCACTGGAAGAGGAGCTCTCTGGCTCAGAGTTACTGGATACACTTCAGCTGCATTCAGTGGCTCCTTGGCCGCCTGTCTGGCAGCTGGTGCCTGCGTCTCCTGCACCTCTTCACGTTTCTGCTTGTCTAAGAGTCACACGACATGGAGAGAATGTGTATACATGTGTACGTACAACTGGCAGTCAATATTTGCCTCAAACATAACATGCTATTGCATACCGCCAAATTTCCCCAAGTAGTTCTTTAACTAACATTACGCTTAAGACATTGAGCAGAATTGGATAATTTACCACTTGAGAGTTAAACGAGGTCAGGGTAAGTACGTAAAAGGTTTGGCTCAAACCCAAATTGGCACTACAGTGTAATTCCCCCCCTTGGGCCCAAGAAGACAGAAGTTGGGGAACTACGCTCTATGGCCAGAACCCCAGTACTGCAAGGCCTCGGAGTTCTTCTCGGGGACTAAGAGAGAATGTACTATGAAACCTGGTGACTGGGATGTGTATATATGTACATGTGTAAGAGAGACACCCTACCATATCTCATGTACTACTGTTGGCTCCACCCAGTGCTCTGAGTGCATGGTCTACAACGGCCCCGCAGTGCTGTAGATGCCATCAGTTAATCTTTGCTTAGCACAACTTTCTTACAAGTGAAACCTAAAACACGACACACAGTAGGCCCGGATACAGTAACGTGGGTAGCTTCTTCAAGTTTCAAACCATTGAGGCAGGCCTGGGTATTGTGAGAAGGCAGGCCTGGGCTCGTCTCACCTGCGCTCCTCTTTGCCTTGAGCTCGTCGATGGCCTTTGACTTGCTCGAGTCCTCCAGTCGGCTACGTCTGCTCGACCGGATTACTCTGTTCTGCTCTCGCTCAACCTGCTCCCTCGCCTTCTTCTTCTTCGCCCGCCGCTCCCGGCGCAGCTTATGTTCTATCTCGAACCTCGTCTTCTGCATCTGTCTCTTCTCATACCTGCCGGCCAGGGGCAGAGAGAGACGTTTGCTAGCACGGAAATCAAGTATCTATCTACTATCGGTTTCAGGGCCAATTAAAACAATCACAGAGTATTGAAAAGCAAGATCTGCAAAGGCCTCAGGTCAGTTTTAAACCGTAACGTCTTTAAGTATCACACAGTACATATAGTTGCCAGCTTCCACTGATACTAGTGAGATCTACATATAACGTCAGACCAATACCTTCTTCCTGTGTACCTAATGGAGATTACAGTGCATCATTATATGTACAAGGTCTCTCAGTAAGAGGGTCCAGTAAGTCAAGAGGCTTACAGCTCACCTCATGTACATCTCCTGCTCCCTCTCAATGTCGGTCATGTTGGAGAGTTTGCTGCGGTCCTCCTCGTCCCCCACCAGATCCTCGTCCAGCCCGTCGTCAAACTGGAGTGACTCGTCTGACGAGCTCTCAGAGTCGCTGGAGCTGCTATCACCACTACTCTCGCTGGACCCTCCCTGGACACACATCCACACAGCAACACCACCAGTTTTTTTACATACATACGTACAATTGACCAATAATAATAATACATGCATGTGGCTAATATGTTTGTCAGAAGCATTAGTGTATATATATATAAGTGTTTCCTTTGTTGCCCTTCAGGCGGTTCATAATTCTGCTGCTGTCACATGTATTCATGCTGCTGACACATCACATGTAACCTAACTACGGTGGGGCAGATTTTTTTAAACCTATGTAATGGCAACAGGGAACTGGGTATATACCCTTACAGCGAGATTGCTGTTCCTGAGCAAACTGAAAGTTTTCTCCTAGGAATATGTGGGTGGGGACCATTTGTATGCCTGGAACATGTGTTTTCTATAAACAATGCATAGTTTTTCTCTGAGATTTCCTCCAAGAAGTGTGTCACTAAGTCACGAGTTTTTCCTCACAAAGTTCACCACTAAAATGGCATATACCTGTGACTCTCTAGCTTGCTCCTCTCCTTCATCATCATCATGACTGGAGCCAGAGGTCGACGGACGAGCAGGAGCCATCTTTCTGCCAGCTGGCATTCTCTTGCCGATCTGTCCCCCCTTCCCCCCCTTGTTCGCCTTCTTCTTCTCCTTCTCCACTCCCTTCTTCTCCCCCATTGTCCACTGTAGAGGACGGAGAGAGGGGGAAGAGGGAGGGAGAGGAAGGGGGTGGAGGAGAGAGAGAGTGGGATAGGGGAGAGGGGAATCATAGGAGGGGGAAAATGGAATTCACGTTTATGCCATTCACACAGCCACAACTGCAAATTTTTGCTCCACTGAGGAATGTGGCAATGATTACCAGGAACGCACACCTGTTAAACACGACACATACCAGACACTGTGTGTCACAGGAACAGTACAGGAGCACTTTAAGGTCAGGTACAACATGATTGGCATACCATACATACATGTGAGCCCCTTTAATTCAGACACCAAGAATGGTCCATAAATTATTAGTAAAGTGAAGAACAGTCTTAGGTGTAGAGAGGTGTCCTCAGAGGTGTGTTTAGAGAGGGGCTCCACTGTAGTGAACGTCTATGCAATATGTACCTCATCATCACTGCCTGAGCTTGAGCCAGAGCTGCTCGAGTGTGCAGTTGTAGCCACCGGAGCTGGCTTGTGCCGCTTGGCCTTCTGAGCCTTCAGCTCCTGCGGCGTGTGCACAAACAGTATCGGTGTGAGAGAGACTGCATTTTACTACACAGTTCAGCTGTAGTTGATACAGTGTGACCACTTTTGAGTGTGTACAAGGGGCAAAGGTGCATGGAAGGCTGTATATAGCCAATGTGTGCAAATACCCTATAAGCCAAGGAGAATTGGGGGTAGGGGGTGTTGACGGCATAGCTACAGATTGGAAAAAGGCTGAATCATTGATAGGTATCTTGAATGATTGATAGGATCGATGATAGATACCAGCCCTTGCAACGATCAACGTGCCAACTACCATGGTACCACCAGTCGTTTTTACAACACGCCAACTTTTTCGCACCGTCCCAAGGCTTTTGAGACGGTGTCCAACGTGACAGGCGTCTCCACAAACCTACCTGCTCTATATCGCTACTCCCCATGTCGTCGCTATCCGACACGATCTTGGCCCGCCTTTTCGTCTTAGAAGACATATCGAACTCCCTCACTCACACTCCGAGGACGATCGAAGGGCAGGGAGAGACGGTAACCCTTTTCGCACTAATTTTTCGGTACGCTAATCACGTGACAACACGTGATCCCGAAAGATGGCGCGCATGCGCGTTGACATGACGAGACAGTTGCAGCCAAATGATGGGAATTGCATCTGTATTGTGCTGTCAGAGAGGTGTAGATAAAAGACACTAGCAGGTGTAGGCATCAGTATCTCCAGCGCCACATGAAGACTAGAGCCAGAAGTCCGGAGAGGAATGCAATGAGGTACACGTCCCAGTTCTGGCCAGCCACGGCCTCCACCTCTGCCACCGTCTCTGGCGATGACATAGCCTGGAGAGTGGGGGGAAAGATGGGCTGCAAATGGAATGGGCAACATTGTCATAATTATTATGCTGTCCACAAGATATTGAGCGTGCACTGATAAACACCATACTGTGATATATATACAGAAAGTCGTACACTGTAGATTTACCCCATTATTCCTAATTCCATTATGAATGTTAGAACAACATCACAATAAAGTCTGCCGATACTACTACAGCCTGACAGTTGCAGTGTATACCTCAGACAGCCAGTCGAAGTAGTAGAGGACGTTGAGGTTCAACAGAGCCAAGGTGACGGGGACATTTGCCTCTCCACTGGTCTCAGCCGCCAGATCATAGTACCTCTTGGCTAGATGGTAGTCCTGGGAGAACACAAACACACCATTGCATCCAGAGTTATAAGAACATCACTTAGGTGTTGGAATGGATCAATTCTGTACCTACAACCAGAATAGCCATTAAATTATACTGCACGAAACCGAGCTTTATGAGTAGATGATTTAGAAGACTGTGTACATCATTGCTTGCTCATTTTGCTTCTCAATAATAGGTACAGGTCGGCATCATAGTTTTTGTAATGTAAATCTGTCGAAATTTGTTAGCCCATTATGTGCAGCTATATAATATGTGCTATAGACATTAACATGCATACACTGTTAGTGGAGTATACACTCAAGCCCACGACAGCTAACCTTCTTCAGACCGTACCCCTGCTGGTACATGTAGGCCAGGTTGAACATGGCTTGTGCCGACGACTGCTTGTCGCTGGCAATGCGGTACTGGCTAGCTGCCGCCTCGTAGTTGACCTCTGTACCCTGACCATAGTAGTAATAGTCTCCCAGTTTAACCCTCGCCATCGCATAGCCTGGGGAACAATGTAGTGAAAGTAAGAGTTCGGATACTTTAGGCCTACAGAGTTCACAATACATAGGTCTAAGGAGATTTTTAGACTACTGAATCGTGGTTTTATTCGCCAAGGAGGAATTTGTCCATTAAAAGATGCATTAGGGTGTATGCATACACACACGCCAGGCAACGAAAATCTGTTTTGCCTACTTGGAACTGGACTATACGGTAACTTGAAAATACACACACGCACACATGCACAAGGTGAGGACCTTGAGAAGCAGATCTGTTCCAGAGAATCAGTGCCCTCTTCAAAGTCTCTTTCTCTTGCACTAGAGAGAGACCCTCTGCAAACATAACATTACAGCAGTTGACAAGTGTAGGAAACGATACCGTGCTCCATTATAATGGTAAATTAAGTCCCTTTTAAGAGCTGTTCTGTTCCTTGAAACTACACATATCACCCCACTGCATTGTACCATATACTGTATGTCTGGCCTAAATACAGACACACACCTTGCTCCAATATGTACGCAGCGTTGGTCTGTGCCACCTCGAGTCCCATCTCGGCCATGAGGAGATAGACCATGAGGGCAGAGTCCAGGTCCCCCGCCTCGTAGCTCCGCTCGGCGTCCTCCATCATCCTCGTCCACTGCCCCCTCTCTGCCACTCCCTTGAACAGCTGCCATTGGGGGGAGAGGACAGTACACACTCAATAGAGGTTTTGCGCCATTACGTAATAGTTTTCCGGAAGTCAGCCATTCTTCGCTTAGTGATTTGCCTTCCAATATTATGGCCACCGTTGCTACGGAAACGTGTATTAAGTAGTGACGTGTGAACACACATTTAGGTAACTTTAGCTCTTAGACATTGTCTTTTTCCCTCTATTATATCAGAGTTAACGTCAAGAACTACTGGGCTATTTGGCCTTCTCACCTCCACTGCATAGTTGCAGTTCCTCTTGACCGCCTGTCCTTCAGCATGCATCTCAGCCAGACTGTAGATAGCCAACAGGTGACCTGCAACAGGAGATTTACCACACCATTATACGTAAAAGCAAGAACTTTCGAGCGGGTATATATAGCCTACCTCCGTGAGATGCCAGCTGAAAGTATCTCACAGCTTTGTTGAGATTACGCTTCGTACCGTAGCCCTCTGCAGAGCATAAAATCCATTCTGTCATCTACACAAACTCATTAGGCTCCACCCCTGCCTCTAGTCCTGATCACACCTCCGGAAGAGGGGTGGAGAGAAAAAGAAAAAGAAAAAGAAAAAGCAACGGTGTGTACGTCGTACGTACCGCGGAACATGTGTCCAAGATAGTACTGAGCCTCCGCTGAGCCCTTGTCTGCAGCCATTTGAAACAGCTCCAGAGCTTGGATATAGTCCTGGGGGCACACGTACAGACTGCTAGCGACAATGGCAAGTCTTGAGCAAACTCAATACACACAGTACGTTCTCTTATTCTATGGCAGGGACATTAAGAAACCCCCCTTCACGAACAGTACTGACTGCACAATTGTTTTTACAACTTCAGGAAAGACCGTTTCAAGATTGCATGTACATATATACATACAAATGGTCCTTGCCATAGGATCATTCGTGTGGATGGCCATCGATAAATTCACAGGTTTTCTCCCTTGAAATGTTCCCACTATACAGTTGTTACCTGCTCCACTCCCATTCCAAAGTAGTAGAGCATTCCCATCCCACTGCACCCGTCAGCATGACCCTGCCAGGGAGATCACATGACACGTCACATGACATACCGAGCAGCAGCAGCAACAGTGTGCCTACCATGTCCTTGGCCTTCTGGAAGTGCTCCATGGCAGCCTCGTAGTCCTGGGGCACCTCTTCACTACCCTCGGCATACATCTGTAGAGACCATTAGCAACTGATGTACATATAAAAGGCTCTTTAACCCACCGCCCCAGTTCTCAAGGCTGGGCACCTGGTGTCCTACCTTGTTGTGTGCAACTGTGTTGTTTGTGTCTGTGTGTGTACTTGGGTGGAGGATGGGGGGTGGAGGGTGACTTCTGGTTTTCTATTCTCTGTGGCTAGTACATGCTCTAAATATACTTTTCATATACAGTGGAACCCCTCTAATCTGGACAGAAATTAATGGAACAGACGAACGTGTCCATATTAGTGGAGTGGCCTTAATTCAAGGGCTAATTTGTATGCAAGAAACTGTTCTTGGGAAAGAAACTTATAAGAGGGGTGTTTTAATAACAGGGGTGTCCTCAGAGAGGGGTTCTGATGTACTAACATACATACCTACATCATACGTGGGTAAGTAAGCCTTTGCCCCTTCCTATTATATTATATGCACGATGTCACCAATATTGTACGTGGGTTTACACGGCTCTAGTTGGCCCTTCCTATTACACTACATGCACGATGTCACCAATATTGTACGTGGGTTTACACGGCTCTAGTTGGCCCTTCCTATTACACTACATGCACGATGTCACCAATATTGTACGTGGGTTTACACGGCTCTAGTTGGCCCTTCCTATTACACTACATGCACGATGTCACCAATATTGTACGTGGGTTTACACGGCTCTAGTTGGCCCTTCCTATTACACGATGTCACCAATATGTCGGGGTTTACACGGCTTAGTGGCTCCTATTACACGTCACCAATATTGTACGTGGGTTTACACGGCTCTAGTTGGCCCTTCCTATTACACTACATGCACGATGTCACCAATATTGTAGATGTCACTAATATTGTACGTGGGTTTACACCGCTCTAGTTGGGATCAAACGTGTGTTTGAAGTCCGGTGTGTGTAGGCAAGAGGTGGGGGGGAGACGAGGAGAGGAACCTGGTAATATGGCGGTAATTGGCAGTGAGATGCAAGGCACACAGCCAGCCAAAGCAGCCTTCTCAAATACACCGTGCATTACATGTATCCTCTCCCTACACATTTAGTTTGGGGGATATCACTAAGTACGGTAGTACTCAGTATATAGGGATGACACAGGTTGTCCTGCATTATACCTATGCATTTGCGATTTTTAATATATACTTCTCATGCGAGGCTGTCAGAGAGAGCCAAATCTCTGCATTAGCAAGGCTTTGCAAGGCCAGAGAGCCACTCACTAGCGCAATCAATACTCCAAGATGCAGCCATACATAACTCTAGGGACATTCACCACGCACACCCGAAGCAATGGGTGGAGCCAGCAGAAATTTTTTGCACATGAGTTTGTTGAATGCACAAATTTTCATGAACGAGCAAAAAAAATGTCACCTTGCCTATCAGAGCATAAGCAGCAGCAAAGCCGTCCCTTGCAGCTCCTTCCAGAATTTCAGCGCCATCTGCAGTGGGTTAAACCAACACAATGTTGTGTACATCACATGCACTGCACACGTCTAACGGTACATGCACACAATCCGATGATTTTAGCAGCTAATATTCAACAACACTCTTAGGTTCTACCGGGCAGTTACGTATGTATGTAGCTGCTTTTGCAATGGCCAATCCTCTATCTTGCATGTTTTCAGAGAAGAAAGCAGCTGCCATATTACCATGTACACACATGTGTAATACACTCCACTGCATTATGTATGTATGTATGTATGTATGTATGTATGTCTCAAAGCAGGCTATTTTAATAGGGGTCGATGTACTGAGACAGATTGGCTGGAACATGTACAGGTATTGAGGTTAGTGTTTCAAACTGTTTACCTTGAAACTCCTCTCCGCCCCGGCCATTCCAAACATGTAGTACACACCAAGGAGCACCTGTGTATGTATGTATGTATGTATGTATGTATGTATGTCAGTAGTATGTATGTATGTATGTATGTATGTATGTATGTATGTTGTATGTGTATGTATGTATGTATGTATGTATGTATGTATGTATGTATGTAGATACAACACACATACGTTGTATTAAATATGTATATGTATACATTGTGTATTAGTTCACGTACACCACTGATCGTTCACTGTGTACTAATACAAATGTGACCACTATCGAACTTAGACTGCATACACACGCAACGTGCATATATACGCACACACGTGTACAGATGAAATGGCAGTTGACACAATATTCTCGTAATGGTGAGCACAAAAAGTTTAAAAGTAGAAATGTCTCCCACTAATGATACATTATTATTATGAGCAGGTGAAGAGTAATCATTATTATGTATACGGATCATTAATACATTATACCTGAGCCCCAGTATTGCCACTGTCTGTGAATACATCGTGATAGTGAATCATGTCATCTTCTGACACTCCATACACATTGGTGGCCTGGTGGGAGGGAGGGAGAAGAGGGGGTTGGGGAGAGAGAAGGCAAGAAGGAGAGAGGAGGAAGGAGAGAGAGAGGGTGGGGGGAGGAAGGAAGAGGAGAGGATGGGGGAGAAAGGAAGAGGAGAGGATGGGGGAGAAAGGAAGAGGAGAGGATGGGGGAGAAAGGAAGAGGAGAGGAGGGAGACAGAGGGGAAGGTACATAGGACAGAGGAAACAAAAAGTAAAAAGAGAGAATTAAGCTAATTGGCAGGCGAAGCCACCCCCACCTAGGGGTCTGAATGCGGAAATTCACACTCGCCAAAATGTCCTCTAGTATAAATACCGTTCCCTTCACTGATGTTGGAATAGTTGAGGCAACTTTACAAGACACACACACACACAACACGAGAGAAAACGTCCCACCTCGTCGTCTTCCTCCATCAGTCTGACTTTTGATATGAGGAGTCCTCCGGTCACTATGGTTACTTCATCTGCCACTGGACACACAAAGAGTTGTCCAACAACCAAGTAGTTGTGTTACTGACATCATCAACACAACCCCTACCAACCTCAGCTGACATGTTTGTATGCTGTCACCAGCCATGCATAACATGCATGCATGCATGTAACTCAACTACATCGAAACAAAATTCTTGGTTAAAAAATCCATGTACGTTTACAAGCCGCAATTCGTTGTGAAAAAAAACATGCACACTTTAGCTATGTAAGTGTGTTGAGGTAAATGAGCAATACCTTCCGTACCTTCCGCACCCAAGTTTCAGCACCAAACCACGTAGAGAGAATGCAGTTCATTGCGTACCTTTCTTAGCAGCCATCTGGTAGTAGTAGAGAGCAGTCTCACAGCTCTGGCCAACTGTTATCCCCATCAGTGAGCGGTACCCCTGAGTCACACATTAAGTATACAGTTTGAAGTGCGAGCGATATAATATAGCCCTGAGTCACACATTAAGTATACAGTTTGAAGTGTGAGCGATATAATATAGCCCTGAGTCACACATTAAGTATACAGTTTGAAGTGTGAGCGATGTAATAATATAGCCCTGAGTCACACAACATACATACACTTTGAAATACCGAAATGACTTTGAGCTCTTCCTTGTCTCTTTACTAGCAGACAAAAAAATTGGCAAAATAATCACCTTAAACCTAGCCAGAGTCAGTTAAATTGGCAGTGATGTTGAGCAACACGCCAAGGAAGGATAAACGCTACTGTAAGTGATTCTGCGTCGAAGTATGTTTACACAATTCCTGCGATTTCACGTCGCAATGCGTCGCAGCCTTCTGCGACATACTGCGTTTGTTAGCACACAGGGAAACAGACACTTGCATGCATTATCGTTGGGCTATTTGCCTCTTCCTTTAATACTAATACATTCATCTGCCGTAGAGTGCAGGACTACATACTGCAGATATCCCCAGAGGAGGAGGCAATAGGATCTCACATCATACCATTGTCATTTGTGCGAAATGGTGTCCTCCCAGAGCAGCGAATGTGTAGTAGAGAAGAGCCTGGGTGGAAACGATCAAAACAAACTCTTACCACCGTGTTCTCTGTGAACACACACACACAGAAACATACTGACCAACTATTATTACTCTCACACTATAGTAGCAAAATTTCTTTATAGGTTGCTCTAATTATCTCCAGCACATAATTTCGTTCAAAAACAGATGCGACACAGTGTTCTGTAAAACGTACGTACGTACCTTAGCCTGGCTGGAGTTGACCCCTATCCCAGTGGAGTACATGAACCCTAGACCCTGCAGCGAACAGAGACTTGGTGTACAATACAAGACTTGGTGGCAGCCAGAGACTTGGTGGGAGCCACTCATTCATTACATCACAAAGGGGTGGAGGGTCTCTACTTCACGTGCATCATAAATGCAGAATTAAACCACTTTGACTTTTCAAATATTGCACTGTCAGTTTGTTGAGAATATCCTATTCACAAATATAACAACGATCTACATGCAGTAATGTAAGTAATTTTCGGACAATTTATGTACGTAATCTCAAAGGGAAACACAACACTATATATACCACTGCTTGGTCCTACATGTACATTATAATATCATACAGAACACACGGACTATGAAAAAGCATGTCTGAGCTAATGTTCAACATTCCGGTGCTACAAGCATGCTACAAGCAAGCATGTCGGTGGACAGGGAGGAATGCGGGCAGAGTGGCGTGTGCGGTGGCATAGTACCTGCTGTCCAACGGGGTTCCCCATCTCAGCCAGGGCACTGAACTTCTCAAATGACCACGTGAAGTTTCTCTCCAGGGCTGAACCGACCTAATCACACACAGGGAGATAGATGGTCGTTGGATTGTCCTGGCGTGTATGACTTAGGTTTGCCTTGCTTGCCTTTCGAGTTACCAGTTGTTGAGACATACATTAATCCAGGCTCTTCATACATACTTCTAGTGAGATATGTAGCAAAGATTAATCCAGGCTCTTCATACATACTTCTAGTGAGATAGCAAAGAACTCTCTACTAGAATGACATCTTTGGTGAACAAACACAAGTGAAACACAGTCTTACAAGCGTTACGGTATGATGTGAAAAACGCCGTATGCATTATACAGAAATAGCTATCGTGCAATTCAGACAACTATAATTGGTGAGCTGGCTTTGTTCGCCAGTCATCTCTGTACATGTATTCTATGTATGTATATATATATATAATCTGCAGCTGAGCATTGTGATGGCTAACCAGGTGTGCGTAGGCCACTTGCTCCAGAGCCCTGCTGTGCCCGCTGTCAGCAGCCTCTCTCAGCAGCGCATAGCCTCTGTGGTGGCGAAGCCAGTATAACATTATTATTACAGTCTCACAAACTACATGACGATTCTGTGATCTTGTTCTGTATGTATCCTCGGGCCAATGGATAGCGTCGCCTACGTACCAAAGTCGTGAGCATGTGGGCATTATCCATATGTGTTGTATACACTTCTCTGTATCATCCTCGTACTGGCAACTTCTTACACTACTCGCCCATATACACTATTGTGTGTGTGTGTGATTTCTGTTCAAGATTTGAGAATTCGTCGACTTACTGTGCTTTGCTCACTGGGTCTACCTTGTTCACCAGTTGCACACCTCTCTGATAGATGTCTGCAGGGACATAATGTCAGGAGATAAATAATATGTCAGTCAGTGCCTTTTAATGTTTCCTAGGTAACACACTAAAAAGTAGAGAGAGTGAGATGAATAGATTCAACTTATGGTTTCCGCAAAAGAATGGATCAGGGTTTATCTTAGTGAAATGCAGGTTCATGTAATATATCCGTCTTTGATTTCTGGACAGTCTCCAGGTGTCTGTGAGTCACATGTCCTATCCTCTGATTCTCCCTCCCCTTCTCTCCCTTCTCTCTCCCACCTCACATCCTCACCACCAGCACCAAGGTCACCCCCCTCCCCACGGGCACCAGGTGTCCCACCATCTCTTCCCTTCTCACCACTATCACCATCCTCACCACTCTCCCTAATGCCTCGGTCAGCGTTCTCCGGTTGCTCCTCTCTGCCAGAGTCATACAGAGACTGCTGGCTGTTTGTAACACTCTCAACGTTTATCTGAGATTGTCGATTTCCTCTCTCTTCAACATGACCCTCTTGATGTTGTTGTTGTTGTTGTTGCTGCTGCAGTAAACGCTCCCTCTCCTTGTCCAGCAGCGTTTTACCAGAGGTTCTTTGAGCTGGCTTGCTCTCCCCTCCACTGGCATCATCCCGTTCTTCCTGCCACTGCTGTTGCTGACGTTCGAGTGTTTGCTGGTGCAGCAGTTTCTCCCTCTGTTCCTGAAGCTCATTCATGTACTGTTCCTTGGCCCGAACCTTTTCCCTCTCCACATCGTCATCACTCACCTCTTCAGTGGAACTCTCACGTTCTCGTTCACTTGCTTCACTGACACCTGGCTCAGGGGAGGGTTCCCCATTTTGATCATTGTACGCATCCTCTGTTTCAGTCGCGTCCGACTCGTGCTCTATTCTGGAATCTGTGTCAATGTCACTAGGATATGGAGATGGTGTCCCCTCTGAATGTTTGTCTCTATCGCCTTGCTCATTGGATCTTCTACGGTATAATCAGCATTACTAGATGAAGGGGTTACCTCAGGTCCACCTCCAGTCTGTGCTTGTGAGATTGAGGTACCTGTTTGGTCTGGGGTGTGGTGCCCTGTGGTGCTCTGGTCGCCATCAGAGGCATGCAGGTCAGCGCCACTAGTGTCTCCTGGCCTAGTTTGCGGCCCTGTAGAAGCTGTCAGAATCAGGTTATCACAGAGTGGACGAGTTGGGGGGGCGGCATACCTGACCAAGGTAATAGACAGACTAGTAACAAAACTCTAAGTTTGTGTCTTCCCGGAGTAGTCTTGATGACCATCTTCAAACCCTCGAGCACGACACTCCGCCCTAGTTTACTACACGCACATGCGCACATCTAATTTATAGGGTGGGCGGGGTCAAGCGGGCGAAAACAAAATGCGCAAGTTTTTGTTGCGTAGCTCCGTAAACAGTGCTCGCGGCAAAGATCCAGTGCCAGTTGCTCAGCGGAGGCGCTGAAAAGCGCAGGGAGCAGCAATCATAAGGTGAGAAAGCTGCATGAAAGATAAAAAGCGCACGAGTAATTGGTGCATTCTAGGCTTTTTGCGATGCTATTCGCGTTGGCTCTGGATTTATACGGTCCTGCTTGGTAGAGCGGTCTGAAGACCATGCAAGCCAGCTATATACCTATTGGCCTTTCACACATATATACTTGACGAATGAGCCATGCCAGATTACTGAATATTTTATTGATGAAAACTTAGAATCTCACTACAGTTATTCACGATTTATATTATATTATATATATATATATGTATAGGATGGGGTACATGTCACATCAGAGCCTTTTTGTTTAGGCAGGGTAATTGTAGTTATAGTGGTCTGTATCCTTAGGAATCTATAGCCCAAAACAAAGGCTCGTTCCAACTGCCAGAGTCTGTAGAATCGGAACAATAGTGTAAATTTCCTCATGTCTAGCCAGTCCTACTAGGACATGAATCAACAATCTGCCAGTATCTTTCCTGCAACAAAGAGTGGGAGCATCTTGTGGGAGGCTGCCATAAAGCATTGCTTAGTGCGTTAGTGTATTCGTGTGTACATGCAGAGAGTCGACCAAAGTGGGTTCAATTACACTATCATTAGAAGGGGACACACTTCAGTAGACAGACAGTTGCACTTCTACACGCCCGATGTACACAGGACTGCAATAGCTGTACACTTTGCTGCCTGGCACATCTGTAAACAGTGGAAGGTGTAGCCTCAACCGCGGCCAACGAACCGTAAGCAGAAAAATCCCATGGGTATGACAATCTCGCAGTATGGGTGTATTACTTACGCTGCATGGCCATTGCTTGTTTCAGCATTTTCCAATAAAACTGTACCCATTATAATAGTATCACCCAAATGTACATAGTAGTGCAATGTATACAGTGTTTTATGTGAGAAATCTTGGCTGTAGGAGCGCACACAGTGTAAGTCTAAACAGACAACATATTTGATTGAGAGGTCGTGCTGCGCGACGGTGTATACACTACAAAGAGCATTATGAACAGCGTTTTAAAGTGTTGGATATTTCATCACATCTGTCACACCTGTATTATTATGCAAGTTGTTTACGCACTATATGTAAGCAAAGTATTGTAAGATCAGACAAACCAATTGTATGGACAAGATATTACCTTAACCCTTCCTATAGTGAGTTTGTGTATATACATTATCGTCATTTTGTGTATCACAGATCACATGAATATTATAGAAATCTACCAGGTACTATGTGTATAACATGTTTGGAAAAGCATACCCACTATCGTTTCCACCATGTGCAGAGATCGGGTTGAGGTTATCTGGTGGTGCTCATTTCATGTCTGAGTGGGAATAGAATTCTAGCAATGCAATTCTCAGAACCATGTAATGTTCCTCGACCATGAATTACATAAGTTGGATGTAGATTTTTTGGCATGTGTGTGAATTTCAGTAGTAAGCATAATAGTAGCTATGTCCTTGCCATTAGCATCGAAAAATAGTTTTTCAGAAATTGACCTGGATGTCCCTCGATAATAGCTGATCACACAACCTGCATTATCTTGAAAGGATCAACCAACAAGAGCTCTTTTCACACACATACACATAGTGATCACACAGCAGACTTAGATGAAATTGGCAATTTGTGTGTGCATGGTATAAAATCAGTGAGTGTGTACAGCTGGTTGGCTCTATCCCCTAGAGACAGTAGGGGAATGAGTACTCATGGTGACTTGTAGCCACAACTTCAGAAAATTATTAACCTGATAGATTCAGATGAATTCCGTTGTGATCCCGTGTGTCATGAATGGAAGGGGAACATAGGCGGGAATGATAGTATGAGAATCTTCCCACTGAAATGGTCCCATTGGGAGATGTCTGTGCAGGGTGTTCAGATGGGATGGGTATGGGTGGGTCCCCTACATAACATTTCATTTGAAGATGGGAAACTTTGGCGTGGCTCGTAGTGGCTGCCAACAGCACTCCCTTCCCGAGTATTATGGTACCGACATACAGGATAATGGGGTGCAACTGTGTGGTAATGTCTTCAAGGTTCTCGGTGTGTTAGAACACTGTAGACAGTCGGCTAGTGCATGTGCAGGTGTGTGTGTTAGACCATTTACTGTCTGGATGCCGCTACATAGCTGCTGTCACACCTCCACATCCCACAAATAGGTACAAATGAGTAAAAGCATGGAGCGAAGTGAAGTGCCGCATAGTTGCAATAACACCTACCTCAATACACAGTGTAGTCTGCATAACTGCGAGGCAGTGGAAGTGGTCGATGTCTGCTCTTGTTGTTAATCCCACATCTCCAATTACGTGCATGTGTCTAGCTAGTTAGTTGATGTACCTCTAGGCTACGTTCCATAGTCTATTCTGTTCATATCTCCAGTTATTAGCCCTCTTAGATTACCACTATCCCTTATATTGCTGTCAACTAAGCATCAACCGCAGAGTGTTAAAGCATAAGATCACCGGCTAGAAATGGTCTGTAATGTGTGATTATAGTAGCTCGGCATCATTCTCTAAGTCTTTATTATTCAACTCAGCTCACTGTTCTTTGATCACTGTGCCACCTAGCGTCATGTCCCTTCTTACATTCCAGGGGTTCACATTGTTAGCTACTAGACTAGAGAGATGGCGTCACCATCACCATTCACACCGAAGCACTCCTCCCCATTCCCCGGTCTCAGCTCCCCACTCTCCTCCTCCTCTCCCTCCCCCACTCCCAGAAGTCCCCATCCTCTTGGGCCGAGGGGATCCAGCTCCCACGACTCGGAGCTGACTCTGGCCAGGAAATGGATCGAGGTCTGTGCATATTATTATACACCTCATGCATACTATGCAGCTATAATGGCTTCCAATTTGTGGAGTACACAAGTGGGATGATGGACGTATGGCAATGCATGCCTCGTTGTCAGTGTCTGTAAAGTGCACGACCTTTTATTCCATCATCTCGAGTGACCACATGCCTTTGTTATGGCCGACTGCCAGTGCCTAGCATTTCAGTGTTTCCTTGCCTTTAATCTCTTGGAAGTGCTCTGAGAAACTCATTACCAGACTCCTAGCAAAAACACTTCTGTGAAATGTTTGTTTCTCAATCATGCGTCATCATGACACACAGGAGTGCACTGGACGTGTGGAGAAGAATAAAAGCTTCAAAGAGTATCTACAAGATGGGACGCTACTTTGCGAGTGAGTGCCATGAATAGTCTAATGTCATCATCTCTTACAATAGCTGGCCTTCCAGAATACCCAAGTTGGGATAAAGCATTGATACTTTATGCTATATCAATTTTTGTTGGTCCACATAAGGAACATCCAAGGATGTAATTGCTCTTTCCCTAAAATCTCCTCCACAGACTGGTGCAAAATGTGCGGCCAGACCTCATCAGGAAGATAAAGAGAGTCAGAAGTCCTTTTGCCTGGCGGGTGAGTGCTCGCTTGTGCTTCAAATTTCCGCACCGAGCGCTTTTGCTCTGTGCAGTAGCGCAGTCCGTGCGCGTGCGTGAAGTTCCCTCGGAGAATTGGGCGGGGCTCGTTCGATTAAAAAAATTCGGCGGAAGTCTTTATGCACGCCGCACGCGCAACAGTCAGCAAAGCGTGTGTGCAAGGCGAAGGACGATCTATATATCTCTCGCCGGCCCCAGGAATAGGTAGGTGATAAACACGAGATGCTGATTGCTAGGGCGCCGGTGACCATAGCCGGGCGAGCGCCGTTTCAGCGCTGAATTTCACTGTTACTGACTGATTCTTCCCCCCGTCCAGGAGAACCTCAGCTTCTTCCTGGAGGCTTGCAAAAGCCTCGGTCTGAAGGGCTCGCAGTTGTTCAGTCCGGAGGATCTCATTGCATCCGGGGCCCGGACCCCGACCATCAAAACGTGAGAGCTCCGCACACCAGAAATCATTAACATTTTCGAAGGCGATAAAGTCGGTGGCTATTACATTTTACTCTGCCGTGTGTTTTGATGGTTTGGCCTTTCCTTTTGTTTCCTGTAGCTCTAGCTATCTATAGCTATGTGCATTCAGTTCAAGTAGTAAGCTGTGTGTTCTACAAACTGTGCAGAAAGAGCGTACTACTGTACTGTTCAGGTTGAGCCTCGAACAACAAATGACAACCGTGATATTTTTTGTGCTGAGTATATTAGTGGGTTTATAACAGTTTAAAATTGACCTTGGGCATGAATTTGTTGTGCAATAATGGCGTTCTGAGTCTGCTGTATGTGTTGCAATACTGAATGGAATGCCTGTGCTTGGAATTTATGCACGTTGTCACGAAGGAAAGTATAAGTTGGGTGTGGGAAGAGCCATAAGTATGTGAGGATAGTTGTACTGGCTTTGATGACCCACCAACGATGAATGGGTGGGAGGGTCTGGTAATTTTAACAATATTCTGAGTATGACAGAATTAGAATTCCTTGTATGACTCATCCGACACATTCGCCCCGTAGTAAGCATCTATAATTATAGAGCTGTGTCTTGGGTGTGGGACGTGCTATAGTCATAAAAGCCTCTGGTGGGAACCTGAAAGTACCAGAAGGATCAGAGGAAAGTACCTCACATTGAGGAGCCTGGGAGTAGAGTGCCTTAGTTTGTTTGATCCCCAGTCACGTTATGTCGCTTTGTACGTATCACCAACCCGTGTCCAATGTATGCACACATGCTTATCATTATTATTGTAAGATACCTATTATGTTTGTACATTATGAAGCGGTAGCTTATCTTCATCTAGTGGATGAGCTTAAAAGGATACTGTTGGGATTATTTAGGTGGGCAGCCACGAGAGATTGGGAAGCATATGTAGCACAGTGTTGGTGCTCTGGACGATAAGTTAGTGCTTTGCATGATGCAATAATGTAAAGACGCCCGAGGAAGGTGTGTCCATTTCTAGACAGAGTTCTTTGGGACGTGGGGAAAGGTGTGGCTGCTCAAGTGAAACATGACAGATCCTCTAGAGGGAATGCCTGTATGTACAACCTGGTGGTGCCAAGACATAAATACCGAGGGGCTTTCATTGAGTGTGCAGGATTCAAAGTCCAAGCCTAACCACGTTCTAGATGATATTCAGTCAGCTGAGATAGTACGCTTTTGCAGTGGCAGTAAAATTGCTATAAGGAGCCAGAGTACAGTATCAATATCAAGTCCGTGAGATATCGATTAAAGTGTGCAGTATAATATTAGCTGTCAACAGTCATTATGCAACTATCAATCACGGAATTCTCTGCTCCCATAGCAGGTGTACATGTAGAGAAACCTGATATCTGGTGTCCTTAATTAGGATGTGTGCACTCCAGACATTGCTGGGCTGCATTGAGCCAAACTGTGATCCATCAAAGCATCCATCCATTACTCTGTATATATTATTCATGCCAGTGCACTGGCGAAGTCTTCAGTACACACACTTTAATGGTGACATCCCTTCCCTGTTGTGAAAGTGCATCACACTATCTGCGTAATACACTCTTCACCTGCACTGTACACTGCTTTGTGCAGGATACGTGGTACGTGTAAGATTTTAGAATGCTTTCAGATTGTAGTTGTGTGTTCCGTGCATGCTATTTCCACGTTTACCAGGAGGTAAGTATGCCGTTTGAATATTTTCCTATCCACTGCCTATCCGCAACATATCACTAAGTACCTAGTACTTAGTATATAGGGATGGGCATGGTACCTAGCATCATAGATGTATGGGGCTATGATAGGGAGTTTTGTTCATCTTCCTCCAGCATGTGTTGTATTGGTCTCATGGAATGTTTGTACATGTGTAGAAACAAGCATTCAACATGTAGTGTGACACATTCCTGTGTGTACTAGTTTGAGCCTCTTGCCAGCAGTGGAATGCTGTGTCAATTGTGTATCAGATAAACATGTGGAACCCCAGGCAAATATGTATCAGACTCTTTTACAATGGCACTACATATGTAACTGAAAGACAATGAGCATTGGAGGCAGTATGAGTGTATACAGCCATGCATGCTGTACAGGTTTTGTCTGAAGTATATACCACCGATGAAAAGGAGACACAAAGAACGTGATAGTGTGTTGTGTAAGACACAATAGATAAAGGAGTGGGCCCGAATGTGTGTCTGCGGGGCGGCAGGTGTTTGGCCCGCCTTATGGGTGTGGGGGTGAGTTCTACGTATGTATGCGGACCATGCCTACCTTCACACCTCCAGAAATGAACTCACCACTACCCAGTATGTATGGGTGAACAATTATCATCAGTCACACACCATGAAAGCTTAGCCTTGTCGTTGCTACGAGTGTGGTATAAAGCAATGCGTGTGCTAGTATTGTTTTTGGCAAATGAAAGGAAGTTGTGTTTTTCCTTTCCTTCTTCGTGTCCTCTACAGCAAAGGATTTCGTGGAGAAAACGAAAGAAAACTCAGAAACGTAAGTCGACGTATATTCTCTACTAGTGTGCATTGAAAGTGTAGATTTCTTTGCATGTGTGTATAACAATGTCTTTGGCAGTGATGTATCATTACTTGTCTAAGAATACCTTCTAACAGTGTTAGCACTGAAGTAGACAACACAATCAAGGTGATACATTGTGCTACAAGCTGTATACCCTAAATGCTCATCAGCTCTGCCTTAAACATGGCCTTGTGGTTCAGTACTGTGGTACAGTATATTGATATGCAGGAAGTCGTGGTTATCGGCCACGTCCACACAAGGACAACTGTATCACTCCATGGCCTCTATTTTCAGGATAGCAACTCTATATATACCATTATTATACACATACTACATGATGGTCAGATGATGTATATACAACGCATGTCTTCACATAAGGACTAACATATCCATGTATTGCTGTTAATGGGAATGAATGTACATGTTGACACTTAAGTGCATGTTGTGCATTATGTCTACGTCAATATTTAGAATACCTAGACAAGTCTTCTGAAGTAAGTCTGCCCACTATAATATCAGCTAATGATATCATACGTAGGATATCAGTGTCAGGGACACTTTGGGGTTCCTGAAGTGATTTTGTGACTGTAATATTTGCGTTGTGAAATGAGACTTTGGCCAAGAAAACATACAGAATGCTCAGACCTCCCTATAGTATAACATAATCTTGTACTGAACCCCATCATGAAAGCAAAATGTGTTCCTGAATTGTTGTAGTTGCACTGTTCTGAATTTCGTTTTTCTCTTGCACTTTCCTCTCCCTTCCCTCCATCCTCATCCTCCCTTTCTTCTCACTCTACAGGTAGCTATCACTATCTTCTGGCTGAGTCGGGTGGTCCGAAGACAACCCAACTATACAGGCCCCCTCTTGGACTTTGACCCTACTTCCTTGGGGGACTGGGATTCCACTGAAAAGGTAGTGTGTCCTCAGTTACGGCTACACTGTTGGTGTCCTCAGTTACGCTGTTGGGGTCCTCAGTTACGGCTACACTGGTGGACACTGTACGCTAGACAACAGTTTGTTGTCGTACTTGAGAAAGTCTGTAAAGTCAAAACGTTTGTGTGCTTCTGAAAAGAGTTATATCTACTAAACTTGGCTAAAACTACATCTCCAGTGTTGTCCATAGCTTTCTAGTCTTCAACTAGTATATAGGTTATGACAACCAGAGCAGAATGGAAATAATGTTGCACTTAGAAAGCTAATGGGTGCTGCAACATAGTTTTAATTCCCTCTGGACTGCTTACGTATCGCTTATACACGCAATAAAGTATCCAATATCTGACTGGGTCATGACGTGGTACATTATTCAGGCCGAGTGACGGGGAGGCATCTCTCCCTCCTCTTCATTCCTTTGCCCGCTCAGCATTCCTATCTCCCTATTGCATGAGTGATCTGTGGCATGCCGCGAGAGCCTGGGCTAGTGGGGGTTAATGTGCACAGGTTAATGGACGGGCACCATCAGACATCGCATAAAATATGTCTTTCCTCGTCTAATTACATTCCATTGTACACATGGATGCACTTTACACACGCAGTGGACCATTGTGGGACAATCAGTTACCCACTAAACAATCACCAAACTATGTATAAGTATGTTGCTTGCTGTGATCATTGACCACACATATTTTTAACATCATGCAATGTGTACTGCAGCTACGTGAGGGAGGTCTGAGTCCAGTAAGCCCAGTACCAGCCACTGTTGCTACACCTCCCCCCATCCCTGGAACACACTGTCAATCTCCCCCTGCCACCACCGAGCACATACCGCCCCCCTCTCCTTCTTCCCCTCCGCAGCTCAAAAGCAAGAGCTCCTCCCCGTCCTCCTCACCCCCTCTCCCCGTCTCTCCCTACCACTCGCCCACCATCAAGGTAAAGCGTGTGGAGGGATCGATTCCTCGCACGCCACCATACCAGTCGCTTCCTCCACAAGTCATAGTTCACGTTGGTGGGCAGCGCCGTTATCGAAGCTCCTCGCCCCCAAGTTTGACACACTCGAGAAGCAACAGTCTCTCGGACACACGGTCATTTGTGTCCCCCTGGCTGCTAGCACACAGTGGTAAGACCAGGAGTACGCCTGCTCTGGACATTTTGAGGTCTGTCCACGACCAGCTAAGCGAGTCGGAAAAGGTCCTCTCTGACCTCACCAAAGAGTTAACACTCACTGAAGAAGCTCTAGCATTGAAAAGGCGGTCAACGGGCATCGTCCCTGCAGTGGAAAAGAGTACTTCTAGTGCTAGTTTAGAGAAGCTTTCTCCCGAGTCCCTTCCCGTGCAAAACGGTCATCAGGAGGAAGAAGTTAGTCTAGAAGAGAGTGATAGTGTGTCCCTTGAAGCACTCATAGAAACCGAGTTACTCCTGAACAGCAACAAATCACCTCCGATTGACTTGCCGCATCGCAGCCCCTCTTTGAGCTCCTCAACGCCAAGTGACGTGTCCACCATAGTTCCCCGTGATCTGGTTCCTTCAAGGTGCAGTGCCCTCTCTCTTCCCGAAGACCCATCAACAGCAGACGCAAATACTTCCTCCCAGGAACCCCAACCCAATTTGTGTGCTCTTTCTACCGCCACTCCTTTTCCCACACTTGTCACTGCCGATCCAGAGGGTTTCACTAACCCCCTCTCGAACTCTTCCGCAGACGGTCGAGGATCTCCTGAAAGCAACCCTTTTGAGGGTCCCACTATAGAATACAGTGACAGCCAGACTCTATTTCGTAACCATAGCCCAGTGGTTGACGTTGAAGCTGTCCTCGGTGACCTGTCCGACAGTGCTGCTGAAGACGTAGAAGAGGAGGAGCCTATCCTTTTCCCCTCACTGACAGTTTGTGCCCCTTCCCTGCTACCGGAAGTCGTCCTAGAGGCTTCTCACGACCTCTCACCCCCTGAAGAAGTCGCGGATATTTCGAATAACGTATCAGAAGAGAGCGAACCAGAGAGAGACGTGCCTTCCCAGGATATCGATTTTCTAGACGTTTCACCTCAGTTTCAGCAGCGACCTCACCCAGCTGTTACCACTCTCCAGGAAGACTGGCGAAAGTCTTTTCACTCCTCTTGCTCAAGCCTTGACTCGACAGCGTGCTCGGTGATCGAGGTCTCGTACTGCTACAACGGTACATCAGAGGAAGTCTCCTCGAGTCATTCTCCTCCGCAGCAAGACAGCACAGACGCAAACAATAGCAGCTGTTACTCAAGCTCCAGTGAGCCCGAAGCAGACGGTGCCAGTTACGAGGTGGTCCCCGCTGAAACGCTCAATCACCACCTCGTGAATCTGAGCATTCCTGATCCAGAGGAGAGCATCACCAGTGCAACCAGTACTGACTCTAAGAATCTCACCAAGTACAATAGCCTTCCAAACTTCGAACAAGCCGATCTTGAGACTATACCCGAGGAAATGGCTGTCACGACACAAGTGATGCGAATCTACCCGGCCCAGAGTGTGGGGGAGATCAGTAGCAGTGTGGCAGTGCCGCACCACCGTGTCCACATTCCATCGAGTGCCAACGGTCCGGAGTCGCCCTCCAAGTGTACTGCGGCCGCTGTGGCCAACCAACCTGCCATTGTCTATGTGTCTGACGAGAGCGAGATGAAAGTGGTCAGAGAAGGCTCCTGTGTGCAAGCGGTGGAGCCACCAGGACTCATGGCCGTTCCCATACAGATTCTGGAAGACGGAGAAGAGGAGGAGGAAGAGGACGAGGTCGATGCAAAACCATTTGCTCCAAAGGACAGGAAGATTAGAGGGGTAAGCATCTGACTCACATGCAAATTGTGATTCGAGCTCATTGTATATATATAGGCCTTACCTTGATAGGGTTCACTAATCCACACGAATTATGCACAATGTGCTATGCATTAACACGGTTGTGTTGTTGTGTTGTGCAGGGGCTGGCACAAGAACCTGCCTTTGGGAAGATGAACCTCACTCTTTCCCCAGTTCCCGTGGGTGGAGGAAGCCTCGCCCGTGTCCAGTCAGATGCCCTGCCTCTCACCCTCCACGCCGACATGCTCACACTCCCTGATCCATCAACCGAAGAAGCAAAGCCGTCCAATCGAACACAACTTGCCGATCTCTCTGATTTCAACTCTACTGCAGTTGAGATAAGTAGTTCTGACTCCATGAGTTCCAGTCGAGTGTCTGTGGCCACTTCAAATCAGTCCTCCTCTGCTTCCCTGGTCACCTCCCAGCAGTCAGTCTCCACCTCTGTCATTGGAGAGCTCCACAACCCAATCCCCAGCCATGGTCTCAGGCATTACAAGAACCAGCACTTAGACAGCTCATTTGTCGACGACATTCTGGCATCATCTCACGGGGACGGAGCGACTTACCCAGGGACCCGGGTTCTCACCGCTGCAAAGAGTGGACGCCCGACCAGCGCACCGACTCGGGCCACCTCTGACTCTGTCCTACCTTCTCCCTATGCCACGGACTCTCCCAACATCCTGAAGATCAGAAGCCGACGGACATCCGGAGAGGACAAGCGGCAGCAACGGCTCGCTAACATAGCCGAGAGTGCACGCGCGGCACTCACGTACACTGCCATCCATCGCTCGAAGAAGACCGAGTCCCTCCCTCGAGACCAATACCAGCTACACCATCACTGGCGCAGCCACTCGGGGAGCAGATCCGTGGGTTCGGAGGACGAGCTACTGGGCAGCAGCCCCAGCTCAGTCAGTATACTTGGTACAGGGAGTGGAGCACCAGCAGCACCAACTGACGAGGCCAAGACGTTCACCACAGGGTCCCCGTCGGGATCTCTCAATCTCCACAGTCTGAGTATAGACGAGACACGCAAGGCGAGCATGACAGAGATGGAGGAGATCTGGAAGCTGGTGGAGAACGAGAGCGGAAGTAGTAGCACCACCAGTGTCGACACGAGCAGCGAAGGGTTCCCTGGTAGCAGTGGAGGTGGAGGTAGAAGACTGCCTAGCATTGCACTGGAGAGCCACTTGAGCCCCCAGCACACGGCCTCGGGTAAAAAGTCCATAGATAGCCCAGTCTTTGAAGAGGATCATGGAAAGAAGCGAGCAGTGCTGAACGGGCACGCCGGGCTGGATGTGTCTGTGGCAGAGGGTGTGGTGAAGGGAGTGGACCAAATACCTCTGCAGTCAACCCCCAAGAGACCTGGACTGGCAGGACCAGCTACTCCCAACATGTCTCTCGTCACCAGTGGGCCAAGGCCCAATCCAGTCACCCGGAAAGGTACGCAGTATATTGCATAGCAACTCTGCAGCCTGGGAATGACACCAGTGCTCAAAGAGAGGGAACTTCTGTCCGTTCACAAGCTGTTTCTCTCTCCCGCAGATCTCGACTCTTTGCTGACAACTCTGAAATCTCTGGGAGGAGATGGGGGAGGAGAGGCAGAAGGACAGGAGGAGGGAACCGGGCTGCGACTGTTGGAGCAGATGCTTCACAGCAACACTTTCAAGAGAGCACAGAAGGTACAGAGTAGAGCCCAAGAAGGGTTTCCGTATGCTCCATTGCTACCAACTGAAAAGCCTCTGAGACCACTGGAACTAGTATCAAAAAGCTAGCTCCTATTGAGCCATGTGTAGCTTGCTGGGATGTTTAACACACAGCCTGAAGTGCAAACTCTGTGACTGTCTCTTGTCATCATATCAATGTGAATGGAATGGTTGCTACCTTAGCATTGTGTTAGCGTCTCCCATTGTTCTGTTACACATTACCGTCTGCTTGTTTTGATGTCTTCTCTGTATGCATCTGTATAGGTTCACGACACAGTGCAACAGCTGGTACACCGTGACAAGGGTGCTCCAACACCAGTGGCCAGAAGAGTGGTGCCCATTGCACAAGAGGTCCGCATATTATGTATATATGTACATGATAGATCATGGGTTTTTAGGAACATGAATGAGGAGTTATAACATTAGCAGTGAACCATTTGACACATCTGTAGTACATTTTTTCTTTTGGTGACTGTCGGCCACCTTCTGTCGTCTCTTCCACAGGCACGACATCACTTCCACCACCACGTGGAGCCAAACCCCGAGGTTGATGAGCTCAGATCACTCCTCAGAGAACCTCACATACAGGCTAGTTACACCCACGAACCTTTACTCCAGTTGAACTCCTCCAATCCATTGAATACGGACACCTCTATAGCCTGATTTCATTTTCCCATGATGGGCACACCCCTGAAATCGACACCTCTATAGCCTTCTCCCATGAAGGGTGCACCCCTGAAATCGACACCTCTATAGCCTTCTCCCATGAAGGGCACACCCATAACTCTGCATGGTACAGCTCTGATATTCTTTCAGTGTTTCTCTGTGTGACATGTGCAGTTAGTGTCCTATTCACCCACAGGCCCTGATGTTCTGCCACGACCGAGTGTCCTCGGGGGACTTCTACCTTCCCCGACGCCACTTCCCGCGCATCAAGCAAGATCCAGTCGACATCATCCTCTCCGGCTCTGTCCTCAACTTTGTGCCACACTCCTCACTAGACAACTCCCTCCCTCTCTCTCGCGATGTACCCAGCTGCCGGAAAGAGGACGCCACTATTGTCTATCTCCAGAGATCAAACCGACCTCTGGTATGTTTCCTGCAACAACTCTATTGTCCTGCAATAATTATGCAGATTTCTTGTGTAAAATTATGCTCTACAAGAAACCAAATGAACGGCGGTGAACATCTGTCCACATGTTTCGTCTGCCATGCTTTTGTTATGTGCATATGTGTGGCTCAGGCAATTGTGGTCCTTTTCAGTGCAGCGTAGCATGATGTGCATTGTGAGTGTGAGCTTCCATCATTATACCCTTTGCATGCAGGGCTGCACCATCTACAAGCAGGGTGAGGCTGTGTTTGTGGGGAAACTCCTGAAAGGCTGCGACGCAGAGCTCAGTGGTAAGTCTCCCCTGTGCCCCGTCGGCTGGTCACAAATCCCCCTCCTTCCCCCCTTTTCCTTTTCTCCTCCGGTGTCTGCAGAGGTACTTCGTGAGGGAGATGAGGTGTTGGAGGTGAACGGGGTGCCTGTCATGGGCAGATCCACCGATGAAATCGTCAGACTCATGGTCAGTTGGTACATTGCCACGTGTTTAGTTTGTGCGTATGCCGTGTGTAGGGAGATGTGCTTTCTTTCTTTCTTTCTTTCTTGCTCGTATCTTGTGCCATACATACACCAGAAATGCAAATGCTAAGTGGCTAATAAAGGCACCTAAAGAGGGATTGTTTTTTGCCTTTTATATGCACGGCGCACTGCCAGTAAGGCAGTCTGCCGTTCAATTACCTTTTATAGATTCACACGAGAGATCTTTGCATGAGATTGCCTAAAATTGCAATGCTTTCAACCCCCGCTGATAAATATTTATACATTTCTCTCATTCCAGAGTGGTGAGGCTGGGGTGACCCTGGCGTTTACCATCATCCCAATACACGATGACAACATCGACCTCAATTTCGAGCCTGTAAGTCAATACTGGCCTGTGATACATGGTACCACCGTGGCGTGACCATTACACTTGTTTTGAAACAACTTGATGTATGCAACCACACAACTTCCTTGCCAAATTATTTTATTGTAGTGTGTGTGTGTACGCCGTGCCTTTCATCCCTCCTCCCACAGAAATACGTGCGTGCACACTTCAACTACTCTCCCAAGACAGACGACGAGATTCCCTGTCAACCTCTCGGACTCAGGTTTGAAAAGGGAGACATCCTGGAGATCAGTAACCAGGACGACCCTGACTGGTGGCAGGTAATCCACAACGTCATTATGCCAACAGTACTGTTCTCTGGCATAGTAGCATTTTGAGCAATACACACTGTCAGGATACCCCTGTTTAGTAATTATTGCACGCATGCGTTGGTCATAATCAAAACAGAATGGTTTAATGTGTTTTGTATCTTGTTCACGATGGGATGTTGTGTTATTGGTTTGCAGGCTCGAAAGGTATTTGATGACGGCGCAGAGAGTCTGCCTGGCCTGATTCCAGCCAGACATCGCCAGCAACAGTCAGTCCACCAACACTCATCTTCCACTCATACTGGCCACACTGTTTAGAGAGTTTTTGCACTATCAAACCCTGTAGAAATGTAACCTCGTCCACACTGCATCAAGCTCTTTGGCGTTTCTAAGTGTATACCGAGGTTTCATCTCCACTTGATGCTCTCAAAATTGATTTGATGAAATGTGTATATAGTGATTCTGTTCCCAAGAGAGCAACTCGTAATCCTAAGTTGCCGTCTCATATACTGCAGGCGTGAGGCCTTGACACGATCGTACCCCCTTGCCAAAGCCATGGAAGACCAGCATCGTAAAAAGAAAGGTAAATTTGAAGCCGAAGGCACTGTACACTGTTTAGATTGTGGTTTTGAAACCAGGTTTGATGTCAAGGTTATCACGGAAGAAGAAAAAGACTGTGTTTTACAACCAAGGAAGCAACCAGAGTAAGAGAATTCCTTCCCATTCTTTGCCATCGTGGTTTACTGCTCTCCTACGTACCTGACCTCACTGTTCTCTGGCCTCCTGCCCACTCAGGCATGCTGGCGGTGGGAGACGAGGTGGTCACGTACGAGGACGTGGTGAGAATGGAGTCAAGTGCTCACTGGAGAAGACCTATTGTGCTCATTGGTAGGTTTACCAGCTTACTTACCTGCCATTAGCCCCAGTTTTATATAACTGCATGGTTTATTAATGATTTTTTGCTTTCCAAACAACTTTTTTCAGTGTACTACTCTACTGCTGTTATACCGATAATGTACTGCCTACTGAAGGGTGTACTGATTGATTCACTGTGCACATAATGTACTGCCTACTGAAGGGTGTACTGATTGAGTCACTGTGCACATAATGTACTGCCTACTGAAGGGTGTACTGATTGATTCACTGTGCACATAATGTACTGCCTACTGAAGGGTGTACTGATTGAGTCACTGTGCACATAATGTACTGCCTACTGAAGGGTGTACTGATTGATTCACTGTGCACATAATGTACTGCCTACTGAAGGGTGTACTGATTGAGTCACTGTGCACATATGTACTGGCCTCCTACTGAAGGGTGTACTGATTGATTCACTGTGCATCATATTGTACTGCCTACTGAAGGGTGTACTGATGATTCACTGCTGCACATATAATGCATCTGTCCTACTGAAGTGTACTGATTGATTCACTGTGTCACATAATGCACTGCCTACTGAAGGGCTTGTGTACTGATTGATTCACTGTGCACATAATGCACTGCCTACTGAAGTGTACTGATTGAGATCACTGTGCACTATAATTGCACTGCCTACTGAAGGGTGTTTGTACTGATTGAGTCCACTGTGCACATATGTAGCTGCTACTGAGGGTGTACTGATTGATTCACTGTGCCACATAATGTACTGCCTACTGAAGGGGTGTACTGATTGAGTCACTGTCACATAATAGTAACTGCCTACTAAGGGTGTATCTGATTGAGTCACTGTGCACATAATGTACGCGCCTAACTTGAAGGGTGTACTGATTGATTCACTGTGCACAAAATGTACTGCCTACTCAAGTTGTACTGATTGAGTCACTGTGCACATAATGTACTGCCTACTGAAGGTGTACTGATTGATTCAACTTTACACATAATGTACTGCCTACTGGGGTGTACTGAATTGTTTCACTGTGCACATAATGTACTGGCCTACTGAAGGTGTACTGATTGGTCCACTGGTTGCCACATAATGTAACTGCCTACATGAAGGGTGTAACTGATTTGAGTCACTTGTTGGCACATATATGTATCTGCCTACTGAAGGGTGTAACTGATTTGATTCACTGTGCACATATGTACTGCCTACTGAGGGTGTACTGATTGAGTACTGTGGCAATAATTGCACCTGCCTACTCGAAGGGTGGTACTGAGTGATTCACTGTGCACACTAATGTACTGCCTACTGAAGGACTGTACTGATTGATTCTCAGTGCACTATAATGTACTGCCTAATTCCTGAAGGGTGTACTGATTGAGTCACTGTGCCATATGCATGCCTACTGAAGGGTGACTGATTGAGTCACTGTGCACATAATGCACTGCCTACTGAAGGGTGTACTGATTGATTCACTGTGCACATAATGTACTGCCTACTGAAGGGTGTACTGATTGATTCACTGTGCACATAATGTACTGCCTACTGAAGGGTGTACTGATTGAGTCACTGTGCACATAATGTACTGCCTACTGAAGGGTGTACTGATTGATTCACTGTACACATAATGTACTGCCTACTGAAGGATGTACTGCTGTTGTGTTGCAGGTGCCTCAGGTGTTGGGAAGGGAACACTCATCAGGAAGCTCATAAACTCAGACCACACACGCTTTGCTGCAGTTGTCCAGCGTAAGTAAAAATATTCAGTTTAGTTCACTCTTGTGAAATTGTAGGTATGTATGTTAACAAATCTCTTGACATTGCCACAACCACTGTTAAAAAAAACTTGTCAGTCTCAGCAAGTTCATTCGTGTTTTACAAGTACACATACATGTACTATGTACACGATATTCTAGTACACAGGCTCCCCCCACTACATCATAACACGATTAACACTGCAACATTGCTAGTGCCTTCAGCAATGAATTCTCTCGCCATTTAACGCAGACACCACTCGTCTCGTCCACCCGGGCGAAGTCAATGGCCACACCTACCACTTTGTCACTCGGGAAGAATTCGAGCTCGACATCCTCCAGGAACGGTTCTTGGAGCACGAAGAGGTCAAAGGTCAGCTGTACGGAACCTCTGTGTCGGCCATCAAGAAGATAGTGGAGTCGGGCAGAGTTCCAGTCCTGGACCTACAGCCACAGGTCAGCCTCGACAGAGTGTGTAGGAGAAATGACGTCACACGGTAGCTGTTCTGAGTCCAGCGGTAAACCAAAAGAGAGAACAGCTTTTGTGTGGGGTTTGGTTAACTTGACTATCGGTTTACAACGTTTGTGGGGAACAAAAGTCTCTTGCTGTTACTCATAATGGGACATGCACGATCTACCATTATAAATATTGAATGTGCCTTGTCGGCATTAAACTTTCTTAAATCTTACCATCTTCCTCATGAAGAACCACACTCTGTTCTACCCACTGTACATGTATGTATGTGGCCCACACTCTACCACACAGTCTCTGAAGAGGGTCCGCTACTCTGGCCTGATGCCCTACGTGGTGTTAGTGGCATCTCCGCGGCTGGAGAGACTGGTGGTGACACGGAGAGTTGGGCCGGAGAGACCGACTCGGCGGAGGACCAGTTTCCAGTTCATCATTTGACATGGACGGCTCTCAGATCTATACCGTGAGCATTACCACCGGGACACTAGAGCTGCCCAGGCATGCATATAATTATGAACACATGTTCGGCAGTGTGGGCATCTGTGCCTGTTTCTCTACTGATTATTCCCTTTGTGAGTGTGGCATTATACAGAAATAAGCATCAGAACCACATTTATTCTTAAAAGGTGCATAGAGCTGGATTAGCCCTTGCTTTAAATGATTGGAGAAATTTCGCACCATTCATCACCTATTTCTCTCTCTCTTTTTCCCCCACCTGCCAGGAGCCAGAGCTGCAGCACCTACTGGGGGAAAGCAGACTGATAGAGTCTCAGTACAGCCACTACTTTGACTGGATCATTGTCAACGATGACCTCTCTGTACGTCCACACACACACACACACACGAGAGAGTCTGCATACCAGTTAGCCTCATATGTACATCTATGATGCTAAGTACCTTGCCCATCCCTATACTAAGTACAACCGTACACATAAAATATGAGGCCGTTAAAATTTGCAAAGCTGGGTGTTTAGAGTAAGGTAGCACACCCATGTGTGTGTAATTACCGGATTCCAACTGCAAACACCAAAAATGGGCAAATGTTCAACTTACATGGATGTGGTGGAGAATGTACAAAAGGGGAATCTGCTTCTTTTTATTTGTAGGTTGCGTCAGACATGCTCAAGGAAGTGGCTCGCCGGGCAGAAGAAGAAACTCAGTGGGTCCCAGCCTCATGGCTGGCTGACCATTCATTCTAGTTTATTTCACTCACTGCATCACATGATAGTTTTCTTTGCTGAATTCATGTTTTACCCCATGTACCCAAGCTGTACTATAATGTAGACGTCCTGCAAGACACCAACGATTGTTAGCTGCGCATGCGCTGCAGTGTGCGGGGTGCGCGATGATCGTTGAAGAGACTCGGCTGCAATAATGGAGTATACGCTGCTAAAACTTACCACGAGCTTTTTCTTTCTTCTTGGAACTGCTCTGCGACCTGGTGAGGCCAATGTTTCCATCACGATGCACGCTAACTGCAGCTAAACCCAGGTGAATGCGGCGTCGGCGAGATTCGACTGGTGGGTGTGAATGCTTCTCAAGGCCAGGGTGAGCTGCAGTATCTGTACGAGGACGGAGAGTGGGCCAGTGTGTGCAGTGGAGCAGTTGGCGTGCTGGATGCACAAATTGCCTGTCAGTACCTCGGATTCCCGCTCCTGCAGAGAATCGGGAAAGTGGCGGAGTAAGTATAATCAAAACTCCCCTTTCATTTCCATCATCACAACCTAGGCCGGCTGAAGCGAAGAGTAGGGGTTCTATAACAGAGTTTCTATGTCTTTATGGACTCCAACAGCCTCAGTTGAGTGAGGCTCTGGCTACAGTGCCAACCGAATATTGCAGTTACAGTGCATTTTGGGACACACCCTGTAACAATACCGTCTATCTAGAGTGTCGTAAGTCCTTAGCAATATGAGCGCACAGAAATATACCATGTCTTTCCCCTCCATAGAGAATGCATCTATTGAAGGTAAGTGTGTATGTGTATAATCATCCATAGTAGTGATGCATGCTCATCAAACAGATAATGCACTACTCGTTTTCATTGACAAGCATCGGTTCTGGGTGATAGCGCCAGGAAAACCACTGCTGACATTCTGCAACTCTCTGCAGTTCTACTGTGACCCTATCATTCTTGTCTCCAGCGATAGTCTATTCTTCCAACTATTCCACATTGGGGACACATGTGGAAATATTGATATGGCGTTTTTCTTTGGGGCTAGGTGCACTCCAGGTAAGGTATATACATAGCACACAATGCCATTCTGGACTTTAATGTCAGATTATCTTGTTTCTCTAACTTTTGAAGGTGAAGGAGACATTTGTCTTCTTCAACAGTCAGAGGAGGGGTGCAGGGAGACAGGGGTAGTGACACATGTGCTTAATTCACAGCCAGTTGGTGTCTGTGCTACATACTTTGGATACTTTGAGGCAAATGTCGCCTGCTCTGAACTCGGCTTTCAAAGAGTAGACGAGATTTCCAATGCATTGTAAGATGTTCTTACTTGCGAACTTTAACGCTGGGACGAGCGAAAAACAATGCTGGGTTAGTTAGATACACTTGATGTTGCTTGCAGGCTTGCTGACTATGATCTGCAGTCTGAGGTCATCGTCAATGTGAACTGCAATGGATCAGAGAACAATTTAAACAGTTGCTTAACTGCGTTAACTAACAACACCAACTGTGCAGATGTGCCTTACCTCAAATGCAGTGAGTTCTTCATAAACAACACTGAATTATTCATTGAAAAAGGTATCGCTTGCACAATGTTGCAATTAAATTAACTAAGCACTACAATGTTTCTCGCGTATGAAAGATGTAATCAGCATGTAATGGGTGGGCCTAACAAGCATCCTAGAACTGTAATGCTTTTCATTCTCTGTATACGCGTATTCAGATAGCCAATACTGCTGTAGGATGGTATTATAATCAAAATGTTATTATTATGCTTTCACAGGTCGTGATAATTTTGAAGGTGAGAAAGAATGATCAAAGCAGTGAGAAATTCTTTAGTTAGCTAGCTCTATACTGACTTATCAAAATACAATGACAAAATGTAATTAACAAATGGCTTTGCTACAGGGGCAGTGCTCATTGGGGTGGACCCTGTGTCTCTCACTTTGTTCACAGTCATCTCACCATCTGAGAGTATCTACCTGGAAGACTGTCATGCCTCCACTCCATTCACCTCACCCGGAGTTATTTACCTCCAGAAAACAATGCCAGCCATTCAGTACCTCATCACACACTTGCAAAACATCTCGTCGTGTCATCAACTTGGGCCCATCGATTTATTTGGCTTAGGTTCACCAACAACGAGTGGTACGCATGGTCTACCTGCCCGTGTAAAAAGTTTAACCTTTCAAATGCTACCAACATCAACACCAAATGTAAATGTTACCAAACCTCAGGCAGTTGGAATTGGTAAGACAAAGTTACATACCTTTCAAGCATATCAAAGCTTCTTTAATTCTACAGAGTTGGCAGCCATAGGTGTCGTTCCATTAGTCTTGGTTGCAGCAGTAGCAGGTTGGGTCTTGGTTATTATTGTCCGTCGCAGACATCAGCGGAGAAAAGAGACCAAGGAAATCATCGAAGAGATCAAAAATATCCACAGCAATAGCTATGGTAAGGGAACGATAGATTTCTGCCCTAAGGCATTGTCCTGTAACAAAACTCCATTTATGCCCTGTTGTGCCATGTTTTAGCTATGGAGTTTGTGAGGACAAGCAACGGAGCTATCAGGCCACACCGCTCTGTGGATATCAGACGACCTTCAAACCCAACAAAAGACGAACAAGATGACCTCAAAATCCCGTTTGGCTGTCTCACTCTGGATAAGGAGATAGGGTCTGGGGCGTACGGGTCCATCTACCACGCAGTGATTGCCTGCGAACACCAGATTGAGCCGATAGAAGTCGCCGTCAAAGTCATGAGGAGTGAGCACACACAACCTTCTCCAATCCCTGGCCAATACAGTAGAACCTCAGATAATGGACACTCGCGATAAAGGACACAATAGAGAAACCCCTTTCAATCAAGGACACACTTTGATGTCCCAAACGCTGACTTTTCGAGTACATTGTAACCTCTGAAGAGGACAACCTTACTATAAATGTCATAATACGTGGTCCCAACGTATTCGTAGGTTCCACTGCACACGCATGTCATCTATTCCTTTGCCACACTACCCAGAGATGGCGACAAACAGTGAGAAGAGGTCTCTGCAGGTGGAGATAGACATGCTGAGGGAGCTCGGCTGCCACAGACACCTGGTCTCCATGCTCGCCTGGTGCCTGCAGGGTGACCAGCTGGCCCTTGTCCTGGAGTATGTCCCAGGAGGAAATCTCCAAGAGTTTCTCAGGAGTCAAAGACGGAATGTAAAATATTTGTGTCTCTCGCCAGGCAAACGTAACGATACTACTTCTATTATCACCAGGCTGCCGAAGAACACGCCGTTCAAATGAGTGGTAGTGTATGCAAGTCTGTGACAAGTTGTGAGAAGGAGACTGAGGTGGTTGGTGGTGGGTCTTTGACTGTAACTGCCCAACTCCAACTTGCCCGGCAGATTACACTTGGAGTGGTGAATACAGGCAATTTTTAAACTACTTTTGCACTATACACGCCACAGATGCTAACACACATCATGTGTCATGGTTTGCAGGAGTACTTGGCCTCAAAGGATGTTGTTCATCGAGATCTTGCAGCACGTAACATCCTAGTCGGGCAAGACGGGATTCTCAAACTGGCTGACTTTGGCTTGTCTCGTGAAGCGAAGGGAAATGAAGGCTACCTGATGAAGGGTGTGGAAGACAAGCTGCCGGTCAGGTGGATGGCTGTGGAGTCAATACTAGACAGAAAATTCACTGTCATGTCGGATGTGTAAGTTTCTTAACAGTAGTGTGTCGGTTTTCTATCACATATTTACCAGGTGGGCCTTTGGTGTTGTCCTGTGGGAGATAATGACCTATGGTATGTCGAAAAACATAGAGTTCCGGCTGTTGAGTTTGTCGTGTCTGTGTGTATCTTTCAGCTGCCTTTCCGTTTTATCACCTCACAAATCGAGAAGTCATAGCCAGTGTGAAGGCTGGAGAGAGACTGGCACAACCAGACTACTGCCCCAGTGAAGTGTACGGCACTGTATTCCGACTTAGGGGATTGAGTAATGAAATTGTGATCATAAGATTGATCATACTCCAGGTACAAGATAATGACAGAGTGCTGGAGTGAGGAGCCTATTCACCGACCAACTATCAGGAATGTACGTGAGATGCTGGACGAGCTACTGGACACTGGAGAGTACATGCACTTCGCTGACATGTCTGACTGTGACCCGGTGGCAGAGAGCACGGCTGTTGACATTTTGCATCATAGCCTTCCACACAGACTCAACAACATAGCCCGGCACCATCAAGTGGTTCAGAGTGTGAAGTAAAGATGCTCCATCATGTTGTGCAACGTTACATAATGACGCGATCACACTGCACTGCGCATGCGTTGCACGGCGCTTTTATTGCGCGGTCGCGGTGTCGCCGCGCCACTCTCAACGTTTCAACATGTCTACTTGTCGAGCTACTGGTACCTTATTCACTGCTTATGTTGTACTGGTCTTATGCCTAAAGACAGGTAAGAGATATGGATAGTTTCATCTTAGGTAAGCGCACTCTTCTGTGCAACCATACCGATGCAGTTGGTGCGGAAGATCCGGTCGGCGTGCGTCTGCTGGGAGAGGACAGCTCACGAGGGAAGGGGGAGCTGGAGTTGCTGGACTTCGGCACGTGGACTCGACTATGCTCGGGGTCCCTGGGTCCAATCGAGGGCCAGCTGGCGTGCCGCGAGCTAGGGTTTCCTCTCCTGCAGCGGATTGGCACCGTTGTGGAGTTAGTGTCAATATATTTTCCCTAGGTAGATCAACATTTTCCCTTATAGGCCCGGTGGAGGAGAGAGCTCTTTTAAAATAGCCATCCTGGATTGTGGTACAGCGCTTGCTGTGAGAAACGTGCCTAACACTAGCTTGAGAATAACTGAATGTGACTATGAGTATGGTCTGTGCAACTCTACTGTTTATCTTGAATGCAGTAAGTTATGCACTCACCACTGCCATTTCACTCACTTGCACGCTGACTTTTTGTGTTGCAGGTACTTCTACTGCTATGGGTAAGTATGGAAATCATTATGTAGCTACTCTACAAATTTACAGATAGCTATATAACTATTGGAGTTGGAATTTTGTCCTAGGTGGAGTCATGTGCCTGGTGAGACTAACTAATAGCATTAACATCTTATTTTCTGTGTCAAATGCAACACATTATTAGATAAAATAATTTTTTGACTTTGTGCCAAAATGTGTGCATTATCATGGTTCACGATACAGGTACCGTTTTTATTGGCGTGGAAACAAATTATTCATCGTGGATTACCTTCATCTCAATCGTCTCTCCTGATGATAATCTATACGTGGACAGCTGCTTTACCAACGAGCCACTACTGAACTGCTCTGGAATATTTCACTTCCAAAAAACACACCCCGTCATTCACGACCTCATTGCACAACTAAAAAACAACATGTCTTGTGGATTTATTGATTTTGACCCATGTTCAGAGCCTCCAACAGGTGCCTCCACTCCCATACCAAGTCCTACCCAGTCGTGCACCAGAGACATTGTCGCATGCTCAGCTGGCCAACTTGGTAAATAATAAATACGCCATCTTTTGCAGTAGTTACGATAGGGCAAATCACAATTGCATATCGCATCCTGTTTTTGTGCAGAATGTCTGCTGAACACCAGTGTTGGAGTTATTTTAACATTGCTCGTGATTGCTGCAGCAATGTGACTGGGATAGAAACGTTTTGCAACGAATGGTCATATTTTTAGAGATTGTGTAAAAACTCCAGTGTGTATATGCATCTTATAATGCCACGAACTTCAACGCTGTGTGCATCGCCCTGTGTTCATATCCGACGCCAGGGGACCTGACAGAGAGCATCATCGCTGTGCATGGTCCCCTGACCGCACTACGTAGCTAATGAAAAGCACTAAAGTGCAAACCCTCGGCACACTATATAGAAATGTGGAACCCATACACAAGTGTGGAACCACCACAATTGATGGTCTTGACCATGCATAAAAAAGAACAGCATGTTATGCACTATTTCCATGGTCAATAGGTTGAAAAAATGGCTAGCCCCCATTTCTGTTTGAGGCCCAAAAAATATATAAGGTTGAAAAATTGCCAACCTTTCATCTCTCTATTAATTTCCGTATTACCTGTGGATTGTTTAGTGCAAAAAAAAACAAATCTAAGGTTGAAAAAAAAGTTAAAAAACGCCCAGCCCTTCATCTCTCCAGACAGACGTCCACGGACGCAGTGCAATGCCGAACTATACGCTGCCCTTTGAGAAACGTGGGTCAGTGGTAGATTTTGTGGGTAAGGGGAGGAACCAGAGCTGTTCCCAGCCAATGCCCTGGACCACCTGACACTTTAGTGCGGGTCCGGGATTCGAACCGGGCACCTATGGTGTCAGTCCCCACACTCTAACCACCTAGCCACTCGGGCTGGCCTTGAGAGGTGATGAAAAAACGTTCATACCAACACTCCTATTACATCATTGTAAAAAAGGCGTACACACCCGGGATCGAACACCTCACGATCAAGAGAGGGGGTGCCTATCCATCAGACCACCAATACTTGAATGGGGAACAGTGTGAAAAGCACTAAAAAGTGCAAACACTCGGCGAAGTAGCTCGCAGAGAGTCTGACACGGGCTAGCTACAGTAGTAGATAGCACGCGAGAGTCGATACACGCCATTCGTTGTGACTTCTTGTGCCTTCAAGATAGACGGAGCAAGCGGACCCGTGTACGTCGAGCTAAATATAAGCGCATGCAGAGAAAACCCCACATATTTTCTGACCCTCGTCGCCCGTTGGGTAGATGGTATCGTTTCTAGGACGAACAGACACCCGAGAAGTGAGATTGAGAGTAACAGACACACAGACAGACAGACAGCTACAGACAGACAAACCCAACTACAGTACCCTCGCTGCGCATGGGCGCCGAGGGTAATAACATGACTGCCAGCTCGGTATCGTCCGAGCGTGCAGCAGCGGGAAGTGCCGATTTATGTTGCTCCCCGAGGCCTACCCCACGTACGTAGGAACGACAACGCTATATATCAGGTCGAGATGCCACTGCTGGTCCGAAAAATCTGCGGGCGTGGTACGCATGCGCAAATACCCGCCGTTACCGCAGTCTTCGAGGGGGAAACGGCATACGACGACAGCTCCACGGCTGCACTCGTAGTAAGTTGAACGAGATGTACTGCACTTGCATGAAACTAGCACAAAGTATGTATGTAAAACGGACACAATTTATTACCGTAGACGGACAAGGCATCATAGTGTACTAGCAAACCCATAAATGTGATATGTAAACCTTGTAAACCAACACACAGATGAGAGTGTGGACATTGTTCCTGCTACTGCCGGCAGTGGCACAGTCCCAGCCGGGTTTCCCCCATGTCTCCTTCATGGGAAACACACTGCCCAACCACGCCTTTGTGGATCTTGACCTAGTGGGCGAACTGGACAATGACAGTGTCATCTGTCACACGGACATCCCTACCTGCTGCAGCAGTACACAGGGCCCAGATAGTGGAGGCTGGCACTTTCCCGGCGGAACTAGATTGCCATTTAGTAACTCTAGCGGATCTGTTTATGAGCTCCGTTCAGCCCAGCAAGTCGACTTAGTCGTCGAGAAGGAAACGTAACGTCTGGTATCTACGCTGCGATGTTCCAACTAATGCTTCGTCTGTGGAAACAACCTATGTTGGACTGTATTCCAGTGGAGGTAGGGCATAGTCATAGTTGTTGGGGGTCTGATTCAAAACATCTGGTCTCACATTCCTTTGAAAGGGGCAATAATTAGATATGATTACTCAGGTGTGAGGAACTGCATATTTCAGATGGCTCGCGGGCACACAAACTAGAGTCCCAGTTACCTGTGTATTATTGTACATGCATGGGTACACTTGTTGTCAATATTTCAATATATAACGTGTTTGTTTTTCAGGAGACATCACAATAATCGATGATGTGATGTTGGCCGTGAATTCTGATCTCAATGGACCTAGTCCTCAGTTCACCCTGGCCTGTATATCCACTGGTGGACCTGCTACCACTGTCACTTGGACCAGAGACTCCACCACTGTCACCCAAGGAACCCAGACTGTGTTGAATGACACAGTGACAGGACGCTACACCCACACTCTGACTGTGACTGGGATACTGGGAGGAAACTACACATGCACCGTGGCTAATGACATGCCATCTTCTGCTTCTAGCAGCTTTTACGTTGAAGGTACATTATGTTCCAGAGGAAACTGTTTATTCAGAACATGTACTTTCACATTACGGTATGATTACTATATACTGTATGGTTCCCTAAGGACACCACACCTCTCTGATAAGGACACTTCTCTCCCTTCTCGCATTGAATTTAACCCCTTAACTAATGCCACTTCGCTAATAATTTATGTGCACTAGTTTGTGTCCCGTTGGTGTTTGGATTAGACCCAACCGTCCCCAATGCTGTGCACCACAATTCAGCGGTATTGTAAGAGCATGGGTCAACAGATTTCAAAGAGGGTGGGTGTTAAGGGTATATAAGCTATATATGGTAACTGAAAATTTTTGACCAAATACTTGACACATTGGGTAGATGCACAAGGGAATTGAAAGTGAGTGTAGAGCCTAACAACTGCATGTCTGGAATGTGTATACTACCATACCATCGCAGTGCACAACATAGTATAGAGCTCTATGTCCTTTCCAACCCTTTATGTTTAGTTGCCTCAGCTCCCACTAACCTGACAGCAGTCCAGGAGGGTCCCACAAGCATTGCCATCTCCTGGAGCCCACCCACACCACTAGGAGACACTGCTGAGTACAGAATCTTCTACACTGGAGCTAACAGCAGTGGCAGTGAGACTGGCAGTGAGACTGTCAGTGCCACAGACAGCAGCTTTTTCTCAGATGCCAGTGGCAGTGGTGATGTAATGGACAGCAACTTCACTGAAACTTACACACTGGCTGGTCTTCACAATGGGGATACATACTCGATTTCTGTGGTTGCCTTGTCACAATACTTGCCCAGTGACACTGTCATGCTGGACAGAAATGTCTCATTGTGTAAGTTGATTGCCACATAGTGTGGTTCCCAAAGTATCTATCTGCATGCTGCGCAAGTATTATGACCCATGACCTCTTACTCAGTACTGTGTATGTATATTCATGTGTGGGGGGGAAACTTAAGCGGAATGAAGTTAGTGTCACATAGCTAGGTACATAGAAAGTGTAACACAGTACAGAAATGTTTCTTTGTACATAGCAACTTTTCACAAGTTCCCTATATATGCGTACTGCATTCAATACACTTGTATTAGCTCTGGATCAAAGGTAATCATGCATACCTTGAATGTCCACATGTGGAGGTGGAGCTTGCTAATGAAGTTAGTACATTGCAACTGGGCTCTTCCTTTTTACAAATTGGTGAAGGTGTCCGTGATTGCCCACATGAATGTCTCCTTTTGAACTTTACCCGTAGTTCCAACCCAACCAACTATTGGGCTTACCACCCCTACCGAGACTTCAGTCTCAATCACATGGACCATTGACACTGGTTCAGTGGTGGAGAACTATCGAGTATTGTGGGAGAGGGACACCTCAGTGGGGTGTCCAGGGGACGATGAAAGAAGTGTAACACTCTCTGGAGACTCTACCACCCACAATATAACTGGATTGGAAGAGGATAGCAGCTATATTATCACACTACGGGCATCAAATGCAGCTGGTAGTGTGGATGTAAGTGTGGCGGTAATGACTCTTGAAGCAGGTATTACTGTTGTTGTTTTTTAATGTCAATGGGTTTAAGAAACGCATGTCGTGTGTATGTAGTTCCATCTGGTTCTCCTGGGCCTGTGAATGTATCTGGAGTCACATCTTCGTCCGTCACTGTTCAGTGGGGGGAGGTGGACTGTATCCAAAGCAACGGAAACGTAACAGGCTACTCAGTGAGAGTTGAGGCAGTGGGGAGTGGGTACAGGGACACTGTGAATATATCGGGCAGCAATACTACTAGTGTTCGTCTGACTGGACTTAGTCCCTCCACTGCCTACACTATTGAAGTGGCTGCAGTCAATGGAGCTGGTGTTGGGGCATACAGCAATCCTACAAACCAATCAACATTTGGTATAATTTTTTTGCTAGGAATAAAACGAGACGCTATTATCTACAAATATTATCCTTTTAGTTGAAGCTCCAACTTTGACAGTGCTACAGTCTTCTGTAAGCTCAACCACTCTACCAGTGAAATGGACCAGTGGTGGGTCAATGGTGGATGGCTATGTGGTACAGTGGACGTACGTCGGAGAATGTACTGGTGTGAGTGGAAGCAGTGTCGGTGTTGGTGGAGACGTGACCAACTTCACTATTGAGGGACTGGAAGAATTCAGTCCCTATTCTGTCTCTGTGAATGCTGCCAATAGCATCAGTAGTGCAGTCAGCAACGAGACCTCTGGAATGACAAATGAAGCTGGTATGTAGAGCTATTAAAGGCTCCACTGGCACACATAATCCAATTAGTTTCCTTCCTTAGCGTATGAGAATATCTTACTGCTTAGGATAGCATTTGCAATGCTGTCGTGTTTCCGTATATGCACAGCTCCCACTGCACCTGTGGCTTTTGTGAGTGTGTCAGGTGTGACTCCAACCAGTGCCACTCTTCAGTGGGGACCAGTGCCCTGCATCCACCGCAACGGGAACATCAGAGGCTACATGGTGGCGTGGACATCCAGCGATGACACTACCCTCACCTCTGATATGATTCCTGCCCCCAATACCACCTACACTATAACGGGGTTGAAGAGTGGCAGTACGTACACCGTCGTTGTCATTGCAGTCAATGAACGTGGCAGGTCCACCAGTTTGCCACTCTCAGTGTCTACCAATACTGAACGTGAGTTAAAAACTACTGTACTATAATTATAGTGGTACACAATTGGTAGCTAAACCAAAATTGCCCAAGCCCCACAGAAGGTTAACTTGGTAATTGGGTTTGATATATATACAATGTAGTTTTTCTCCATAATTATGGCTCAAGCTGATGTTGTAATACTGCAGCTGTTCCTGAAGCAGAGCCAGAATCCAGTGTGTCCGGTCCATTAGTAGGTGGAGTGGCAGGTGGTGGTGCGATTGTCCTCGTCATCATCTTCGTCCTCATCGTGATCCTGGTGGTATACCTGGTGAGGAGACGGGGCCGAAACTACATCCCAGAGTTACGATCCAAACTGTAAGCAAATCAACAAGAGATTTACACTCCTCGTGATCTGGTGTTTATGACTATACAGCAGTACGTTCAGGAAGGGAGGAGATGATCTCCACATGCGTGAGTTTTCAATGCCCGGAAAATACACGTAAGTTCCAACTTTGAAATGGACACAGCTTTCTTCACCCCCTCTATTTACTTTTTCTTGACCATCTATTAATGCAGGCAGACAACTGTTGTGAGCAATGACTACATGAATGTAGGAAAATCCGCAGAGATCGATGAATCTGAGCTCTTGAAGATCGCAGGTTCCTCTCAACCTGAGACTTTGGAGAAAGAAGTCGAAGACGGCCGCTATGTGAGCGTCGTTGAGTCAGCCAGCAGGGAAAAAGAAACGGAGGGCTACGTGCAGATGAGGCCGCTAGCCGTCCCTGTACGTGAGACACTGAACAAGGACGCAGATGTAGACGGCTATGTCAGTGCAAGGGTCATAGGTGGTGGACCCCAGCCAAGGACACCAGACAAAGAGGAAGATGGTTACATCAGTGCAAGGGCCCTAGATGGATTCGTGCCTTCTACACCAGAGAAAGAAACCGTTAGTACAAGACTCCTAGACAGTTTCCCGACCAGCACACCAGGAAAAGAAGCAGGAGATGGCTATGTTGATGCGAGGATCCTAGAGGGTCCACAGCCCAGGAAACAAGATAAAGAACTTGGTGGGGTTAGAAAGAGCCTTGCCATGGATAATGAGTATGTGACCATGAGGAGCCAGACGACGTCTCAACCTGAGACAAAGAAATTCGACAGCTACAAGCCTGCGAGGACTGCCACCATGCCTGCTGCGAACAGAAACTCTGAGGCTGACGGCTACGACACCGTGAGAACATTTGCCACCTTACGACCGTCTTCCAAACCTGCTCCCAAGGAGAGAAAGAAGAAGAAGTCGGAAGACAGTGGACCGACAGAGGACGGATACGAGGTTTCGAGGCCCCTGGCCACTTTGCCACGCCCCAAACTTCCACCAAAAGGAAAAGTAGATGATGACGATGATATGTCTGAAGATGGGTATGAGAATTCGCGACCCCTTGCCACTACGCCGCCAAAGCTTCCGCCGAAAGGTAAAGTAGAAGACGACGAAGATTTGCCGGAGGATGGATATGAGAATTCTCGACCCCTTGCCACCTCTCCATCTCCTGAACTTCCAACAGAAGATGAAGAAGACGGTTACGAGAACTCAAGACCGCTGGCCAACTCACCGCCCCCCAAACTCCCACCTAAAAAGGATGATGGTGACCTGCCTGATGATGGCTACGAGAATTCGAGACTCCTCCCTCCCCTCCTCCAGACACCGAGGAACCGCCCTACTTGAAAATGCGGTAGAACAACGGGCAAACTGGTGTGTTTCACTTTTTGTATTCAACGTTATTTAGCACAGCAAGCGCTTTGCATTTAGAATCAATCATAGTTTCACTGAATAAGTATCTGAGCAAGAGAGTATAATTATATAGCTACACTAATTTGATGAATGTGTGACATAAAATGGTTCGATACACTAAATATAGCGGTGTTTGAGCCCCTTTACTTCACGGGATGAGCACAGTCATATTTTCCACGGACAACTCTGACATTCACTCCTGGCAGGTCTTTCGTCCGTCCACCTTCCACCAATACGACGTTGTGCTCTTGCAGCGAGTGGCCTTCTCGAGGGATGAACGCTATGACCTCCTTACCGTTGCTGAGGCGCACGCGGCAGCACTTGCGGTTGGCCGAATTGGGCTTCTTGGGTTTCCTGATCATGGTCTGGAGTATGATGCCCTTCATCTGGGGCCTGCCGCTCATGGGCCCCGGCGGCTTGGGGCGTCTCTTTACTGGACCGTTCCTAATGATCTGGTTCACCGTCCGGTGGCACGGTGGGGAGGTATGGATCCGTCTAATGGCGGCTGGGACGAGTCCTGCAGCTACGTGCGGCCACTCTCTCACAGTGGTAGCCGTCTGGATAAGGTTCAGAAACCTCCGGACGACATTAGCGGACAGCATTACGAAGGTCGAAGTTCACACGTGTGGTAGTGCATGCGCATAAATTCTCGCGGTAGAGCGCGCGAGCGCGACCGACCGACAGCGAACTAACAACTACACAGATGACTATATACTGATATAGACTGAGCTACACAGAGTTGATCATTTGAACAGTAAGTCGTCATCTTCTCCGGTATCAAATATGGTCTTTGAAGCTGCAAAAACACAGACGATACACACACACACGTGGTATATACACCTAAACCTTACCATCTCCTCCTCTTCCTCCTCCTTCTGCCTCTCTTGCAGCTAGTCTCAGTTTTGCTTCAATCTCGGCTATTGCCTTGGCTTTCTTCTTCTTCTCCTGAATCTTCTTCAGTCTACAGAGAAACGGAGTAAATTTCAGGTACGAGCCAGACTATCAGAGCTAGAAAAGAATTATGTCTGGCCGGGGCGAGACTAAGCCACTAGGCCCCACCTGTAAAACTCTTCTCTCTCCCTCTCGTCCAGCTCAGTTGTGATATACTTGAGAGTGTTCTGGATCCGTGGAATGATCACTGGACATACAACAAACACGACATCATCATGTGAAGCTAATTCATTTCACGGCTACTGTGCACATTCAATGTATATATGCTCGGTAGTAGCATTACAGAGTGGTAGGTTGGGGGTTAGATTCATGTATGCTGCTCTGGGTGGGTGATCTATTGGTGGCTATATACCTCTTGTGTATATAGAGTGTGGGTGGGTTTACCGTGCTCAATAGCATTGACCCTCCTGTTGGTTATCTTTATCACTTCATCCAGGATAATGAACGACGTCTGTTGAGAGTGGGGAGATGGCGTACTGTAACAGAGTGTGTTGGGTGCTTGCCTGCATGGTGGCCAGGTCGACCATGAGTTTCACTGCCTTCCCAAACATCTCCTTACACTTGGACACTTGCTGACCTCCTCGGGAGAGACCTGTCAGCTCATAGGCTGGAGGGAGACGGGAGGGAAAGAGGTAAAAGGATATGAGGTGCATTTAATAAGAGAGCAAGAGGCAATGGTATCTACAGAGAGTGAAAACTGACACTGTACTGGCTGGAAAAAGAAAGTTAGGAGTGAGAAAGAGTTGCCACTAACTGTCAGCTCCATCGTTGTAGCCCTCAAATACAGGGAGTTGGACACCTGAGCAAGACACCACCATCAACGTCAGGTGTATATACCAATACAGACAGCGTACCAACAACATTATCCTTCTTCATTCTGACTTTGATCTGAGCCTTCTCTACAGTCTGCAGGACATTTTGACTGGAGGAAAAGAAGTGAGCAATAGGAGCTCTCAACTACAAATGATGTCTCATTGAGCTTCACCTGATGTCTCCTGCTGCAAAGTTTGCTTCAGCGAGTGAGAAAGCCGCTTCCTTCATGATCTCACCCACCAGGTTCTTGGTCTGCATAGAGCATGGTGCATTGACAATCACAGTACAAACATATACCATACACCATTCTTTCAGTCTACCAGGCAGAAAATTAATCTGAGGCCACAGTGAAGAAAGCTATCTGTATTGTATATACCAGCCACTTAATGTGAACTAACACTCAGCAAAGTATAAAAGGCAGACTATTTGCCATTGTGTATTCTGTGTGTGTGTGTGTGTGTGCGTGTGTGGTCTGATAGAAAGAAGCACACTATGTCATGGACACACTAGCTACTGTGTTCCACTCTGTCCACTGTGAATAAGTCTACAAGGAGCCAACACAGGCCCACACACACACACACACACTCTTCAATGGCATGACGTACACTTCTTTCAGCCATACAACAAAAATGGCCACCTGAACAGCTAAAAGAGCTACCAAGCACAATGTTTCAGAAAGGGAAACATCGTGCCGGTTCCTCAACCAATAGATTTCCTATGGTAGTGTGACAATATGCGCAGGGATATAACTGAGGCTTTGTGCATCTATTTGGTATCCGTGAGCTAAAGAACATTTGACATGCATGCTCTCTGTTTCTTTTCCACCTCAAGTTTTGCCTTACCCTTACTCTCAGAGCTAAAAAAACTAAAGCTATATACCTCAATTATTTTGGAGAGGATTTGTCTAAATCTGAGGGTGAGGGCATCGGCTTTCCTCTTCAAAAGACTGTGTCCCTTCTGAGCTCCTTTTAGACGCATCTTCATCTGCTGAAGTGCCCTGGGGGGGAGAGTATGATTGCTGGACACGCCAGAACCTCCACAAACTCACATTCTGGAGGGAAACACGCTCAGTCTGTCCTTTTCAGACATTTTTTCTCTTTTTACTCGATGATTCTTCTACCTCATAAGATCTAAACTGGTTATAGATGCGACGGTGATCGGCCGAAACGACGACAAAGCGGGATCAGAGCTTTAGCTGCCCTTCTCTCGGTGTCACGTGAAAAATCGGTAGCGCTGCCAGGATGGGGTCAAGGTGTACCGGCACAAGCTGCTAGCCCCGCCCTATGCAGGGCTCTAGCTAGCTAGCTAGCTAGACCGCACAAACGAGCCCCACCTTCGGCCACGCCTTCCCTCCCCCGCAGTTAGTTTTTTGCTCCTCAGAATGACTGTTGCAATCCTTGTTCTTACACTCTGGGTTGGCGTGGTACTCAGTTGTACAGGTGAGTTTACTTCTTTGACGGTATGGTAGATATAGCTAGCTATGGCTATAATTATCTTTGAAGACAAAGATGTACAAATGATAGCAACGGAACTCGGGGCATTAGATGATTTGGAAGGACTTGCTGGATGGATGGGCATCAACTTCCTCCCAATCAGACAAAACTGTGCCTCTTCACTTGCACTGGCTGAGTGCCACAGTAGACGGCTGGTCAGGAGCTACTGTGACAAGTCAGGTCTTAGCTCTCAGCAAGTGGCGGCTGAAATATCAAATATCCTAGAGAAATATATGAAAAACAAGAGGATAGCACAGCTCCTGCGGCAGTTGGATTTCACCGAGAGTGAGTTGTTAAATGACCTCATTGTGTTGTAATGGTCCCCACACGTTCGGAATGTTTTACTTTAGGCGGGAGAAGCCATGATGAGCCGCGGGTGTGTGACTCCATGGACTCAGTTTGTCTCTGTAAGACTCCATCGTAACATTTACAGAAGCTACTTGGTCTACGTTCTGTGTGTCAGTTAGCCAGTCTGTCTGTTACTATATACATGCAGCATCAACTCCAGTGCAGGAGTCCAGCTCTTCAAGTTGGAAGACTTTCAACTCCAAAACAACTTCAGGTGATGCACTTTGTGGAAAAATACACTACTCTACCCACTTTTGCTCTAGATAAGTGGCTAACACTGGAACCATCAGTCAAGGAGCTCTCCCTCATCAAGTACACCGACACTGGGGGAGAAGAAGTATCATTTCGTCTCATCAGTGAAGTTCAGAATCACTGTCAGGACCTCGGTGCTGAGCTGGGTATCAACTGGGCCACGCTCAAAGGCTTGAAGAGCAGCCACAAGAGTCCTCCAGAGTTCTGCAAGGAGGTTCTCCAGACATGGATAGAGAGAGGTGAAGACGTCACTTGGGGTAGACTGCTACAGGCTTTGACTGATATCCAACTTGGAGGGATTGCCAAACGTCTCAGAGCAGCAATCTTCCACCACTTTTAATATTGGGGGCCATTTTTGTATGAGTGTACATGATGATTCGTTATTAAAACGGCAGTATGCAATTGGTAGCTCCGCCCCTTGGCTCACGCACAAGCAGCCTACAGAGCTAGAGATGGCCACGACTCAGCAACCCACCACGGAGGATATCCGCCAAGTGCTAGAAACAGCTCCCCAACTCGACCAGTTCCTTCTGCACAACGTGACGCAAACTGGCAGGCAGTTGGGCGGAGGTTCCTACGGTGTCGTGGAAGAGCTCGAAATGGACGGACTGACGTGTGCCGGGAAGAAGATATACGACGTACTAGTAGACCCAGAGAACCTAGGGGCTCAGCGCGTTGTTGAGCGCTACTACAAGGAGTGCAGTCTCCTCTCTGACATTCGCCACCCGCACGTAGTCCAATTCTTGGGCATCTGCTTCTTTCCCGATTCCCAGCTACCCGCCCTGGTAATGGAGCGTCTGCACGTTAGCTTGGACGAACTGCTGGAGACCATGCCCGACATCCCCCTCTTCACGAAGCTATCGATCCTCGAAGACGTGGCCAGGGGACTTGTATTCCTGCACAATCGCAGCCCCGTCATTATTCACCGAGATCTTACTGCCCGCAACGTGCTCCTCACCGCGGGCATGACGGCCAAAATAGCCGACTTGGGTAATTCTCGAATCGCTAGCCTTCGTCCTGATCAAGTAGCTCAGACCATGACGATGGGCATTCCAGGGACCCTAGTGTACATGCCCCCTGAGGCCTCTACACAACACTACGGTCCTCCCCTCGATTTATTCTCGTTTGGCCACCTTTCTCTGTTTGCTGCAACCCAAGTGTTTCCAGGGGATCTCAAACCACCCACTTATTTTGATGCCATTGCGAGGAAAGTAACAGGTCGCACTGAGCTTGACCGAAGAGAGGTTTACGTTTCAACTCTCAAGGAGATGCTGGGAGGGAGCCATGCCATGGTTCTGTTCATCAAAGGGTGCCTGGCATACGAGCCAGAGAAGCGACCTACTGCTAGGCAAGCCTTGGAGTGCCTTGCAGTGATGAAAACACGTCAAACTGATCCTTACCAGCACATGAATAGGTAACCAACCACACATTAAGCCCATGGGGCTACACACTCTGTTAGCATCACTTGTCACATCTGTGTCAGTGATCAACGATTTTACCAGCCACGTATATTCCGCTAGTTTCCTCCGAATAAAAATAAGTTGTACTACAAGACAAACATTGAAAGTTAAAACCCAGCAAGACACCTGCCAAAGAACACTGCTAAAATTGGCAAAAGTGGTTTTTTAGCTCTTCAGAGTGCTGCAGTAGCCTAAAGTGACTGCATTACACTATTGCTCTGAAAAAAGAACACATGTTGTTCCATACCTGCAGGTTGCAATATTTTTTGCCTACTGGCTTCTTCTGTGTATATACAGTGCTTCCCTTTTTCTCAAGGCTGCAGATAGAAAGAATCTGTTCAGAGAAGGTGGTGGAGATTGAGAAGAGAGACAAAGAAATCGTTGATGCAATCGAGAGACTAACTTTATTTGAGGAACAGTTGCAGCAGAGTGAGGTGTGAAGAGATAATATGTGTGTGCTTTGTTCTACTCTAAGAATTCGCATTAGCTACCTCCTGATGATATGTATGTCACTTAGGGGGCTGCTTCTTAGCTACAATTTCCACTACAGGAGCAGAGGGCAGACCTGGAGAAGGCCTGTGAAGAGAAGGATAAATCGCTAATGATACAAGAAGATGTTCAAAGTCTTAAAATAGAGCTGAAGAAATGTCAAGTGAGGAAAGCTATAGTGTTCTGTGCCATAGGACAGTTGTTTGAGGTTTGCCTTTGTCTTGTGTTGTAGATTTGAACCCATAGCTACCTGCCGAGTTGCCCTGGTACTCAGCTGATAGCGCTTGCCTATTGTGCAGAGTGTCGTGGATTATAATGTAACCCAAGGCAGTTCTCCTTTCCTTGTAAAAAGTATTTTTGGGGTGTCATTGTGTTGTTTGCTTTGCCTTTGCCTTGATACCTCGCTGATTAGCTACGTTCCAACGGGACCAGTGTGTCAACTCAAATTTCAAAACAGATGGAGAAAGCAGAGCTAGAGGAAGTTGCTAAGGGGAAAGAAAAAATGCTAGCCGTGAAAGAATTGGAAACTATGGACATTCCACGTCTTAGAAAAGAACTGAAGGAATGTCAAGTAAGGAAAAAACTGGTTGTAAAGTGTAAATATCTAGTGCTGCTCTTGTGTTTGCAGTTGGAAAAGAGTGGCATAGAAAGGCTGTATCAACTGAAGGAAGAGATGGCGATTGTAAAAGAACAGGAGATTGCAGTGAAACACAAGGTTCTCCTTGATGCTCAGAAGCAGCTGGCAACACAGACTGAGGAGTATCTGTCATTAAAGGAGGAGTTAAAACGGAAGTCGGCACAAATCCATAGCTTAAAAGATGACCATAGGGCATTGGAGGTAAAAAAAAAGTGAATGAATTATTATAGCTAGCTATTAATGTTGCATTTTAGACACTGAAAGCTGAGGAGATCGAAATGTGGGAATCAAAGTTTGCAGCGAAAGACCGACAGCTGTTGAAAGAGGAAGAAGTTGTATCAGAAACGATGCGAGAACTGTCCGCCCTACAGCAGAAATGCAGCTCTCTCGAGACCCAGCTGGTAAGTATGCTTAAAGGAAAAGCCACACCTCGACTCAAAGCAATATTCCATCATTAGGCTGAGAAGGTGAATGAGATCCGCAACATTACGGATATCAAAGTTGCTGCCTTGAATGAAGAGATCAGGATTAAGACAGGAAAACTCGAAAACTTGGAGAGGATGATGGCAACAGAATCCCAACAGCTGTCAAAAAAGAAGGAAGCTCTGTCAAAATTAAGGGAAGAACTCTCGTCTCTTCAGCAGAAGTGCAGTTCACTAGAAACACAACTGGAGAAGAGTGAGAGGAGAAATGAAACACTTGAGGTACTACTTAACCCTCGGCACGCATGCACAGCGGGGGTTACGGTACTTGGTCTGTGCGTCTGCGTGTGTGTCTGTTTGTCATCAGCTCTTCTGGCACTACAGGTTACAAGGTGGCGCTACCATGCGAGCCTGAAGTATAAAATGGCTAGATAATAATTATGCCGTGAAATCAAGCGAAAAGGCCAGTATGCATGATCGCACTCTGGCTTACCTCGACCTGCTTTGCCTGCCACAACAGAGGGTGTGTATCTACTTCCGCTTAGAGTATGGCCATTTGAAATACTCAAAATCTGATTTGTCGACTAGGAGAAAGCTAATCCACGTATATAGTTTGCTCTGTAGGATGAGGAGGAACACTAGTGAATACTATCGAGGAACACTATCGGATAGTGTTCACCCCCCAGGGCCTTTGGAACATTTTTTCCATGTTTTGCGTGCGCCGCACTCTAAAACAGTTAGACGATGAGTCATGGAAACCACGCAATTTAGGAAGCCTCGTGCCCTGTAGTAGCGTCTTAGCGTCCTTGCTGCACTTGGAACACCACAGCCCCAGGGCCTCAGCCTCCTAAATCTGTGTAGTTTCCTATGACTCGTCATCTAACTATTACTATTATACTAGTTTAGCTAGTCTGTGTCAGACTCTCCACAAGCTACTAGCATCCGGGAGACCATAATTATTATTACTCCACAGGCCGCAGAGGGAGCTAATGCTGATATGATGACGGTAAAGGAAGCCACTATTGCTGCCCTTACTGCAGAACTGAAGGAAAAGGACAAATTTCTGCAACTCTCAAAAAATAAGGTACAGCATGCGCTATGTAACGTTGGTTGTGTGTATAGTGTGGTGCTTGTTTCGGTGATGGGTGATTGATTAAGGGGAGTATGTGTATCTGTAGGTGTTGGAGCCACTGCCAAGTTTACTAACCTGCAATCTGCCGTTGAAGTGGAGTAATCCTATGAATATGCCACTGGGAATGTGGGCTGGCCAGGCAGTGCTACTCGGGGGCAACATCTATGTAGGAGGGGGTGGGGCTGAGAAGAATAGGGGGTTACTCAAGTTCAAAATGGAGGGCAATGTATGGACATTGATTAGTTGGCCTGTTGAGAACTTCGGTTTGGCAGTGGTCAGTGATCAGTTGGTGGCAATTGGTGGGGCTTACAAAAATTCTGGTGCTATCGATGAGGTTTGGGTATTCAATCCTGCCACGGCAGCGTGGTTGCAGCCTTTCCCCCGAATGCCAACAGCCAGGAGCTGGGCTTCAGCTATAGGCTTCAAGAGGTGGGTGATTGTGGCAGGGGGATCTGGCAAGAAATGTGTGGAGGTGTTGGACACTGTCACCAAGGAGTGGTACAACGCTATTGCACTGCCTCGCGAAACTGCCCGTCCTTCACTCACTATAGATGCAGGAAACCCTATATGTGGTGATGGAGAAATCCATGATCAGCATATCTCTTCCAGTGCTCATAGCTGACGCGATGTCGCATAACAAGGATCCTACTCAGTGGGAACCGACTCCCCGACACGCTTACCTCCCAGCCAGCCCTCGTTACGTTCCACGGCCATCTCCTTGCAGTGGGTGCATTTGACGCTCCATCCACAACTATAGCCATGTATCTACCTCTTTTCAAGCGGTGGCAGAAGGTGGCAGAGTTACTCACACCACGTGAAAGTTGTTCGTGCCTCGTGTTACCCGAAACTAAAAATAAGATTTTGGTGATTGGTGGGTGTGGAAACAGGGTTAATAGCGAATATATGAACACATGGTTATCGGGTTCCCGAATGCCAGTGTAAGATGTATTGTTACTGCATTGTCATTTCAGTTAAGTGTCAACAAAATGTCATTGCGCAACTGACCAAACACATTACCTCACAGGAAATCAATATCTTCATGACTCGACAAACAACTTAACACGAATTAGGCATACATTAATTAATACAAATGTAACAAAACCAAAAGTAGGCCCTATTAATTTGTCTGGGGGTTGGGGAAAGGACACACACAACAGTCACTTGAGGGAGATAATCATATGTGATGCGACGAAAACAGTGAATATCAATAACGGGCGGGACCAGCCGTGAATCACAGAGCCAATGAGAGAAAAGGATGATGAGAATAATCTGTGTACTGATGCTGGGGTGTCAGAGAAAGAGCTGCTATGTAACTGTCTGTAAAGCCACAGTCCAGCTCTGTGTGTTTGTTGGCTTTCAGCTGCTAGAATTTGAATTCTGTCAGTGTCTCTTTTTCAAATCACGAGATAATCTTTTAGATGCTGATTTAGCTGTCACTTATATCTGCAGAGAAGGAGCGAGGAGAGAAAGGAAACGTCTTTCAAAACATAGCTACGTAAAATGGTGTATATATATATTATACACAATAGTGTCATTTGCATGAACTAAGCATATTAATGAGCTAACATATGGATGAAGACCAATTGAACATCCCCATCATTGTGTTCATACAGATAATGGTAACTGTGTCTGAAAAAAATACTTGCTTTGAGGAGCTTCCCATTTTGCAAAGCTGGGTGTAATGTGTCTTACCATTGAGAATGTACTCGGCTACGCCTTCGGCCAGGTGATCAAACGAGGTCTGGTCGCACGGCTTGTGTGGGTGGGAGGAGGAGGAGGGGGAGTGGGAGGGAGGGAGGTGGGTGTAGGAGGTGAGGGGAGGCTGGTAGTCGGGGACAAAGGGGGCGGAGTGGGCGTTCATCTGAGAGGGTGTGGAGGGAGAAGGGGCGGGGTAGACGGTGGACAATGGCCGGAAGGTGTGGGCCGGGAGGGCCTGGAGAGGGAAAGGGAACAATGATGTGGCGAGCCTTTCATCCAAAGGTAAACTTTACTATTTCAGTCATCACTTTTCAACTTAATAACCTGTGCACACAATACCACACTCAATGAAAAGGCACTTCTTTAGTCACCAACTTTACAAGGAGCAAGAAACACACAAACACACAAACACACTCGCCACACATTATGTTACAGTGAGTATTATATGTACACTCCTTAATCAGAGCCTTAAACAAGACAGAGAGGAGACTCACAGGGCCAGTGTTTCTGGGGGACACGCGAGGCAGTGTGCTGCTGTTCCGTGAGGAGCTGGCCAGTGGCATGGTCCTGAGCATTCCTCCTCCGTTCCTGACCTGTCTCAGGGAGCGAGTCGGGCCTCTAGGACCACGGTTTAGCTGTGACGACGGCATCCCCGCGATCGTGAATGCTCCCCACCTACAGATATAATGAGAGAGAGAGAGAGAGATGGGGAGAGGAAGAGGGGAAGGGAAGGAGGGGAGGGGCAAGGGAGTAAGAGAAGGAGAGAGGAATGTAGAAAGAAGCGTGAGAGACGGGTTAGTGAAATTTGATGAAGCAAATGGTAACTACACTGCGTTGCTCTCTCCCAAACAAAGAGGGAAAGTGTGACTGAAACTAGAGCGACACATGAAGTCACACCAGAGTCCAGGAAGTGATGGCTACACACCACTCCACCAGATACATGGTGTATGGACAAACACGGAAGAAACTGAACGGTCAGCTTTGGCTCTGGGCCCCCTATTTGGGCGAGACTGGCTCTGGTGCACGTTGTGCTAGAAACAACTCAGCAGCAAACACAGTAAACCGAAAGCTTTCTATCAATAGAGGCCAGGCAAGCTTGATGGTGTGTAGATCAGCCAATTTCAAAAGTTTTTCCAGGACACGGCCATTTTAATTGCTGCTAGGAAGCATGCTGATAAATGTAAAAGGGGTGGTTGACTATACCCGGGAAATGATATTGGGTGTGTGGTCTTGTGTGCATGTGTGGGGAGGATTGTGAACCTAGGGATCCTCGCATGTTATGGTGTGTGTGTGTGTGTGTTGACGGCTCACGTTCTGGCCGAGCGAGCTTTCTTTGGAGTGATGACACGGAGAACCTGCTGACATTGCTGCTTCCACTCAAACAACAGCTTCTTCTGCTCCAGTGTAAACGCCTGGGGGGGAGAGGGGGAGAGGGAGAGACAAAGAGAGGGGAAAGGGAAGATACTCCATTTTTCACTTCTGGTATAAAATTATACATAGTGTGGAGTGAAACCACAAGTTGTTTGAAGCAACTGTTAGTAACTGATGGGGCTTTCAGCGCAAGGGAACACCTGCATACACTTTAAAACCCGAAATCTCTCCTATAAACACAGAAGCCTTCGCAAAAAGCACACGTGGTTGGTTCTTGTATCCCCTTGTACTCCATAGTATGGTACTGGCTAGTAGCTAACAGCTCTGCTAAAATACATTACTACAAAGGTTCACAAAGTAGACACACGGGAATTCTGTGCCAATATCTTTCTCTGTGGCCCTACTGAGCCACACGTGTACAAATTTGTATGAAACTAAGAAGCTGAGAAGGACGAAACACGGTTTGATTTGCTCGTGCCGTGATCTCGTAGCTATTTCCGAGACTACGTCTAGGTTCATAGATGTCACATTTCTATTTCAATATTCTGTACTGGTCTAGATCTCAAAAGTGTGTAAAGCTGAGCTTCCCGCTGAAGGTCATATAGTATAAGATCTGTGTGACAAAAGACCCTATGCTGAACTTGATGGTACATAGTGATGGCTAACCCAAGCCCTGGCATCATGTAGTAATCATGTCCAAGAAATACTAGATGCCATCGCTTCACACGCTGGAATACTATTTATATGCAGTGAAGGCTGGCTGATTTAGAGGCCTGGCTGCATTTGGCTGTGGGTCTGTCAACACAGCCCTCATCTCCCGGTTCCCATGAGCACATACCCCTCCCTCTGACAACTCACATTCCTAATGCTCACCATATGTACGTACAGGTCCATATCAGTATACACACATACATAGCTACACTAGTATACACACATACATAGCTACACTAGTCATACACACATACATAGCTACACTAGTATACACACATACATAGCTACACTAGTATACACACATACATAGCTACACTAGTATACACACATACATAGCTACACTAGCATACACACATACATAGCTACACTAGTATACACACATACATAGCTACACTAGTATACACACATACATAGCTACACTAGCATACACACATACATAGCTACACTAGTATTACACACATACATAGCTACACTAGTATACACACATACATAGCTACACTGTATACACACATACATAGCTACACTAGCATACACACATACATAGCTACACTAGCATACACACATACATAGCTACACTAGTATACACACATACATAGCTACACTAGTATACACACATACATAGCTACACTAGTATACACACATACATAGCTACACTAGTATACACACATACATACATGCTACACTAGCATACACACATACATAGCTACACTAGTATACACACATACATAGCTACACTAGTATACACATGTATCTGTATGCAAACTTTCTAATGAGAGACTTAATGTCATGCAGTACATTGACATGGGAAAGATATTTCTCTACCTACACACCTTAACACTACTATTTGTTGGATATCCCTAGGCAACCGACATGTATGAAGCTAGGTATATACTGGGGGATTGTATCAGCCTATACAATCCTACATTGTGCAAGCAGGGTTCATACATGTCGTTTGCATAGGGATATCCAACAAATCTGTTGCAGTACCCAGACAGGGCAGCATTCGCCCTTACAGGGCTCATGCTGTCCTGTCTGGGCACTGCAACATATAAGTGCACACACACATGGACCAATTCAGTCTTGCAAGGGTTCCTAGCAGCATGTAAGGGAGATGCAGATAGTGCAGTGGCCTTTCCAGGCCTCCAAATTGGTCTAGCTGCCACATCAACACAATTCCACACTTTACACGGTACAGGAGAAGAGAGGAGGGCAGGGCAGGTGTGTTCAGGCGCCTAACAGGCTCCAAACACACCCATTTACCAAGTAGGGTCACCGCTGTCAGCTTACTCTGCTGGAATTCCATTCCAACCACACCTATATACCCCTTATACTGCACAATACACATTACAAGAAGAATGCATGCATGACCTATAAGTCCTATATCTCTGCCCATGTTCACTAAACATACCAATGACACACATACACACCTAACCTTCCTCTAGCTATGCACAAACTTTCGCTTCCCCTGTGAGCGCCTTGCAGACTATTAGCCTGCACTGTTCTTTCTGCAAACCCAGTATGTATGTATATACAACTGTGCTATAGCCCGAGGGAAAGAGATCCTTACACAGTAGCAGCCACTCCTCCCCAGACAGAAAGTCTGAGTTGTAAGGCAGAAGTCTGAGTGGTCAGAGTCACTGGTCCACCCTAACACCTACTGTGTGTGTGTGTGCTGCTTCATTAGTCACATAGTACTTTTTACTATATAGGGCCATCACACATATGTTGCAGTGCCCTACAGGGCTGTGCTGTCCTGTCTGGGCACTGTCTGGGTACGGCAACGGATATCCCTAGGCAAATGACATGTACCAACCCTGCTTGCACATGTATGATTGTATAGGCTGATACAAGCCCCCAGTAGCTAGCTTCATACATGTCGGTTGCCTAGGGATATCCAACAAATAGTAATATGGAACCTCACAGCACTAAGACTAGTCACACTTTCATCTGGGCCATTAGCATGGTAATGAAACTCCCTACAGCACTAAACAGACTAATCAGCTACAAAAGCAATGCCCAACAGTAAACTACACATGTGGATATACGTACAATACTGCAACATGCATGTTTAATACTTACAGTACGGTTTCAATAAATTGTAGCCAGTATTACGTATGTAGTATATGTGTACCTCGTGCTGCAGGGCACTGTCCAGGAGTTTGATGAAGGCACTGAGATTGTCTTCGTTTGTGTCTGTGTGCATCATCAGCTGGCTGTAGGCTGTGTAGCGTAGGAGAGGGAGACGGGTATGGAGGGAGAGGGATAGAGTGCGAGTACATTACTGTGAGCTATGACGGACAGAGCATTGCTGTAAAACCTTTACAAACTGACATACACTGTAGGAGGCCCACCCAAATTACCAGCCCCCCAAGTCAGTTCAAGATGTGGTTCATGGGTGTTTTCTAGTGGTATATTACATATATAGGACTCCACACATACCCTCCCTGGGCCTGGCTACCTGGCCACTAGCTGTGGGCCTGGCTCACGTCCAAGAGGGCACCTCCTTAAAAACATTGGCTAGCGATAGGAAACACCGCACAGCTGCCACCTGACCTCAAATCCTACACGCCCTCTTTGAACGGCAGTAATAATCAGGTTCCCTAGCAGGGCACCTATGTATGTAGTACGCAGTATGCGTGCCACACTCAAGCAGCCTCCAGTGTAGTGCTTCTTTTGCTCAGGGGATCAAAAGCTTCAGTCAACCTCAACAAAGGAAATAACTCATTAAAACTGGGAAACACCCAGGCTCAGGCATAAGCCCATGTATAGCTGGAGACTTTGACTCCACTGTTTTCCCTACTAACGCATGTCAGTAAGGATTCTATGGCACACAGAGTTGCCGCTTTACTTACCTTTGCCCATTGCTCTGCTGATGAGGGACGGGAGGTCCTCCGTGGGGAAATCTTTGGTGAGCAGCTCGTCCAGATCGCTGCCCGGGTCGGAGCTGGAGTGTTGCCCCGGCGACCCACTTCCCTCCTCCCCACTGCTGTCCTCGTTACCTGCTAACGAGAGGGGCAGCAGAGAAAAAAGGGAACAAGAGGACGACACATGTATTTAGTATACACACACACAAACAATAGTGCACAAGTAAAGTTTCAACAAGCCCATTTTATTGATCTGCTGTTTTTAATACCAGAAGCTGTCTCAGCAATGTACAGGCAGCCACAGCACGAGCGGAAGGCTTTACTGATTGGTTCCCATTACTTCTGCCAGTTGACCTGCATTTCGCGCAGGGTATACACAGCTTCAGAGATTCCTAGTTTGATAAGGGTTTTCCCAAAGCTATGTTATTGTTGATGCTACGGACCTGCTGGGAGTTGACTTTCGAGACACAACAGCTCGGCTGGGGGCCACCTTGTCACCATCACAACTCACCGTCCTCGTCTCCGGAGCATGCAGCCTTGTCTTCTTCCTTTTCCTCGGGGAGTCTGTCCTCTCTTCTTGCCTCGCCACGTCGTCGCAGATGACTCCGCTCGGCCTTCCTCTCCTCTCCCTCTCTCTCCCCGTCTCCCTCCCCAGCGGACGTGTCTGGCTTGGTGTAGGGCTTCATGGGTGTCTGCAGCATCTGTCTCATCTCTTGAATGCAGGGCAGCAGACGACTGTGCTTCTCCATGTCCTGAAGTTCACAACAGAGAGATACAGGATGACCAACCCCTATACACAGTATGCAAAGACAAGGGGGTAATTCATGTGGTACACATTCTGTGGGAGAGCTTTTGTGTCCAAATCTGAGGTCCCACGAACGTGCAAGCCCCCCACACGCCAGCAATCACACATTCACACATCTCACTCAGACACACTGAGAAGCTGCTATGGGAGTTCCACTCAAAATGCAGCCACAGACACACAAAACTATGTCACTGAGACACACTATAAAGCCGGTCATTCATCCCTCATAAGACAGAATGTGAGTACTAAACAGTACTGAAGGTTGCCATGGGAATTCCACTGAGTGAGTTAGTTGGATGGCGGGCATTCCTAGCCAGCCCCACCCTACCCCACCCCTATTGGAGAACTCTGATAATTTCACTTGGCACTGCCGCGCTGCACCGGCACTATAATAATATGGAGGTGGAGTATAGTTGACACATACACTAAAACCTAGCGTAGTACTTGCAGGTGTGAGCACAGCTGAGTAACTCTATTTGACTTCACACAGCGGTATTTACTTACATTTTTAGCATTACACACAGCAGTACACCTTATATGACGCGGTTCAAATCTCCAAAATGCATGTATATTATACCACGTGTGTACATCTGTGTATTTGTGTAGGGTGTGCTTGCTGAGGTGTACTTACGATGAAACGCCTAATATGACGCGGTTCAAATCTCCAAAATGCATACGTACGTGTGTACATCTGTGTATTTGTGTAGGGTGTGCATGGTACATGGTAGGTGTGCATGCTGAGGTGTACTTACGACGAAACGCCTAACACGACGAGATTCAAATCCGTACACGTTATGTAAAAGCTTTTCACATTCAACATGTTTTGGGTGTTGCCACAAAACACACTTTGGTCGAGTGCTGGCGTCACAATAAACACAAGGCAAATTGCTCTCCGTGCCCCCCCTTGAAAATACCTTGCAGTATGATAACTCATGACGATGCTGTAGGTACTAGAGTGGTATTATTGGCTGACCTGCTCAATCTCAAGCAGAGTCTCTGGTCTCTTGTTCAGTCGACAGATGCTCAGCATTATCTTCTTGCGAGCACCTTGAGTCACATTCTGTGCAATGATACATACACTATAATATACACACACGTGGGGAGACGACACACATTTGTACAGCCCCGTGTGCACTAGTACTGTACGTACTTACTCCTATATTCCCACGTGGGGATCGCACACTTTGAGCCCCGGTGGTCACATGCTGTATGTACATATCACTATAATACACACACGTGGGGGACGACACACTTTATCGCCCGGTGGTCATATGCTTACTGACTTATACACAGATCTGCATTGTTACATGCTAGGTTCCACATTGTATCGGCGCATTATGTCCTGCTGCAAGTCTTGCAAACGCAGCTCGCTTCATTCTTGCTGTCTGATCCTCATTTACGGTAACTCTGACTATGACAAGCAAACCTCTCTGCATCATCGTATATACCAGTTCGATGATAACTCCCGTAAGCCACAGTGACTACAGAGTGACCTGATAGTACATGCAACTTGAGAGAATCCTGCAACCCACAATCACACGCATGGTGTAAACAAGAGTAGCTACCTCCACAAATTAACAAAGCCACACAAACCTCAAAATTTGCCACAGTACGTACCCACGATCACGTGCAGCTAGCCCTACACGCAGCTTGAGCGGTACGATTGTACGCCATTATAGGTTCTACAGTTCCACTCTCCCACATGGATTCATTACACAAGGAAAAAGTCCAACTTGGGCCTTGTCTGCGGCGCACACTCACAACGTAACTAAATCGTAGTACTGATATCGCATCGGCACACGCCCTGAGACACGTGAATACCATTTTCTTACACACAACGAAAGAGTGCTCCCGCATTTATGGCCATTAAAAGGCACGGGTTGTATAGAGATGCGAACAACTTATGTCAAGAATCAAACTCTGGCTGGGCGTTGTGAGCTTAGTTTGACGTCACACAGGAGTTGTCGCTGTTTCTTCTACCACTATGTGGCTAAGTTAGAGGGTTAGCACTCAAATTAGAAATTCTTTATGTATGTGTTACGATACATGTGGAAGCATACAAAATAACTTAATGGGTTCAGTAACACCAGAGTTGGTCCAAATTACCTACAAAGAGCCAGTACAACCGGCAAATAGGAGAGCCATGCTAACCAAGCTATGATGTGAACTCAGGGCCTTGTATATACGAAAGTGCACCTTCAGTGCGCTTCGAAGTGTATGAGTAAGGCACGCTAATCATTGCCGTATATTGCACGGCATTGCACACATAATTTGGGTTAACATCATTAACATGGACATGCTACATACTACTTACATTTTCCTCGAGGAATTCGTCGGTAATCTTGAGCATGTCTTCGTAGGTGAGTGGAGCAAACAACTGGGCATACTTGTGTAGTCTTAGGGACTTCAACCACATGGGCACATCTGGGGAGAGAGGGGAGGGGAGGAGGGGAGAGGGATAGGAGAGAGAGGGAGAGGGTTACAATAAGATGAAACCAGGGGCAAGGAAGAGGAGAAGAATGGGTTAAGAGAAAGGAGAGGGCAATTGTAAAGAGTGGGTAAAAACACAGGTGGGAGGATAGGAACAATAGCAGAGATGATTTTAAATGTGCAAACGACCCATTTGAATGGCTCTCCTGCCAAATGCAGCATCTGGCCACGCAATACAGCATGTGTTTAGTGAGGATGAACACATGTACCGATGTATCTTGTACGTATGAATGCAGGCAGGTCAAATGGGAAGGCCAATTGCCTGAAATGCAACGACAATACGACATATTATGCACCTACACACATATCACCTGTTAGTGAAGAAAAAGTGCCGGTGTGTAAATTTGTTCAGTTGACTGTATCACTGATGTAACCATACATTACTAGGAATCTTCATCCAGAAGCAATGTAGGTATGATTCGTGCACATCTTGAACACATTGTCCAGTCACCTTACTAGGAGTCTTCATCCAGAAGCAATGTAAGTATGATTCTTGAACACATTGTCCAGTCACCTTACTAGGAATCTTCATCCAGAAGCAATGTAGGTATGATTCGTGCACATCTTGAACACATTGTCCAGTCACCTTACGGCACCGCCAGGTCATTCACACAAGACCCACACACTATGCTTACGGTGTATACTAAACATCACACAAGTACATATAGAGTATTGTAACCAACAGTCTGGTCCATATGGGTCTACACAAGACATGCTAACAGTGCAGATGGCACACTACGTACGGTACAGAAGGAAACCAACTCAGAGAGAATTTTCTGCTGTATTCTGAAAACCTTTGAACGTGTAAAAAAAACGACCGTGTCGGGATGATAGTTGAGCTTTTGCTAGAGGGAGAAAGGCCCCCAGTTTCCTGCGCATCCCACCAAAGGAAACCAGTAGCAAGTGTATGATGACTCTTCACCGTTGTATATAGCCGGGAGACCAACGGGACGAGGGTCGTAGGGTAATGTAATACTGGGCCAAGTAATGTACGGAGTGAAGAATGTCAATTTGGGGAGGAGACCCTTAAATCACCAAACATGGACGCGGGGAGGGAGAATAGAGCTGAACCCGGCGTTCTTGATTGGGGCTGTGGCATGCAGGGACTCTGCCCGGTCCTGGACAGTATCCAAGCTGTATAATGACGTCGTGCCTTTGATTTCTTCCAGGTGTCGGTAGACAGACAGACTCCATTCATTGCTATAATGAGCCCCAAACGAGACGATGCTAACGCACTAAGGGTTTGTAGGGAGCGTTGATGCTGCGAGACGTCAGAGGTTTAACCAAATCTCGCATCAGCCACGAGCCAGAAATTACAGACCAAAGGCTGTATAAAGAGAGGGACTACAGAAAGGCTCACAGGTGACTCAGTATCTGATACACAGGTAGGACTATAGAAAGGCTCACAGGTGACTCAGTATCTGATACACAGGTAAAGAGAGGGACAGTATCTGATACACAGGTAAAGAGAGGGACTATAGAAAGGCTCACAGGTGACTCAGTATCTGATACACAGGTAAAGAGAGGGACAGTATCTGATACACAGGTAAAGAGAGGGACTATAGAAAGGCTCACAGGTGACTCAGTATCTGATACACAGGTAAAGAGAGGGACTATAGAAAGGCTCACAGGTGACTCAGTATCTGATACACAGGTAAAGAGAGGGACAGTATCTGATACACAGGTAAAGAGAGGGACTATAGAAAGGCTCACAGGTGACTCAGTATCTGATACACAGGTAAAGAGAGGGACTATAGAAAGGCTCACAGGTGACTCAGTATCTGATACACAGGTAAAGAGAGGGACAGTATCTGATACACAGGTAAAGAGAGGGACTATAGAAAGGCTCACAGGTGACTCAGTATCTGATACACAGGTAAAGAGAGGGACTATAGTAGAAAGGTAGGCAGCTCAGCGTTCTGCATAAGCTTACATACAGTACAGCCCATAGTGGTATATAAGTCTTCCTCTCTTCTGTTTTTGGCACAATACATCCCACAGTTCGCTCATACTTATGGTTAGGAGTTTCCTGCCCCCACCTGTGTATTGTAGGGGTGGGCAGCCAATGACAGATAACACTTCCATAGTGTGACTTAGCCAGGTACTGATACCACTGGCATCTGGCTAAAACCACAACCTCAACACCGACAGCCACATAAAAGCAGAGAAAGAGGAGAAACCAATCCCTCCCCTGATTGGAGGGTGAAAGAAGGAGGAGGTGTGTAATGAAAGAGAGGAATACCACTCTGCCTACTGACAAAACTCTCTCAGATCTAAATGTTGATGGCCAGAGAACTGAGTCTCTGTGCAATGTTCGCTGCAAAGGATTTCCTTGTTGATCTACTGTTATAAAGGAAACGATAGTGAACTTGGGTTCGAACTTGTGTCTGGCACATTACCTCTACAACATTCTACCTAATTAACTCATTAGCATCTCCCTCCATATAATCTGTGTTCTCAGCGTGACTTCACAAAACATGTTTGCATGTACTTATCCCTGCACGTACGGAAACACGCCTCTTGGATATCATACCCACATGCATGTGTGGACAGGAAGTGTGCATACTCAACCATACATGTAGCCATGTGTTCTCCACATCTAATGTGTACGTAATTATGTACACCCGTGAGGCAAATAAGCTACATCCGAGACAAGTAATATCCCAGTCACAGCATTGGATTAAGCGTAAGTGGTTATCCCGAATCTGAAACACACACACACTTGTCTCGGTTACCAGGTAGAGGTGTCCTACTAATCAAAGTCTGTATACACCTTGCCAGCACTGACAGAGCAAGTGATCGAGTTTCCATTAATGAAAGTCTTCAAAGACACCAGCCAAAGGCACGGCCACCAAAACAGGCTCATTGGGTGGCCCTAATACGGGCAAAATTGGCCCGCAAAAGGGTGGACAGGGCACCAAATGTAGCAATGAGTGGGTGGAACTCTAGACACTTAGACTGAGGCCATCCAGCTGGAGCATGCATGGCAAGGATTTTGCACACACAAGGCTGCTACTGCATGTTACAGTATGTTACAGTGCAGATGCATGACTAAAGGTTGATGTAGTACGTAAACTGCAAAAGGGCGACAGGATCGAGCCAGAGTAAAAAGTTGCTAAACCCTATAGTGTTGCTGTCGTGGCAAAAGTAGTGTACGGGCCACAGAGTGAAGCAGAGGACTAGGTGGCACAGTGAATAGAGGGGCAATAAAACCTGCGCGAGTATTGCTGTGGTAACGTGCTACTGGTACAGCCCACATCTGTGAGACATGCAGAAACTTGCTGGCCTGGTGTGTGCACACATTCCAGAAATAAACGTGCACGACCTCAGCTGGTGACCAGCGAATCAACTCACACAACCACGCGGTGTTCTTACATGCTTCTGTATGCTACACACGCAATCGAAGCTACAGGGCCAAACACCAGATGGTAGGAACAAAATGACGTACTGTAGCAGTGTAACTTTGTATTCTTGTAGCTAAACATCTGGGGAGAACTACATTATATAGCTAGGAGAACTTCAACATAGCTAGGAGAACTATACACATAGAGCTAGGAGAACACCTACCTTTCATTCCAAGGTTCCACTCGATAAAAGCAATGTCGTCCCCCAGCCCGCAGGCAGATGGACTGAGGTAGTGGGCAGTGCGGGCTGGGAGAGTGGTGGATTTGTGCAGCGCCTTGCCCAACTGGAGCACCTCGTGTGCAGTGAGGTTTGGGGGAAGGGTGACGCGTTTGTCGACCTCCTCCAGGGTGTGCATGTAGCGGGGAAGGGGAGGAGGGTGAGGGGAGGTGGCGGTGGGTGGGTCACACGAGATGTCGAACCCGTTTGAAACTGGTCCGATGTAACCGTCGATCATGAGGTCCCCGTTCCCGAGAGCTGACGAACTCTCTTCGGTCTTAATCTGGCGGACTTTCTTGTGCGGGCTGGCGGAAGAAGAGGAAGAGGAAGAGGAAGGAGGGCTGGCCGTGGCGGTGAGTTGAGAAGAGGTGGCGAGCGGAAGAGAGACTATTTTCCTCGGGGGAACATGTTTACCATCAAGTTTGTTTAGCCAGAAGGTGAGGGTGTCTCTGTCTTTCTGCGGGAAAGCCGGGTGGACGAGCGCCAGGGAAAGAAGCTGCCGGCATTGGTCAAGGTATTTGTGTGTCTCGCTGGAACTGAGAAGGACTTTGGGGAGGAGATGCATGTACTCCTTCCTTGCGTCAATGTTTCCCGGGTGCAGGAGAGGTAGGTAGGTAAGTAGTCGACTCAGGGCTTGGTCTTCTGTTTGGCTGTGGAGGGAGCTCAGGAAAGCTGCAGAGAGAAAAGAGGTAGGGGGAGAAGAGAGAAAGAGGGGAAATAAGAGATACTAAGGGGGCGACAAAATAACCCTCTGGCACTTTAGCTCTTAGACAACGTCAACATGCAGATCTGGACACTTCCCACACAACCCTGCACCACATGCATGGCCGGCCACCAATCACACACGAAACGAAGGTCTAACACGAGCGTGTGTGTATACAGCAAACAGCACAAAATCATCTTGCCACAGGCACATGTCTAGTAGACCTCCACACGGCGTACGGTACGGAGCGACACACTGTCACACACACGTACGAACGTACACACACACACACACACAGACGAGCGACTCACTCGCATCGTTGGCCAGTTTCTCTAGGCGGGTCAGTTCCTTCGAATCGTAGCCGTTCTTCAGGGAGTGCTCGAGGACCAGGGAGAGGAAGCGCGCCTGGACAGCGCTCACCTTGCTCAGGAGCGAGTAGAGCGCTATCGTCTGCTCGCAACTGTTCCACGCCTGGAACCACTCGGTGAGCTGCCTCGCCCGGTCTCCGAATCCGTTTCCCTTCATCCCCTCGGTTGCTGCTGCTGCTGCGCTGTTGGCGGCGACGTTTCTGGTCCTGGTCGAAGACGGCGGCGCTGCTCGATCTTGATCACCCGGCGGCAGATCTGACATCCGATCGCGTCTGGGGACCGACACACACACAGACTGACACACGCGCTCGTTTACGGTCTCTCTACTACACGTCGTCGTCCGGATCCGGCCGTCCAGGTGGCTCCTACCGTGCACTGGCGACTGTTTTTCTACGCTGCATCGGGTCTGTTGTGCATACTGAGGCTCCGCTAAGGTAAATAGGGGCTACAAATACCTTACTCTGCCACTGCTAGTCATCCCTCGCCGTAAAAGGGAGCCGAGGAGAGGGTGCGGCCACGAGCACTCCAAACAAAGTCATTCTATCGCTAATTGGCGTTCCTAATTCGGAGTGTGATTATCGAAGGCCAGTGCGCATGCGTGACCACGTGGACCGGGGGAAATGGCCGAAAGACAGGCCGTTCACAAGTCGGGGCCTCTCAAGCAGCAGAACAAGGCACACAAGAATGGGAAACATCGCACCAAGGGCCAGATCGCCGCCCTGTTAAAGGGTGAGCCAGCTCCGCCATCGCGAGAGTGTCCGGAACACGAGTTATATTGTCCGGTTGTGCATTGTGTTTTTCAGGACGGGTGTCGTTCAAGACTCACACCAGAATCTCGCGCAAAGAAGCGCGTAAAGCCGATCGGAAGAACAAGGCAAGTCTAACTCCGAACGTTCTGGTCGTTGGTGTTGTCATCTGCCTGCTGTGCTGTGTGTTGTGTCGTACAGATGAAGCAGCTTCGTGCCAACAAGCGCCACGAGACCTTCATGGCCAAGAGGAACGTGGGGGTAGAAGGGACCCCACCTCACCTCGTGGTAACTTTCACCTACTTTCTGGGTGGGGATCACACAAACTACAAAATATATTTAGATACAGAGCGTTTCGCAATCAGTGAAAGTTTGGTGGGAGAGCAGGAAATGCAATCAGCGAAAGTCTTCACTGCTCAACTGATGCGTTATGTCATACAAGTCATAATATGTAAAGCTTTGGGAAGCAGAATCCTTTAGTACTCTTTCCCACAAGCTGGTTTACGTGCTATTTCTGCAATGTCATCCTGTATCAGTTGGAGAGCCCCTGCAATGAGTTTGTTTAGCTACCATCCAATTAGACGTCTGTGTATGATTGTTTGTATCATGAGCTGTTGGTTTTCAGGTGGTACTCTGCATGTCTGAGAACGTAGACCAGGAGGCTGTGCACTCGCTGCTGTGTGGGGCATGCCGAACGGAAGAGGAAGACCCTGCAATTCCCTTCTCGTCTCTCACCACTCTCTGCCACCCAAGCCTAAAGCACCGGTTCACACTGCTCTTTCTGTCGACCTCCGATCTATCTACGCCCTGCTTGATGTGGCCAAGGTGTGTGTGCTGGCCCACACCCACGTTTTGTCCCCCAGTTTTGTTTACTATTATTTGCCCCAAAGGGAAGGCTTACTATACACTCCTTTCTGGAAGTGTATCTCCTTTGGTGTGATTTACTCCTTCTATGACCTGACCATACTACTTCACTGCCCATAGTGTCTCCATTACCGAGACACTTTGCACTATGCTGATGATGAAACGTATTATACGAATGAGAATGGGGGCTATATACCCTATATGACTGCTGTTGTGCTGACAGGGCTGTGTAATAGTTGCGTGCAAGTAAGCTAGAAACGCAAGGTTCCTGGAAAGAATGCTTCCTTGGTGACTCAGTGTGTGTGTGTTTTCAAGAGCTTGAACACTGTGTGTAAGAACACAGTTGCCTGTTTCATTTACTGTGAGAAGGAATGGTGGAAGAGGGAGGGAGAGGCAGAGGGAGGGAGAGTGAGAATAGAAGGAGTAAATTGAAAGGAGAGGGTGGTGTGAGGGGAGAAGAGGATAATTATTGTTAAGGGAAGGGCTGGACTTGTTGCTGTGAAGAGTTTACATGTTGTTACATGCCGTGTCTTTGAGGATGTCCTGGCCGCTGGTCTTCCATGACCCACTGTTTGCCAACTCTATACCTAGCAGCAGTGGGTAGGTAGACCATGGGGCTGAGCATGTGTGTTTGTAGCTCAATGCAACAGCTTCTCTCCTACTGCACTGAATTGTGTGGGGTCACTAGAGTGCTTGGATACACAGGGAGAGTGGGAGGGTACACAGTGTGTGCACACAACTTCTAGTGGCGTTTACACAGCTCCTTATTCCACCCTTTTCTGCAATGCTTTGATTCACCCCCTTCTTGATTCAAAGGCTGAGTGTTATAGTTTTTGCAGCAGACTGCATTCTTTCTTCTAGCAACTGTTTCAGTGTGTGTTGGGACCCTACAGCAGCCTTTGAAAGCTGTCACTTGGAAGTTCTCTCCCCCCACCACACTTTCAGTTTGTTGTTCTTCTGCTTGCTGCACAGTGTGTGTATACAGCTAGTGATCTTGTATTTGGGACAGCACCCCATAGCTCTATGTACATGTCTCAACAACTTGGTAGAAAGGCAAGGCAAGGCAAACAAGTCAACTACACCCAGGACAGCTCTTTCTTACACTGTGTATATTGCAGTTATTGTATCCGTGGATCAGCTTTGGCCACATGACCTCATATGTATGATGGTTATAGCAAGTGCCACAATCATCACTTGCCGTAGATGTCCATTGGTTGTACAAGTGCAGGTCGAAGGGCTCGTATGTCGTCGTATATAGAGAGTGTTGAATTGAGGACACTAACTGCATTTTCTGTGTTTGGGAATAGGGTGTAATGCTAATGCAGCCTGGTATGTCAAAGGATGTTGTGCGTGCACTGTATGAATGTCTATGCATTATAACTCAAATGCATAGAACATATATAGTACATACAGTATATGCATCATCCCTATACGCTAAGTATTGCTACCATACTTAGTGAGTGATACAGTTGAACCTCTCGAAACGTCACACCGACAGTACAAAAGAAAGTGTTCACAATGGTGAGGTGTCCTTATTTCAGGGGTTTGATTTGCAAGACCTGTTCATTAGAGAATAGGTGTCATTTTTAGAGAAGTACATATGTTCGTTTTTGTTCCACTGTAATGATAAGTGACCTCCTCGCTCTCCTTACTGGACTGCAGATAGCCGACACTCTCCTCCTGGTGTATGGGGCAGGGAGAGAAGGAGGGAGAGAGGGAGGCACTGGCCCTCCACTGCTGCTACTCCCAGGGGCTCCCTGCTACTTGCCACGCCATCCAGGTCTCTCCCCTCTCTCTTGTTTTCCCTTTATGTTTTATACTGCATGTTAGCTCAGTCGGTAAAATTGTCGGTGAACTTTCAACAAAAGCTGCTTCGGCCCTGTTCTTGTTGCCAAAATTGTAAGCATGAAACCTTGTGTACTCTTCGAAATACAGTACAAACACTCTGCTGAATGCTGCAAACAGTGTGTGTGTAAGGCTCCATTTTGCACTTGTACATGACATCCGGTGTGTGCTCCATACGGACATCAAACATAATATTAGATCCACCTAGTTTATGGAAATGGTTGACAGCAAAGAATGCACCAGGAAGTTGAGTGTTGTGTGTGTCTGTGCCCAAGTGAAAGTGCTATGTTGTAGGTGACTGGACCTATAAGGCAACCACTGTGGGCCCTGTAAGGTCAGGCTCTGCATGGTGACAGGCCCTCTGGCTAGGCCACTGGCAGTACACTGTCCAAATGGCTCTGCCTTATATGAACGTGTGTTTGGTTTGGTGTGTGGAGTCTGGCTCTAACTGGCTGTCAGGGTTTGGCCAAAGCACATGCAGTAAGCTTCCACTTTGCATTGTGGTATGGTATTGGGTTTCAATCCATCATTCAACCTTTCCCCCCAATTACAAATGAAAAGCATAACCGTTGCCACTGTTGATTATGGAGCTTCAATAGTTGGCTGTCTCGGAGAAGATCAGAGACTGCTCTTCCTTTAATAATTAACCCTCAGCGCGCGCTGAACACTCTCTCAGCATCATCACTCTTACAGCGTAGGCTATAGCAGCAGTCTATAGGCAATTCAGGTCTTCCCATTTCCCCTCCAATTGCCGTTTATTCTGTGTGTGTCTCTCTCTGCTGGACAGGGCCTGGAGAAACTGGGTACAAAGCAGAGGAACAGTGCCAAAAAAGCCACACAGAAGACCATAGAGACACGGTACGTAGCTACGTAGAGCTGTAGGGGGTGAATGGATCTTCCATCAAATTGGTCTTGGCTTTAAGTCATCCTTAAAGGTGTGCATGCAGCACGCTGTTGTGTGTGTGTGTGTTGTGTGTGTGGCGTCTCCATTCACCACCATCTGACCCTCAATGAGCCTACATTGAACTCTGACAGCAGTTCACTAAGTGTCTAGACCGTACAGACTTCTGCTGTCCTCATCAATTGATTTACTCTGGCGCTCTTTGTGTAGCCCCTGCACACAGGAGTAATTTGTGAGGTGTACTTAGCTCCTTCCCTTTGTTCTTCTGCCCTTTTCCTTCGTCCTCCCCCTATCTATCTTTATCCTCTCTTCCTCTCTCCTCTCCCTCTCTCCTCTCTTCCTCTCTCCTCTCCCTCTCTCCTCTCCCTCTCTCCTCTCCCTCTCTCCTCTCCCTCTCCCCTCTCCCTCTTCCCCCTCTCCCTCCCTCTCTCCCTCTCTCTCCCTCCCTTTTCTCCCTCCCTCCTTCTCTTGTAGATTCCCCGGTGAACGTCTTCACACACTAGACTCTCTTCAGGTGAAACACAGTACATTAAACAGTCTGCAGTACTCTGTGTACCTGTTACTGTCATACATACGTTATAGTTTACCTTTTACAAACCTGGGAGCCTATGAGTATACAACATTCCAGATTTTTTCCACTTTCAGTATAAAAAATGGTTTGCATTCGGTTACATACAATCTATATGCAATGATATGGGTTGTACATACATACATACATACATACATACATACATACATACATACATAGTGCAGTATGTGATTTTCTCCGTGTTGGTGGTGGTGCTGTTCAGGACGGAGGGAGCGTCTTGAGGTTCATCTCTAACCAGAAGCGGAGAGCAGTGGTCTGTAGAGACATGCACCCTCACCTACTCGCAGAGTCGACACAGTTCATCCCCAGCAAAGAGAATGAGGTATTAACTACTACAGTATGTGAGTGCTGCTGCACCTTTCTTCAAAGATGTCTGGCACACTACTCTCAATGGCAGCTGGTGGAGCCCCTAGCTCCTATGATATACTTCCGCAGTAATTGTGCATTTTCCTGTAAATTGTTTAAGCGTACACTCAATGGCAGCTGCCTTGAGCCATAAAACCCTCCACGTTTGTGCATTAGTACATGCCAATTGAACACGCCATGCATGCAGTCCGTTGTTGCGCTTCCCACTTTCTTAGAATAGCGACCTTGGTGGTGGGTGGTGGAAGAGGTATGAAGTATACTGCCCTTTGGTGGGTGAAGGGATTGTTACAGGGCGAAGTGGGGTATGCAGTGGAAGGTGAAGGGATTGTTAGAGATGCACATTGGCATGACCAGTAGGTCACTCCATCAGGAAGTGAGGGTAGACCAGGTTTCTGTCTGAGGCCACGGGGTCATGTACTTACTGGAGTCAAATTTACTGCCATATAGAGACAACCATTTTCAGTCACTTTTGGCTGTAGTGTGTGCCTATTAAGATATTATGATAGTGCTTGCATGTTTGTAGTATCAAGTGCCGTCACCCGCGTGTACATAACAATGCACCTTATAACTCACTCATACCGTCCATCCAACCTTGCGCGTGACAACGCTCATCTCTCTTCGCTGTGACTCTGGCCGAGTCTCTCAAATCTCCACGTGCATACACTTTTTGTACGAATGACGAGGTAAGATTACATAATGGGTAGTGAGTACATAGAGTATGGGTGCTACACATCTCTTATTGCTCAAGAGTGTGCACTTGCAGCAAATGGCTATATAGCAATATTACTTATGTACAGGAGGTGGGTACTCTGGAGGTGTCTGGGTATGTGAGAGGAAGACCACTGTCAGTGAACGGACTGCTCCACATCCCCGGCCTGGGAGACTTCCAGATGACCCAGGTAAGTAGCAAACAGTCCTGCCATATTCTCCCTCCCAGTAAAGTTAGAGTGAGCCCTAAGGTATTCTCACGAGCGACTCGAACATGCTTGCCAGCACTGCACCTGCTTTCATGATAGGTGTGATCTCTCTAAATGGCCAGTGGTGCTTGTGATCATGCAGTTGACTTGTGTGCCTTGCCTTGCCTTTCTACCTCGTTACCAAGTTGTTGAGACATCTGTGAAAATATCCCTGCCCTCCTCCTCTGTTTTTTGAAGGATAAGCTTGAGATAAAGCCCTGGTAGAGCCCTATATATGCCGTATATGTCTCTTCCACGAGTGACAGTGTGTGTTTCTGTCTGTCTCTAGATCACGGCTCCTCCTGACCCTCACCCGGTGAAGGCACGACTCCACAGACCTCCAGCAGTCATGGACACTGTCAGTTAACCTCTGAATAAAGGACACATTGGGCACATTAAAAGTGTCCTGTATTCAAAAGTGTTCTTTATTCGTAGGTAGTGTAATACACTAATGTATTTGCATAGGGCAGAACCAAGTCTCCCTTACAGAGAGGTGTCCTTTATTCGGAGGGTCCTTTTTCAGAGGTCTCACTGTGCATTTCTGATGTATATTTTTCAGGGAGAGGAGCGGGAAGGGATGGCGGAGGAGATCAAAGTGGTGGCAGTGGCTGACCCTGCCAAACAGGTGCACACATACGCAGGGCCCAGACGAACTTTCCACCAGTATAATGTAGTACACAGAGTATAGGACAGAACTATATACCCCTGTCCTGTGGGGCATAGCCTCGAAATACACGCACACGGTATCCTAGAGGCTTGGAAACTGTGTGTATTCCTTTCACCTCTCGTATGAACTGTTTGTATATGTGCAGTAAGTGAATACACTTCCATGGCAGTACACCCGCTTCCGTGAATGGTGGCTTAGTAACGTGTTAGCGTCTCACACGCACTCTTCTACTGTACTGATAGCTTGTTGTGGCTTTTGACGTACATTGTCTTCAGACCCCTGGAAGAGACAGTGTTTGTAGCGTTGCTCATTTACATAAAACAGTAGTGCAGACTTTATTTTTCCTCATCTCAAATGGATGTCGTCGTCTTCTTTGAGACCTCATGCACCGGATCTGTCACATATTTTGCGTTGTCTTTCTCGGCATTCTGAGGACAAAAAGCCGTGCTATAATATAGTACTCCTCTCCCTTTTCGCCTCTCCCCCGTCTCTCTCTGTGTGACAGGAGAGTCTGGATAGAGAGGTGGAGCTAGATCCAATGGAAGGAGAACAGACGTGGCCGACAGAGGAGGAGCTAGCCGGGGCGGTGTCTCGCCTGCAGACTCCGCCCACTGGTCAACCTCTGAGGCCCTCCGAGGCCAGGAGAGTGCCAAGAGGGACGTCTGACTACCAGGCAGCGTGGATTGTGGCTGATTCTGAGGACGAGGTAACCACCTTCACTGCTGGGGTTTGTGTGACTGTTGGGGAGAGGGGAAGGTATTTTACGTCCTTTAGTTGTTTTGCAATGCTGCCAAAACTGTGCTCGAATTTTCTCGAGTGGCAAAATTTTATGCCTATTGAGGGCAGACTCCTCGGTGGAGGTGTACTAACCTAATGTGTTGGTCTCAGTCTATGAACTCTCACGCCTGTGTCCCCGAGTTCCAGCCTTCCAGAGTATCATTGCCATCTAGATAATTCACCCCAACCCCCTCATTAACCCTCGCAGTCTCTGATCTTCTCTGAGACAGCCAACTATTGAACCTCCATAATCAACATGTGGCAGAGGGTTATGCACTTACAAGTGCTTTTCATTATTTCATAATTTCCTCCCTGCCCCCCCAGTACGAGGTCATTACTTCCTTTTCCCACAATCACTGTAGTGCCCCTCTCCTTATTTGCACTTTTCCCACATACATTACTCTCATTACTAGGGACACGTTATGGACACGTTATGGTGAGTGAATTCTAGTACGAAGTTTTAGCAGATTTACTTGTGTTTTAGAAGCTAAGTAAAGCATTACGGTGTGGTCTGCACCGTCTACATACAGATAAACCAACAGAAAGGTTTTGGAAATCAGTCTAGTAGGTTAGCTTGCTTTGCTTGCCACCACATATTCCCTGCAGGATGAAGAGGAAGGGTCTGAGGGTGAGGAGGTGCCTGTTGATGATGAGAGTGAGGAGGAGGAGGAGGAGGAGGGGGAGGAGGAGAGTGTGATGGGGAGTGAGATGGACACGGAGAGTGTGACCTATGGAGACACTGAGAAATACGATGCACAGTTCGACATGGAGGCAGAGGAGCAGCAGTGAGCTGTAACTATGCTGTGTAAACTGTGGAAAATTTCTAGGGAAAAAATATTTGCAAACTGCACGAGCCACCCACAAGACAATCGGGTATCACAGAACAAGCAGTCTGTGGAAGCTTATGTAGTAGTGAATTGCAAACCTTTTGTCAGTCAGGTGGTGTTCATTTGAGGCCTGTGTGCGATGTGTGTGTGTGTGTGTTCTGATAGGTTTGAGTTGCTCCGTGCCGAGAGGGAGAACGCCATGTTCCCGGATGAAGTCGACACTCCACAAGACACTCCCGCAAGAATCAGATTCCAGAAGTACGAACGATGTCTTGTACCGATTGGTTTGAGCTTGTAGAAACCCAACATACCACTACTCTAGACCTCTCTACTTCAGTAAAAGCAGATGTGTCTGTCACATTACTGACGGATGACCGATGTGCGTGCAGGTACAGAGGTGTGAAGAGTTTCCGTACGTCTCCATGGCACCCTCGAGAGAACCTCCCCAGAGACTATGCCAAGTGAGTGATTGAGAGGAAGAGGGGTCACTCGGGTCGCTCTAATTTGGTCATCGTTTATCTGTGGAAAGTTCCGCGTGTCATGCGAGGTAATGAGGTACAACTACACATTGGCAATTTACTGCTGCGTGACGGCTACAAGAAACAGCTCTACATCTCACAAACTGAGCGGGCAAAGGCTCTTTACGATAGTGTGCATACCTTGTAATATGCAGCAATCTCATTTTGTGCCACAGTTGATGCATGCATGGTCACGTAGTAATTGGGATAAACTTGTGCAGAGTGGAGGAATACATACGTGCTGCTGTTTTGTACATAGGATTTTCCAGTTTGAGAACTTCTCCCGGACCAAGAAGAGAGTTCTGTCTCAGGAAGACAATGAGGCGGCTCTGGTGAGTGGGTAACCCCTTTAATCATCGGACAAATGATCATGGCTACTCTGCGAACTTCTTGCACTGGCACGATTTCTTTGTAGTGTATATAGGATGGGATATTGTCAATGGCTAATAGAGTGCAGAGTGTTGGGCTAAGTTGCATGTGAAAAGAGGAGGCTCAAAGCAGTGGCCCAGGAACACAAGAGGAGAAGCCAAGTGTTAGCTATATACTACACCAGTTTAGAGAGGTGTTTATCCCATAATAATATGACAATTTTCCCATCCCATATTCCAGCCTGGCTGGTATGTGACAGTCCAAGTGAAGGATGTTCTAAAGCCGCAGGCAGGTGAGCCAACCCTTTGCGGCAATGTCGTCAGCATAGCTGTGTGTACATTGATGTGTGTCAGTACCGTATATATATATATAATATTTACACACTTGCAGAAGCACTGGATCCATTGTCTAAGCCGCTGGTCGTATTTGGATTGCTGGAACACGAAAACAAGGTATTAAAAAAAAGAGCACACACGTAGCATGCAGTTTTTGTCAATACCATCATCTTTTTGTCAAAGTGATTTCTCTTGCACTTTCACCTACATACTCTCTCGTTTATCAATAGTCACCGTGACGCAGAAGTCCTAGCTACAATTTCAATCAGAGGACAATTTTGTTAAGATACACGACTCCCTCCTTCACGTTCAGTGTATGAGAAGGAGGGAGCTGTTTTAATCTCCTCTATTGACAGATGTCAGTGGTCCACTTTGTGTTGAGGCGGTGTGACGGGTCGTCAGCTCCGGTCAAGTCCAAGGAGAGACTGGTGTTCCACTGTGGACTGCGGAGGTTCTCTGCCTCGCCTGTCTTCTCCCAGCACACCACCGGAGACAAACAGAAGGTGTGAAGAAGAGTTTCAGTTGCTCTTTTGAAAGTTTTCGAGTGAGGAAATTGCTGTGTAATGGTTCGGAATTAAAGCACTAAAGAGAAAACGCATAGAAAAGGTGTTGGGTGCAGGTTTTCAAAGTGTGGGACCATGGACCTAAGTGGTATTTGTGTAGGCGGTGTTGTAGTGCTTATAGAGAGTGATGGGCGGAAAGACATGCTTTCCTCAGGTCACTGTATGTGTTATATAGTATGACTTTGAGGCTCTCTCTCCACAGTACGAAAGGTTCTTTCCCCGAGAGGGTGTGTGTGTTGCGACTGTGTTTGCTCCAATCGGCTATCCACCGCAGCCCGTGCTCGTCTTCAAACCTGTACTCGGTACGTAGAACGAGACAATGTATGCCACTGCTTGTTTTGTTGCGTCCACCCGTGTCTACATTATTACAGTGTGACCCCTCCAAAACGACACCTTTTCTTTCCCTAGAACTGCTGTTGTTAACGTCCACAGCACTAATAGGGGCACTTTCATCTCTCTACTGTTGTTGTTGTTCAAGTTGGATGGGTTTCACTATATTGTACTCTACTTATGAGGTAGAGAGTGTGAGCAAGGCCTCCCTAGAACAACTGTTGTTAACGTCCACAGCACTAATAGGGGCACTTTCATCTCTCTACTGTTGTTGTTGTTCAAGTTGGATGGGTTTCACTATATTGTACTCTACTTATGCACCATGTGGTGGGTTTCTATGAAGTTGAGAGTGTGAACAAGGCCTGAAAAAAAACTCCCATGCCTTTTCAGGACACCTATACCTGTTGATTGCCGCCTAGTTTCCACACATGCATATACCCCTGAACCGTCTCCATTGGATGCGTGTGCCTCCTCCCCCTGGCCTGTTGCTGTCGTGATGCGGTACTGCATGCGATAATCTCTGATGCCTTTGTCTCTCTCAATGTGGGACTGTCAACATTCACATGGTGTCACACTCTCTCCCTCCTCCACCTCCTAATTTTTCCCCAGCCAGAAACCACAACACCGCCTCACGCGTTTCTTTCGATCCTGCTAATACCTTTGTTTTTCTCCCTCGTGTGTAGACACGCACCAACTGCTGGCCGTAGGCACGCTGTACAAGGTCGACCCCGATAGGGTGGTGTGCAAGAGGATTGTATTGAGCGGTCACCCATTCAAAATCCACAAGAGATCTGCTGTCATTCGCTACATGTTCTTCAACCGTGGTATGTCTTCTACGATCCAGTGAAGGTTGTGGGGGGGAAGGTGGCCTGTAACATGTCACTGAGTACGGTACATAATAGATGTATGGGGCTATAATAGGGATATATGGGGATCTTCCTTCCCTCCATGTCCTGCTTTCACTGTCCTCTCGTTTCCGACTCTGTGCATTATGTTTGTTTGCGTTGTAGAGGATATCCAATGGTTTAAACCGATTGAGCTGCGAACCAAGCACGGCAGAAGAGGACATATCAAAGAGCCACTGGGTCAGTAACACTGCTCTATTTGCAATCTCTTGCCAGTTGGCCATTGGGGTTTGTTTGGTTTGTTTGGATAGGGACTCATGGTCACATGAAGTGTGTGTTTGACGGGCAGCTCAAGGCTCAGGACACGGTACTGATGAACCTGTACAAACGTGTTTACCCCAAATGGACGTACACCGAGGCTGTTAGTTCGCCTCAGGACTGGGGTGACGGCAAGAACGAGCCATTCACTGATGAGACTTCCGAAATGAGTTGATAAGAACACTTTCATTTTCGTCTAGTTGTTTGTACAAAGCCCATGAATGTGTGTTTCTCTTATCAGACTGTCCAGAAAATGGCCATTTAATATAACAGCAGGACTATGCACAATTCTGCATGTGTCTTCATAAGTTAGATGAAGTTAGAGTTGACTGCATGTGTCTTAATAAGTTAGTTGAAGAAACTATGTGCATTAGGAACCCTGAGCTCAAATTGCAAATGAGCACTACTTTCTTGCTGGGAAGTCAAGCCAGAGTGCCAGGGATATGGGCTAGGCTCGTCTTCGCAAACCTCTTGACCCTGCCCAAAGTATCACGGTGTAATTGCGTGGAGTTTTGCAGCCCAGCCATGTTCTAGGTTTGCTAGCCATAGCCTCATTCACAGGGAGATAGTCTAGCCAGTAAGACTAGGAATTGTTCAGGTAAGTGTTCTGTTATAGTCGTGGGGGGAAGTCATCTTAGACATAATTATGGACTTGTGGTGCGAGGACAGGAGGAAGTCTCCTGGCAGGCAATGATTGATTCCTGTGGACTTGGGTGTGATGCTGGGTCCATCTGGCCATGTTTCTCCTGGGACTTTGTCTTTAGCCACAGCACAGGCCGAGGAGTATCCTGTGTTTCCCTGGCAGTGGCAGCTGCCCCACGTCCCACACATGGGCAGTGGGCGGGAAGCACTGCGGCAGTGTTACGGAAGCCAAGGCACGTTTGTCGAGCATTCTTTGCTTGTAGGGATGCTTGGGACTGTTTCTGAAGCTTTACAATTATAGTGGTGTCGTGCGCGTTCACTTCCGTCATGTGCGTTGAAGCGCTGAAGAGTTTGATATTGTCGTTGAGGTGCAAAGAAGAATCTTCAATACGGTGGCAAAACAAACAAAAGTAATGTAAAGTGTGACAAAAAATGTGTATGTGCGAGTGAAGCACTGTCGTGGTGAGTAGAAAGTGGTGTGCATAAAAATAAATAAATAAATAAAAAGGAGTTTGTGATGCAGAAGACACAAAATTTCACACAAAATTCACACAAAATGTTACACGCGTTCAATGTGGTGGTGATTAAAATCCCGAGTGCATGAGTTGACATGAAATGAGGTCCACTAGATGGTGTTGGCCCCTCTGAGTGAGAACCGGGACTTGCACTTTCTCACAAAGCCCGTTTTGCTTTGTGAGAATGTTGTGTACATTTTCTTGACGCTTGAGGCCCTTTGTCTTCTGATGCCGCCGGGCTGGGTGAGTGAGGGCATGCTGGCACTTGTGGTGGCTCCATCCTGCGACCAGCAACAACAGAGCACAGTAGCTTCAATGCAAACGAGAAAAGTGAATGCATACATTTACACAGGGCGGTGCTACAATGGCTTCACATGTTTGCACCTCAATAGGTTGAAGGACAATCATTGCTTGCAGTTTGGAAGGTGAATGAGCTATAAGGTAGATGTTGGTATTTTGACCCACTTAAACTTTCTTCTTAATTTTTCCTCCAAATACCGGTGAATTAAAGTGAAATTTATGTTACATGACTATCAAGACATGGCGATTCTAAAAATCAAATCGGTTTCAGAATATATTCATAGTAGGTAATGCAAAATATTTGCTTTATAACCCTCTAAAAGCAGCAATTATGAGTCAGTGATGGTATTATGAGTCGACTTAAAACGTATTCTTTGATGAAGCAAACAGTTGCCCAGTCGTGGTTCACAATAATTACTTAGATATACAGAAAAGCAAAAAACCACAAATTAATCATAATTTGACCAAAACATTCATTTAAAACCTCCCCCAAATTAAACCCTTTGAGTCAGTGATGCAATCATTGTGACCTCTTGACTTTTGGCTATTTTGTCGGAATGTAACCCGCAGCACGTGTTAAAATGTGGCGACGATTTGCTGGGCTAACGTCCTTACGGTAGAAGCAGTTACACAGTGTTTGGCAGCTTTTTGGAATATTTACCCATAATAGACCCCCCTGACTCATAATACCAACACTTACCTTACCTACCAGATCTGACGTAATGTTTTCTTCCCAGAAGTGGTTCCCTGTGAAGCGGTAGAGTCTGGATCCCTTGAACACTATCCCCTCAGCCTCCTGCTGCTTCTTGTGGCTCACATTCTCTATGACTCCGTGACTCAGCAGTCGTCGACACATCTCCTTGGCCTTCTCTCTCTTCATGCGGCTGTTGAGAGTCTCGAGGCAGTAGGCAAGGAGGCAGTCCACCATGCTGCTTCCACAGAAACACTCGCTGAACCTCTGGAGTCGGTGAAAGTGGCGACCAGGCTCCAGACTGTTTTCGAGATGAGAGACGATCTTGGCGTACATGATTGTGGCCGGGAAGTGGGTCCTCTTGTGTTCGTCTCCCATGTCCAGTCCGATACTGAATCTTCTGGACAGGCGTCTCTCTCCAGGCGGGATGGACATCCGGGAAGGGGCATTGTGTGCAGTGATGCTGTGCCTGCGAGAGCGCCAGCCGGGGTAGTAGGCAGCTGTCACGGCCAGAGGTACTGGAGTTGGAGGAGTTGTGGGCGCACTGCTGCTCCTCTGAGTGTGCACTTCCTTCTTGAATTTCATCTTTAGTCTACTGTGTCCTGTTCTGCTGGCGTTGCTTTCAGGCCTGCTGCTGTGAGCCTTTCTACCGCATCTTGATTGGTCGGTGCGATGTCTGTTGGCAAGAGGTTTTGGTGGTTGTGTGGCCGTATTCAGTGGCAAAGGTCTCTTGGGTCGCTCCAGTGAAAGATGAAACTGTACATAAGAGATTTACAAACTTATAATGACAGGTTTGAACGTCACACTCCCTTCTATCCAATGTTAGGGACGGTGATTATGCTAGTGGTTCCTAACTGTTTATTCACCAGTGTTCCAAATGTGAAGTGGACAGAGGAAATGACGTGTATTTCCATGACGTGACAGATGAGAGAGGGTATGTCGAGTAGCCAGCTGCTCTCCGAGTTGTTGAGTAGCGAGCTCTTTAGAGATAGAATACTGTCATTGTAGAGGAGGTGAAGGGCGGGCTCAGTCTCTACAGCCAACTGCAATGATGATAAGTAGCATTCAATTAAGTGTCTAAAAGTTCCACTACATCATTATCTGTGCTGAGTATAAGCTCACTTGTATGATCCTCTGTTGGGGCTCTTGCTTGCTGCAACTCTGTTCTGTTTCTACTGCTAACATCGTAGGTAGCTATACTGAGTTGAAGTAGCTAGCCTGAAGCAACTGAAGACTGTCTATCCACTGGTTGCAGGTTGAGTGAACTGGCACGTTATATACCCCAGCCTTTTGTTGGCTGATGGGGTTAGTCAATACACCAATCATCCATAAATGAGGTATAGCTCAATCATCTTTCGGCATGTCCGCGTCGTGGTTCTGCCGGGCTTCTGTTTTCCCTCCAGCAACAATGAGCAAGGAAAGCTGGAAAACTGAGCGGAACCAAAGGTCTTCACTGTCACTGCATTAGTCTATGTTATTCAGCTATAATAATCACTCAACAGATGTTGTAGATTAGTTGTACTGTCATTGTGTCACAGGTAAGCCCATACTATACATGTAGCTAGTTGTAATAGCTTGTTGCCTATTGCAGTCAAGTATGGTAAAATCCTTTTCAACAAACACAATTTCAAAAATGCACAAAAAGTACGACGGTTCGACTTTGCAGTCTTTCTCAAGTAGTCGAAACGTTGCATGCTTGACTGCAAGCTATTACTTTGAGTTTAAGGCTTATTTCGGAGCAGTTGTCAACTTCTTTGTTCTACCAGTTATGTGTGCATTTGAGCTTTCACATCATGTGGGGCTGCCAGCCTTGTTCCACAGATTCTGCTCAAGTCTCTTCTAAAAATGATATGGGACAGTACAGTGAAACTAGATTTGAGTTGTATATACTATATACATGGTGTCATAATAGGCAATGCTATTATGCACCCGTCAATGGCTCCATAATGGGCAGAGTCAAAGTATGCCAATCGTGGTCTCTTGGACACCAGCGGGACATGAGCCTGCTTTTTGGCCACCCAGTGTGGTAGAACGACAGACGGAGCCACCACCATATCCTTGCTAAGTGTATATATAGCACACTAGCATACACACACACGTACGTCCTTTTATAGAGGGCAGCGGGGCTAGGCTGGCTAGGCTGGCGGCGCGGCGAGCGTCATTACACGTGTGTGCGCATGCGCTATACCTCGCTAGAGAACCTGTGGGCTGTAAGCCGAACACAAAAAAGCATTTCCCCCATCTAATAGGACCACAGACTTCGGTAGGAGCAAATTCCTCCGTACCGGCGCTGCAGAAGTTGATCATCAGGAATGGGAGACGACGCACAGCTCCACCAACTGTGCCAGTCAGGCGAACTCGACAAAATCATCGAATTTGTGGTCCAATTTCCTGACGAAGTTTCTCTGGACGAGCGCCTTGCAAACCGCAAGGGAGTCTTCGGCTACACTCCGCTCCACGAAGCTGTCGCGAGCGGCCATCACAAGGTTCTCGACTATCTCCTCGTCAGAGCCGGGGACAACCATGTCAATTGCCGCGCCAACAGTGGCTACACTCCGATGCACTTGGCCGCCAGCAGCGGTCACGTAGAATGCGTGAGGGCGCTCCTGAAACACAACGCCGACATCAGCGTCACGGACGAGTACGGCAAGACGCCCAAACAGACGGCCGAGCTGAGCTCTAAAATGCCCATTGTACGCGTACTCAGGGGAGCAGGTGAGAATGATGCTGTTTTGGGAGTACACAATAATTTTAGCTAATAATGACAAAAGTACAAGATTGGAACATGAACAAGTATTGAGACAATGCTTTTCTGAGCGTATAGCATGATATGGAAAGGGGGATGAATCTATATAATAAATATATACACGAAAAATTGACCCACTGTCAAAAAAAACTGAAGAATCCTCAGGGTTATTTCCTCGGAGTAATGGCAACTACTGGATCCTGTTTGCCAACAGCCTTATTCCAGGTGTTACCATACTCTGGCCACACACTGAAAGTTTTTGTTCCAAATTCCCAAGTCAACACCAGACTATTATTTGAGTCATAATTATTATGCACTACTACACAGCTGCAGTAACTTGTTTCGGTAATGGGATGGTTGCAAAATAGTTACATTTTGGGAATGCTAAATTCCTCATTAGCTGGCTATGATGTTTGATGAACCCCTGTATATTTATATACACTACTTTCAGTTTGTGGCAAGTAAGCACTATATAGATTTTACACAAAGAGCAGTCCTGGGTGTAGTTGACTTGTTTGGTGTGCCTTTGCCTTTCTACCTAGTAGTTGTCACATGTGCGTTGTAAAAAGCAAAAACTGGATTTTTGAAGTCATTTTCTACTAGCTACATAGCAACACAACGTTTTCAATTCCCCAGAGATTTTGAGGGAAGTAAAAAACAATGGGGATAACCTGCCAGAGCTGCTGAAGCAGGCTAACCCTGACCAACTGGAGCCCAACTGTCTCAACGACGCCCTTGTCGCAGCAGTTCAAAATGACCACCACCAGAACGTGGGCACACTGATTGTGAAGGGAGCTAGCAACATATCAGAGGCATTGAAGCTATCAGTCAGTGAAAAGAAGGTCCACGCCAGTGCCATGCTCATGCTTGTTTACGCGGCCATGGACGGAAACTGCAATCTCGTGCGCCAGCTCTTTGACGATATTCGAATTGAGGACCAGCCGTGCCAGGAGTGCAGCAAGTCAAGCGGAGGGACGTACTCCCTCATGTTGCGGATGCTGCACCAGTCCATGACAGACCAGGATTGCAGGGAATGCCTGCAGAGTGTGCAAAGAGTCCTCAAAATCAGCGACATTCTCACAACTATTCCCATCGAGATTGCACGGAGAAACATTGCCGGAAACACATCAGCCCAGAGAGCCAAGCGATGCGGACACGTCCGTGAGGAACTCCTGATGAAGACTGATGTGAATAAAGAGGAGAAGTCGGTTCATTGGCAAGGGCTAGGGCTCCGCACCATTGAGCTCAGCTGGCTGAAGAGAGTGGACTGGGTCAAGACACTCCTCATTGGGCGAAACCAGCTGAGATCTTTGCCTGGGCAGATAGGAACACACCTGAAGCAGGTTTGCAATAACAACCGCAGTTTTTCTTTCAATGTTGTTTCATGTGCATGAGTGTGTGTATAGTTTAGAGCTCCCTTAAAGTTTTTCTTTCAGTATGACAAAATGAACTATACATCCCACACGTGTTTCAATTCCAGGTTACAAACCTCGACATTCAAAACAATGAGCTGGAGAAGATTCCCGATGACCTGCTACAACTCCCCTGCCTGGTGGACCTCAACCTCTCCCACAACAAGCTCCAAAACCTCCCAGACGTCGCACAGTGGTCCCCTTCTCTTACCACCCTCGACCTTTCCCACAATAGTCTTAGGAGCTTCCCGGAGTTAGTCGAGGCCCCGTCTATGCTCAAGTTAAGCATCGCTGACAACCAATTCCGAACTGTGCCAAAGAGCATCTGCTCGTTCTCCATGCTAGTGTCACTGGACATTTCCAGCAACCAGGACATACTTGCCCTACCTGTTGATATGGGGCGCCTTTCCCACCTCGTCACCCTCAACCTGAAGAACTTGAAGGACCTACATGACCCCCCCAGAGCGGTCCAGGGGGACGCCCGAGACTGCATCGAGTACCTCAAACAGAAGTTGCAGAATGTGAAAGCCTTCTTCAAGATGAAGCTGATGCTAGTCGGCCACGCAGAGCGGGGGAAATCAACACTCGTTGCTGCACTGCGGAATGCAGATTACACAGGCATACACACAGTCGGAGTCGAAGTCAGTGACTGGAAGTACCGACCACACATTGGTAAGCCTAAGTTCCAGTTCACCATATGGGACTTTGGTGGGCAGAAGGAGTATTACTCCACTCACCAATGCTTCCTCTCGAGGCGCTCCATGTATCTGCTGGTGTTCAACTTGAAACACGGGGACAGTGGGGTAGAAGAGTTGAGGCCGTGGCTAAACAACATACAACTGCGGGCCCCCTGGTCCCTGGTCATCATTGTAGGCACACACCTCGACGAGATACCCAGTGCACAAAAGACGACCATTGTTAGCGGAATTCTACACAAAGTCAAGCGTCTTACCCAGGGTTATCAGAAACTGATCATCCCTGAGATTGTCCCAGTTGCTCTGCGTACACCGCTGGAGAATATTCCCGAGCTACGGGAGACCATCTATAAGCACGCCGCCGAGTACAAGTACAATAAGAAGTTGGTCATGGGTCAGATGATCCCAGCCAGCTATCACAGGCTGGACAAGCAGCTTCAGGTGCTGCGCGAGGAAGCCAAGAGGAGCAGCGGCCAGCAGTCCATATTGCACTACGAGCAGTTCAAGAATCTCGTTGAGCAAATGAATCTGGGCATTCACACCGACGCAGAGCTCAGGACGGCCACCATATTCCTGAGAGATGTGGGGACACTGCTTCACTACGATGACAAGAGGCACAACCTGCACGAGCTATACTTCATCGACCCCCACTGGCTCTGCAAATTGATGGCTAGGGTGGTCAGCCCAGAGATGGGTGCACAAAAACACATACGAAATGGCATTCTTCAAAAACATGAAATCCTCAGGATCCTTGGAAGTCCCGGTTCAGAGAAATACGTTCAGCAGTACCTCACACTGCTGTATCGCTTTGAAATCGCCCTGCCTCTCAACGAGACAAAAGTTCTGGTCACGTCGATGCTAACCGATGAACGTCCTGGAAACATCGACATAGAAGCGTTTCACGATCCTCCCTTTTACACCCGTTACATCACCTTTGGCTCCGCAGCGACGCCACCTGGGTTCTGGAGCCGCTATCTCTCCCGGATCATGTACTCCATCTCCCAGGCCGCAAATGCCCTCCAACTGGACACCTTACCAGGTACCTGCATCGACTCCGTGAGCCTGGGTTTAGAGGAGGTAAATGATGCCCAGCCCTCCACCCTAGCAGATAAGGTAAAGTACTGGGATTCAGGGCTGTCTTTCATCGATCGAGAGGTTGCGTTCCGAGTTGAGTCGCTTTCAGGGTCAAAAATGAAGCACGTGACCGAAGAGCACGGCGTACTGATTGTTGCCTCGCCCCAGTGTCGGAAATATCCCAACAATGAAGGGATTAGAATCATTGGTCAGCTGGTGGACATGGCCCTGTTGTTACTGAGGGACTTGTACCCAGGGCTGACGGAGATCAAACAAAGGATCCCGTGCTACGAGTGCGTGCGCATGCGCAGGCAAAATCCATATGAGTTTAGTGCCCAAGAGTGTTGGGCTGCTATGGAGGAACAGAAAAGCACAATCGAATGCAAGTACGACATGCAAGACTTGACAAAGAACCACACAATGGTAGTCAGCAAGATTGTCCCAGACATGTTCCTGGACGACATTGACCACAAGTTCCTCCTGAACCACACCCAGATCAAGAATGAAGAAACCGTCCTCACTAGACCGACAGAGTATGAGAAAATCTGCCAGGGAGTGTACCGCGGGAGCTTTGTGACTATAATGTACCCCTTCAAGAGCAAAGAAGCCCTCAGTAAGGTGAGGTCTGAGGTGCGAATCCTCCAGAAGTGGCATCACCCCTGCCTGACCTGCTTGATGGGGCTAATAGTCCACCCGAGAATTGCAGTCGTAATGGAGAAGGCCCCAGAGAACTCTCTTGAGTGGCCACTGGTCACAAAGAAGTCGCCCATCCACCGCATTACCCTGTTCAGAATTGCAGCTCAAGTTACAGCCGCACTCAAGTTTCTCCACAAGAACAGAATCCTCTTCAGGGACCTGAAGGCGTCCAATGTTCTCATGTGGACGCTTGACCCTGACTCCCTCTGCCACTGCAAGCTCGCCAACTATGCCCTCTCGACCCAACTCAACCCCACCAAAGCCAAGGCAGAAAAGGGCATCATTGCTCCCGAGGTGCTGCACATGGGAAGTTCAACGCGTTACAATGAAATGGCAGACATATTTTCGTTTGGGATGCTCCTGTACCAGATCATCAGTCGCAGGCATCCTTACCACGAGTCAAATGAAGGTAGAACCTCGATCCATGCAGCAGTACACAGGGGAGAGAGACCAAAGTTGCCGAAAGACACCTATGCCACCATGGCTTTCCACTACCTCAGGCTTGCGATGGAGGCATGCTGGGATGGGAATCCACAGAAGCGGCCGGGTGCAGAGAGCCTTGTCGAGTACATGTGCCTCGCTTCCACGCAGTCAGTCATGTCCATCATCAGCACCAGAAATTCGAGTTCAATGAGGCAAGCGATAGTCGTGAAGACGCAGCGCTGCAAGGATATCTGGGTCTGTAGTGAAGGAGTTGATGGCCTTGAGATCGACGTCTACAACCTCAGCACATTCACAAAGAAAGCCCTTCGCATTGGTAATCTCTTTAGCTCAATGTGCCTCTGCAAAGACTACGTATGGATTGCAACTAGAAATGGGGTGAGCAACAACAGTCTGGAGATTTTCAACCCCTCCACTGCGAAACGTGAACTTGAAATCAAAAATTGGGAGTCCATGGTTTCCTGCATTTCCTGCTCTGAAGAGAACGTCTATGTAGGCACCATCGATGGCCTATGCTTCTCTTTCCCCATTGACCTAAAGAGGTTGAAGCACAAGCTTGAGCCACGAAAAAAGGAGCTCCCTGAGTCAAAACCCATCCACGACATTTTGCTGGTGAACCAGGCTAATGGGAACAAGACCTTGTGGGTGTCCCAGTCTCGCTACCTCTACTTCCTACAGCCAGAGACCCTGGAGATGGAGCATGTTCAGTACAGAGGTGACACAGACGACCTGGTGGGCAGGCTCTACAAGTCAGCACACGACCCCTTACTGGTGTGGAGTGCTCATGTCGGTGGCACCATGCTCTCTGCCTGGGATGTTCAGAGCAGATCCATTACATTCGAGGTGAACACAGCCCAAGAATTGGACATCATCTACCACAACCCACGCGGTGGCCAGAGTGCCATCACAGCTGTAGCGCCAGCCTTGAACACGGTCTGGGTTGGAATGACGTCTGGCCACGTACTTGTGTTCTCAGACCGAGAACTCTTGGCCTGGTATCAGCCATATTCGTCCTACATACAGTTCGTCACTGCCATTCACGATACTGGTCCCTGCAAGACTGAGCGCTGTCTGGTACTGACAGGAGGCCAGCGTTTCCTGCAGCTTATACCAGACAAACACAAGGAGATAAGGGAAGTTGCTCCAGGCGTGAGTGGGGCAGTAATGGTGCTGTTTGAGGCGTTCGACAAGAAGTTGACGAAACAAGTGAGGTTCATTGAGACCAAATCGTCAGAGCTGTTTGAAAGTTTCCACACACTGCGCAACAACCTCAAAATAGAAGAGCTCGGTTTCAAAGACGGTACACACGTTCTGCCTGAAGAAAACTTCATAGTCCACTTGTTTGCAGAAGAGAAAGAAGTATTTGAAGTATCGTGTCCCAAGCCACTGAAACTGATCACTCTGCTGGATAAAATTCAAAGGAAGGTGAAAGACCCAGACATCACTCTCAGAATAGAGTATCGAAACGGAGAGTCAGGGGAATGCATTGAGATTCACTCCCAACTAGACCTATTAAAGTACGCAAAGATGAAGGACAGACCAGAACTCATATGCCACCTTGGTCCATTTTTGGCTGATTAGACTGCGTGTGTAAAATTATAGCTTTTACTTAAGATCACTGCTAGTCACTAAAATGTCCAGCATTGCTTGTTTATCTGCGTGAAAGGTAACCGCAACGCCCATCAGTCGCTTTCTGGAGTATTTCACTAATATGATTGGCTGACACATTAGTATTCACACTGACTGGCAGCTCTGGCAGTTTTATTATTCCAACTTGCATGCGCACCAAGGGTTGCTTTTGTCTATGTAAAGGGGCTGGCATCAATGCCGTCTGGGTGGTGCTGTAGCATCTAACCCCTTCTCCCCAGCACAAAAAAGGCATCTGCGAAATTCACAAGAAAGTGAATGACCTAGCTATATACACGCTTATGGAAGGTGTAGTGCAAAGTAGCCAAACAGAGCTACGCATTTCTCCACGAGCATGTGGGTGGAAAAAGGCTAGAAAGTGAATAACCAAGCCATCATTCATCAGCTCTTAGCTACTGAATTATATCTGCCCAGACTGGGCCACCTTTTCTTGCGTACATTACGCCTGTGACAGATTTTCCTTGTTTTACAAGCTCAATAGCATAAATATTTTTTTCAGCCCTAGCACAAATGATGCTCATCGCGACATTTTAATTTATGCGTAGTTTTATGCGCAGTGTGGCGTTTGCGCAGCCTCCACCGCGCGCATGGCGCGCGCGTGTGAGCGTGTGTACGTGTGTGTGTGGCGCGGCATCACTATGGACTTCCTTTCTCAGACGCTATCCTTCCTCGCTGTGGCTCTTGTGTGGGGAACAACAAATCCTTTGCTCAAGAAAGGCAGTGTCGGAGTAGAGAAGATACAGTGCCGTGGTAGACTGCGTCAGTTATTCGCCGAGCTCGCGTTCCTTGCCCTGCGGTGGCAGTACGTGGTACCGTTCCTGGTCAACCAGTCGGGCTCAGTGCTGTATTACGTTACCATCGGCCAGGCCGACATCTCTCTCGCTGTTCCCATCACAAACTCTCTCACCTTCCTCGTAACCTCTGTGGCTGGACGGCTGATGGGAGAAAAGTCCCCCACGAACACTACGTACCTGGGGGTCGTGTTGGTCCTGGTTGGCGTAGCTCTCTGTATTGCTTCTAAATTGCACTGAGTCAGTTCAGAGGAGGTCTTTTTTGGCGCTAGCAAATGGGGTTCAGGGTTCATAAACATAAGTTGCTGCGTCAGCGCCAGAGCTCCGCGTCGAGCAACATTTTGCCCTTTCAGTGCCATCCCTTGACGATTATCAGCAATCAACCTCTGATAGCAATGGGACAGGGCCACGGTGGAATTAAACGAGAAATTGAAGGAGCTGACAGGTCCCCGGACGAGTTCGTGCCTATGCCTGTAACTCTGCTGCCGGTCTGTGGCAATGGTGTGCACTTGGATGTGGTACTGTACGGCGATAGTTTCTGTGGAAAGACATGTTTAGCAATAAGATATGAGAAAAACATGTTTGGCCCTACAATAGCCACAATTGGTGAAGCGACTTGTACTTAGCTAATTCAGTAATGTGTTTACCAGGTTGCTGTTATACTTTGTGTTCAGGAGTTGGCGTCAGTACTGTGGAGAGAGCACTTGTTAAAGTACGCTTATGGTATGGAGACAGCTAGATTTTGTATTCTCTAGTGTATTGTGTAATGTGAGGAACTAGTGAATAGTAGGTTTCTGATTTATATAATAGGGATACAGCTGGTCACGAGAGATATGATTCAATCACCCAAATCTATATCAGGGGAAATAAGCCAAAGGTATTGTCTTGTGTGTTGTTGTACTGTGGATTATTATCTTTTTTTGCATATAGGGTTTTTTGTTGGTATATTCCATCGACGACTATGAATCTTTTCAAGTCGCTCAAAAATGGGCAGATGTCTTACGGAAGGTATATAAAAACGTATGCATACTCTTATTTAACACATATATCCTTATTAGGACTGCTGGCAACCAGTATCTAACTACCCAATATTGGTGCTAGGGAACAAGTGTGATTTGGAGGATAAGAGGGTTGTCTCCAGAGAATGTGGGGAGTCGCTTGCCTCTAGCCTTGATGCAAAGTTTTTTGAAGTCAGCGCTTTAACTGGAGAGAACGCAGAGAAGGTAATAGAATTAATTAGCTTTAGCTCAGATCCCAACACCAGGTAGTGATATATATGCTTTCCAGACTGGCTTGTGTGTATAGGTTGTTAGCTGCAACTCAATGCAAACATCGATACCCCTAATCCCCTTTTTACTGTAACTGCAACTGTATCTCTCCTGGTGCAGTCATATTCAGCCCTGCTTGAGCTTTTCATTCGGAAGAGGTTTAATTTCCCAGCATACCAGCAGGCAAGTGGTCCAGAAGAAAGTCAACCTCACAAAGATGGGAGGCCAAGTATTACTCTAAAGACCTGGACATCAAAAATGAAGCGGGATACATGAGTAGCATACGAGTGCTGTTAACTTTACCGCGCATGCGCATTGCCGCGCATAAAGCGGGCCGGAAGGGTGGGCATCAATTGAAGAAACCGCGCCATATACGACATACGATGGCTCAACGGCAAGTCCACGGAACCTGGGGTGAGTTCGGTAGTGCAAACCACCAAGTACGCAACGCTGCAAAAAATAATTTGCACTGTTGAACCAGAGCGACACTATCTCGCTGTACTTTTCCCTATCTCGCCTTCACTCCTCATTTACTGTCCCTTCACCCCTCTCTCCTTACCCCCAATTAACCAACCATGTCTAATGATTTGACAGTAGTTAGAGCAACACGCTCTTCCTATGTGTCCATCTATATTTCACTCTCCCTCCACTCTGTAGCTCGGGAAGGCAGGGGTAAGGGTAAGAGGCGGTTCGCTCCACAGGGAGTGTGGCGTTCTGGCGGTCATACTCAGGAGGTGGAGCCCGTGGTGTGGCTTGCAGAGGGATGCCAGAGACCTCCCATCCCCTCGGCCTCAGCAGGGGCCCTCGGGCACCAGACACTCCAGACGTAAAGACGAGTACCATCTTGCCGAGGTACTGTATGAGAGCACGTGTGTTGCATGCCTCCAAAACCATTGAATTACAACAACAGGACTGTATAACTTCAGCTGTCCATGTGCCGACGCTTAACCCTTTGGACGTCATCGGTATCTGCTTAAATAAGCAGTTATTTATGTATAAAGTATTAGCGCCTAGTATTATAACCCCATATAAATACTTATGGAGGCTCTGGATAAATTTATGTGTCTGTGGCTGGTTAAGTGTTAAAAGCTTACATTATCAATGTGTATTTCTATGTCCTTTTTTTAGCTTGCTCAAGAATTTTGGGGTAGCCATCTGTCAGATACGGACAAGAAGTTTATGCCGTCACTTGTGGAGGGAATATACACCACAGTTAAAAAGACCAAGTGAGTGAAGGCTCTTTGAAGTTCCAGTGACGTAATCTCTGTCTCTCCCTCTTGAAGCTATGCCTACCGACCGATAATGGCCTTGGAGTACAGTCAATATCTGGAGAATTACCTCTGGCCCAACTTCACCCCAGATCGTGTGAGTTTCACACAAAATTGATTCTATAAGTCAAGTAATTAATTGGTGAACGAAGCAAGTCCAGCCAGTCATCTAATTGATATCTGTATAATATTTGTTTGTAGAAAGCGCTGTCCATACCAAAAATACAGAAAACACTTTAGTTTTTGCACTTGCATTTGCTCTGTCTCCCTCCACCAGTGTACGCAGGCCTACCTGATGTCAGTGGTGATGGTGGTCAATGAGAAATGGAGAGAGAGAGTACCGGCCTGGGGAGCTTTCGAGGCACTCCCTGACAACTTCCCCTTCTTCTTCCAGCGACTGTTGGATGCCTGTCTCTCTCCACTGGAGGTCTGACCCACACACTGTGATGTAATGATACCCACTAGAACGGTTGTGTATTCCTTTACTACATGCCTACATGACATGCATATTGACTTACTTGTATCAGTTGCTTTTGCCGATTGCCAAAAATTACTCTTTTTGTGTGTGTCCTCCACTGCAGGACTCCAAGTACACCATGAAAGAGAGGACGATGCTCCTTCTCTTCCTAGTCTACTCCTTCAACAGTTTGGTTAGATCTAACACACACTAGTGTATAATACCCATCTGTACAACCTGCTGTATTACTTACACTCCAGGAGATAGATCTGATTAGAGAGCAGCTCCAGAAACTGGTTTCCCTCTCCATGTGGAGAAACCTTCTCCCAGTGAGTCCTTCGTAACCGCAACATAAAGTCTCCACGGGATCTAGATGACTGACTTGTAGAGTTTTGTGGCACGTGAATAACAAGGGAAAGGGCAAAGCAAACAGGTCAACTACACCCAGAGCAGCTCTTCCAAAGTGTAGAGACATGTCCTGGGTGGGATTCGAACCCAGTACACTCTGCTGCGCTCCACCAACTGAGCTACCAGGCAACTCAGTTGGTAGGGGTTCAAATCTTCAACAGAATACAACACAAGGCAAATGCAAACCTCAGTGAGTTAATGCTATGCTATTTTTATTGTCAGAGTCGTCTGGATGAGGAGCTGAGGGCGCTGCCGAGGCTGAAGCGCTACTGGCGAGGGCTTCAGAAGAAGGAGAAGCAGACAGACGAGGAGGCGAGGGAGAAGATGAAGAGACACAGTGACTTCCTCACACACCTCATGGGGATCTTCCTCCAGGTCCTCTCCTCCATCCCTAGAGAAGGTGCATGCTCACTGCATTACGTCATGTTGATGATTCTTTTAGTATGAGAGAGAAAAGTAGTCTTTCTTTACCATTCCACAAACACTGCTGATTGCCAAAACTGTAGTCTTGCCAAAACTGCTGCACATGTGTTATATGTTGAGGAGAAAGGTTTGCAATTTGTACAGAGAAAGTGAAAATGCTTGCCTCAAGAATTTTCACTTTTGAAAAACTTAACCACTCCCTCTGATGTTTCCTGCTAGCGGTATATACCATCCTGTTTTGCTAAAGGAACTCTTATATACGATGTAATGTATTTCTGGAAGCAGTGACTGTGTATTTGAGTGTGTTGGTGCAGGGGAAGTGAGTGAGGATGCAGTGAGCTACTGCGAGAGGATGCTGGAGCTGCTGACAGACCTTGAGGCCCAGCTGCCCCACCAGGAGGTTCTTCAACACTCTCCTCGACAGCAGCCACTTTATCGTGAGTCACCTTCCCTTTAATACTGTCACATTCACTGGATAATGGTCTCTTATCTTAACACACTGTTTTGCACTAGCATTTGAGTGATTCTAAGTGCATCGTGCTGCCACTTGCCACATGAAACTGTCATTAATCATATCTAACGAGCTTGATGTTGCCACCTACATGTACATGTGTACTGCCGCAGGTAAAGTGTTCTCTGTCCAACCTGGTAAAGAGAGAGCCCGAGGGCCACCTGTTCAAGCAAGTGAGTCCTACATGTAAACCCCCATCAATAATGGTTGTGATTGTCGGTTGTTTGTGTGCACAGCTATTGGAGCGCCTCAAGTTCTATGCTGGGTTTGAGATCAACGACCAATCAGGTTCCTCTCTTACTGACCACGACATGACTGACGTCCACTACAAGAGGTAGCGGCATAATAATTGCCATTCTTTCTAGCTACATTGCTTTGCCTCCAGGATCACGTCTCTGCAGCGTGCTGCGTTCAAGCTGTTTCCAGATCTACGCAGATTTGCCCTCAGCAATGTGGCGTCAGTCGACACTCAAAAGGCACTACTCTCCCACTTTGGTGGCCTCAAGTCAGTCCTTCATATTAGCTACACTTGTATATTAGCATACCACTTGAGGAAGAACACGTGAAGGCTTCAAATGGTAATGCACCTTATGCCATTTTGAACTTGCAACTTATGAAAGTGATTGGTACATAGAAAGTATACACCTGAAGTGGTTGTGGGTTCGACTATGCCGTTGTACTCTCTATACTTGCAGTCAGAGGACCCTCCACTGACATTGCGTCCCACCTCCACCTGGTTCCTCCGCTCGCCCAGTGTCCCTCACCACTGGACAGAGAGCTCCTCCTGGCTCTTCTGGTGGCCCGGCACGAGCGTCGACAGAGCCAGCTGGATGAGGTTAACGACGCTCCTCTCTACCCCACAGAGGAGGTGCTCTGGGACGAGAACGTTGTTCCCTCAGACTACTACAATGGAGAAAGTGAGGATGACCCTCTATTTGTAGCCACTCTAACATACCATATGTACAAATCTGGTTCAAGTAGAGGCTGCATTTTTGTGCAAAGTTTCCCCCAGACCGGGTGGTATTGCAAGTTATTGATCCCATACTTTTCTGGTTTATGTAGAATGATAGTACAATACATTGTGATGTAGTAGATTAGTTGAAGAGGAGTCTCTCTCTCTCTCTCCAGCCTGTCTGGCTCTGCCGAAACTGAACCTGCAGTTCCTGACACTCCACGACTACCTTCTTCGCAACTACAACCTCTTTAGACTTGAATCAACCTGTATGTCTTACATTATTGAGCACATATTTGTACATGCAGTGAACCCCCCCTCTAATCGTAGACATCAATAGTAGGGTGTCCTTTTGTCAGGGATGAAATTGAATACAAGTAAAACCTTTTGGAAAGGTGTCCTCATTCATTTCAGCAGTGTATATGTACCTACAACTGTATTGGTGTACTCGATTCTCTCCAGATGAGATACGGGAGAACATTGAAGATGTCATCAGTAGAATGAAGCCATGGTCTGTGATCTCTCTCCTCCATACCGAGGTGTATTGTAATTGCCCTATACTAACAGGGTTAACCCTGGGGGGATCACCCATTTTGCTGGATGGGCACGGATGGCTCTACCGATCACCACCTTCTCCATTGTAGAGGTATAATACACCATAGCTTGAAACCTAGCGATATACTCACCATACATTCATGTACAGTTCACTATTCCTTCTCCGTACAGGTGGGCAAGCCAAATGTAGGTGAGAATCGTCCGTCTCGAGTGAAGGCTGACATCTCTATAGAACTGACAGTCAATGACACGGTCAAGAGAGAGTGGGAAGGTACTATGTCTAAGCATATGTCTACATCCTGTACTTCCAATAATTTTACACAGACCTTCAGTATTACTGGTTGGTTTTATGCGCACATTTAGAGTCTTAGCTGTCATAAGCTACCTTAAATAGTGCACACTGCAGCTCTCATAAACTACCTTAAATAGTGCACACTGCAGCTCTCATAAACTACCTTAAATAGTGCACACTGCAGCTCTCATAAACTACCTTAAATAGTGCACACTGCGTCATCTGCCATATGCCACACCAACTAATGCAGTAGAACTCTTCAGTAAGTTTTTACAGAACAAATGGCATACAGTATTTCACCTTCCCCACTTAAGTAAAGTATTGGGTGTGGTCTAATGGATAAAGATGATTTTGTAATCTAGTGCCACAGAGCTACCACTCTTCATGTTGAGTTTGTGTGTAATGTCGACTATAGTGATGGAAGATTATCCACTTTAAAGTGCTTCCATTAACACTCGGTGCACATGCGCAGCGAAGGTTAATGTACTAGACTAGCAAGAGAGTAAATTGACAACGCATAGCCAAGCCTATCAATTACCCGTACCGCGGCATGCATATAAGTTCGACATTTCTAGTGCGCCGAGGGTTTGCACTTTAGTGCTTTCATTTGACAGGTCTTCGTAAGCACGACGTGTGTTTTGTGCTGACGGTGCGGGCCAAGATGGGTCTCCAGCAGAGGTTTGACTGGAGCAAGTCATTTGTGTCTCAGTCCGGAGTGGAGTATGTGAGGGGCTGCGAGGTGGAGGGAATGCTGGACGATAATGGCAGAGTCATCGAGGAAGGTGAGGTGTATACCTATACTCCTACCTGAGTTGCACGGTATAAGCTCAGTTGTGAGAGCGCTCGGTTAGACAGCAGAGTGTGGTAGGTTCAAATCACACCAGTGAAGCTCTTCTTTTTTTCCTTGGAATAAAGAGTTGTCCTAGGTGTAGTGGACTTGTTTGCCCTGCCTTTGCCTTTCTACCTCACCTTGTTAACCCTCGGCGCGCATGCGCAGCGAGGGTTACGGTAGTTGGTTTGTCTGTCTGTGTGTGTGTGTGTCGACGCTTATTCTGGCACTACAGGCTACGAGGCGGCCCATTAGTGATACCAGCGGCTTCAGAACTACGCGAGCCAGAAAACTAAAAAGGCGATTTTCTTGAAACGACTGCGTTCAAGAGCGACAAACTGGCACGGTCGCGGACTGCGTTGCGTGGCCCAACCCATCAATAAGCGGTACGCATGCGTATATTAGGCGCGATCAATGCGGCTCACCTCGACCTGATCCGCTTGCTCTGTGTACCTTGGAGGCACAAGAATCCACAGCGAAGGGCGTGTATCTACTACCGTGGGTAGCCCGTGTCAGACTCTCCGCGAGCTACTAGCAGGAGACTGCGGGTAAACGCCAATAGAGCCCAGCCCACCATTAGCGTTACCGCGCATGCGTAGTTCGCCGAGGGTTTGCACTTTAGTGCTTTCATTGTTGATGTAGTACACATCCAACCCACTGCTTCCCAGTTTATTGATTAGCAGTGCTTCCCAAGAGTGTCATGTGTTCGTTCTATGTACCAACAGCTCTTTAAGAAATGTTGTCCTGGGTGTATTTGCCTTAATTGACACCCGACGATTCATGTGTTTTTTTATTCGGTGCTTTGCATGTGCGTTCTTATTGCACTGAGGGTCTGTGTCATTACTGCGCCAGGTCCTGACCCGAAGCCAGTGTTGTCTGGGAACAGTAGGACGTTCCGTGTGTGGATGGACACCAATCAGTACCAGAGAGACATGGCCAGAGTTGTGAAGGGAGAAGAGGTTCTGTATGGGGCAGGGGGGGTCCAGTAGCTAACACTGAAATTCTTTGTCTCTCTTCCAGGATGTATATGAGACGTTTAATGTACTAGTGAAGAGAAAACCAAAGGAAAACAATTTCAAGGTAAATTTCTGCTCATAACCCTACCTCTACCGTATGGTAAGCTAGCTGCATAGTTGTTGAGGTGCATGGTCATAATGTATTACAGGCGGTACTGGAGACCATTAGAGCACTGATGAATGCAGAGTGTGTGGTCCCGGACTGGCTCCATGACACCTTCCTTGGCTATGGGGACCCTTCAGCCGCAAGCTATACCAGGTATATACTGCATATGTGCTGGACGAGAAGGTTTTGATGGTCCATGTTTAACCCAAAGTACAGTAGTGCATCTTGTTTTGTGGAAGGTAAGTTTTCATGGGGGACTGTCAACATTGCAAATGGTAGCTATCATCATGTTAAAAGGAGTTGGGGAAAGGGACATACGTACAACACAAAAGTCATTTCATGTGTGATGCGTATTCCTGCCAACATTCATGTTGAAAAAAGTTGTATCAGGAAAGATGGAAATACTGACTGTTGCTATAGCACTAGCAGTGATACTATCAGCTGTTGGAATTGCTGAAAGGGACACCGAAGAAGACAATTCAGTTGTAATTACAAACGAAGTGTGCTTTTCAAAATCGTGGGAGCCTTTCAAGAAAGGCATCATCTTTGTGCCTCGTTTGCAGTCGTCTTGCAGTCCACTTGGAGTACTGAGATGCTTTTGCCTCATGGGGAATCCTCATGATGGGTATAGTATTGGACACTGCATTTATGCCTGCTTCTTTTCGACACTACCCTTCCAGTGAATATCATCTGGTCAGATTTGATAACAAGTCAGTGTCAAACGGGACATGTTCCCAGTTCAATCGTGAAGGTGTCCTCTGTGGCCAGTGTAGAGAGGGATATGGACCTCCTGTCTACTCATTCAGCCCTCAAGTGTGTTCCTTGTAGAAATGTCTCTCTGTGGACTACTGCCTCACTCTATGTCCTCACTGCTTATGGTCCACTGACTGTGTTCCTTGCTGTCATAGTGTTCTTTACACTCAGTGTCAACTCTGCTCCACTGCGTGGATTTATACTTGTGTGTCAGCTATTGACTTTTAATGATGTTGTTCGGGTTCTTGTGGCATTTGTTGAAGTAGACCATATTCCTATTTCTTTCCATGTGAAAGTACTTACCTCAGTGTATGGTGTGTGGAACTTGGACTTCTTTCGGTCAGTCTACAAACCATTTTGTCTTCATCCCAGTTTGACTACACTGCAAGTCATGTCCCTGGACTACATCATAGCTGCCTATCCTCTGGTTCTGATAATTGGTATGTATGTACTGGTTGATCTGTACAGTCGTAACTATAGGCCAGTGGTGGTTGTGGGTCGAATCTTCCATCACTGCTGCATTCGCTTCAGACATCAGCTGAACATCAGGACATCCCTGGTTGATGCTTTTTGCACCTTCTTTAGCCTGTCTTATGTCAAGTTCTTGAGTACCTCTGTTAACTTGTTGATGTCTACAAGACTATGGAGCACAGAAGAAGATCTCACCGTGTGTACTTTGATGGAACCATGGAGTTTTTCAGAAAAGACCATATTCCTTTTGCCATCACTGCAATAACTCTTGTTTTACTGTGCAATATTCTTCCTCTCATTGGCATTTTATTGTACTCTTTTCCAAGGGTACATGTATTATCCAACGTTCTTCCTGCCCTGCCTTTCATGGACAACATTCTTGCCTGTTACAAAGATGGAAAGAATGGCACCAGAAACTGCCGATATTATGGAGTCGTCTACCATTTGGCACTTTTAACTCTGTTATTCTGCTACTTATGGGCAGAGGCAGCAATTGTATTAACACTCAATGCATTTGTATGTATTGTGGTGGGCATGCTAGTGGCAGTGATACAGCCCCTACAAATCCAAGCTCTACAACACAGTTGACATCATCTTGATCCTTGGAGTTGGTCTGAGCTATGTTGGAGCCATGTGTTCTTTGATTGCATTCATCGAAGTCCCTTACCAACAAGTCACAAGCATAGTGTTGGTCACAGTCCCGGCTGTTTTTCCTTTCCTCTACATACTTGGGTACGTTTTCTCCAAGAGTCTTCGGAAGCTTTGGAGGCAGTCTTTCACCATCAAAAGGAGGATACTTGGTCCTCTCTGGGTCAGAATGTCAGAGGATGAATCCTTACTCCCCCTTCTTAACAGTTGAAAGACTGCCATCAACTTGTAAAACGTGCACGTGTGATACGTTACAAGATAATTATAGTTCCTTACCCGTGTCACTTGTATTTTTGGTGGATATTCATCTAGTTAATACTGTTGTACCAAATTGTATAAAAAAATATTTTACCCCTAAGTCTGCCAGTCTAATTGCCTATGCTAGTTTATGCTAGTAACTGCGATAATGACTTTTCCAAAAGGATAATCTTGGCTTGCTTTCAGTTTATGAATAACAGATTATTTTTTAAATGCTCTATAAATTAGTAGGATTTACTTTCCTATCAGTTTTTGATTCTGAAAAATGGGGAGCATGACCCGTCACCTTTTTCTACTGACTCTGAAAAGAGCAGCCCTCAACAGAGTGGAAAAAATGAGGACTAGTTGTTCCCACCTCATGTGTTAAATGTGCATGTGTGCCTTCCTTCACACTGCAGAGGTATATACTCATAGCCCTCCGCCCATCAATTAGCGGTACCACGCACGTGCAGTACGCCAGGGTTTGCACTTTAGTGCTTCTCATTAGTTGGTGTGCTTTATATAGAGCCAGGACGCTATAAGCTCAGAATGTCATTTCTCAATGATGGAGAAAGTGACCAGTTTCATGATTCTCACTGCAAATGCAGCAAATTTGGACATCGTAGGTTATTCCTAGCCTTTTACATTTCCTAGTATATAGCACTTTCAATTTCTCAGTGTGTTTTTTCATGTTTCCGTTCAGCGGTCATTTGTCATTTGAAGCACAGGTGTTTGTTTTTTTCATGTTTCCTTTCAGCGGTCATTTGTCATTTGAAGCGCAGGTGTTTTTTTTTTCATGTTTACTTTCAGCGGTCATTTGTTATTTGAAGCGCAGGTGTTTGTTTTTTCATGAAAAAACATGTTTATAGCATACTAGCTCAGAGGAAAAGAAAGAACCTCCCCCACCCAAGCACACAAAACACAGACAATAACATACCCAAGCGTACAAAAACAGACAATAACATATAAACAGAAAGAAAGAGGCAGGACCCTGGGTGCCCAGCCTTGAGAACCGGGGCGGTAGGTTAAAGAGTCTTTTATGGGCCCAACTCTCCCTACACACCCAGTGTCCCAACCTCCCTTACACATAGTTATAAAATAAATAGATAGAAATCATGTACAAAAAACGACAGCTACAGGATAAAAACAACAGCCGGTAGAAAAATAGAAAGCCTCAAAGGACCAATAAACTCATAGAAAAATATAAAAACTCTGAAACTCACGCAGCACGACGACACGACGGAGACATAAAAAACGTGCGATTATTCTAAATAACGCACAGCATATACACGTGTAAGAAAAATAGAAAAAATAGAACTCCTAAAATAAGATTAATAGTTCTGTCGATTACTTTAAATAACGCACAGCATATACACGTGTAAGAAAAATATAAATAATATAAATAATAGTAGAAATGGTAGAAATAGAAATGTTAAAAATAGATTATTCAAAATAAATATGTGACTATAAATATACATTCTATCTATGCGACACATGTTTACTTTCAGCGGTCATTTGTTATTTGAAGCACAGGTGTTTGTTTTTTTCATGTTTACTTTTGTCATTTGAAGCACTCTGTACTAGGGTTTTTTTTCCTTTTCATGTGAGTCAAAGTACTCTGTGCCTACAACTAGGTTGTTTTACCTGCTATTCTAGTGCTTATAGGTTTGGGTTGATTATCCAATCGGCTACTTGCTACTGAAGTAAGCTTGCTAGAGAACAGTATGGCAACAGCAATCCCTCTACTGATGCTTGTAGCTGTTGCCAGCAATGGTCTATGTGAGAGCTATCAATACCAACCAACAGTCAGTGATAGAGATACGAATTTAACTTGTTTTCCTGATTCATGGAAGGAGTTAGAGAAACACTATATTATCATGTTGAAGTCCAAAGACACTTGCAGTCCAGTTGAGGTACTAAGATGCTACTGTCTCTCCTTGAGTGCTAATGCCATTTATAGCATAGGGAGGTGCTTTTATGGCTGTTTCTTTTACCGTCCTCGCGGTCAATATCATCTGGTCAGATTTGATAACAAGTCAGAGTCAAACGGGACATGTTCCCAGTTCAATCGTGAAGGTGTCCTCTGTGGCCAGTGTAGAGAGGGATATGGACCTCCTGTCTACTCATTCAGTCTCAAGTGTGTTCCTTGTAGAAATGTCTCTCTGTGGACTACTGCCTCACTCTATGTCCTCACTGCTTATGGTCCACTGACTGTGTTCCTTGCTGTCATAGTGTTCTTTACACTCAGTGTCAACTCTGCTCCACTGCGTGGATTTATACTTGTGTGTCAGCTATTGACTTTTAATGATGTTGTTCGGGTTCTTGTGGCATATATTGAAGTAGACCATAGTCCTAGTGCTTTCCATGTGGAAGTACTTACCTCAGTGTATGGTGTGTGGAACTTGGACTTCTTTCGGTCGGTCTACAAACCATTTTGTCTTCATCCCAGTTTGACTACACTGCAAGTCATGTCCCTGGACTACATCATAGCTGCCTATCCTCTGGTTCTGATAATTGGTATGTATGTACTGGTTGATATGTACAGTCGTAACTATAGGCCAGTGGTGGTTGTGGGTCGAATCTTCCATCACTGCTGCATTCGCTTCAGACATCAGCTGAACATCAGGACATCCCTGGTTGATGCTTTTTGCACCTTCTTTAGCCTGTCTTATGTCAAGTTCTTGAGTACCTCTGTTAACTTGTTGATGTATGCAACAGTATGGAACACTGACAATACAAGATCTCACCGTGTGTACTTTGATGGAACCATGGAGTATTTCAGAGGAGACCACATCCCTTTTGCTGCCACTGCAGTAACTCTTATAACACTCTGCAATGTTCTACCTCTCATTATCATTCTGCTGTATGCCTTCCCCAGAACACATGTAGTCCTCAACATTCTCCCTGCGTCTGTTAGAGCTGCAATGTTCCCTTTCATGGACAACATTCTTGCCTGTTACAAAGATGGAACTAATGGCACCAGAAACTGCAGATATTTTGGAGTTGTCTACCATTTGGCGATGGTAGCCTACATGTTGCCTTATACCCTAACACCATCTATGATGGTATATGGACTGAATGCATTTGTATGCATTGTGGTGGGCATGCTAGTGGCAGTGATACAGCCCTACAAATCCAAGCTCTACAACACAGTTGACATCATCTTGATCCTTGGAGTTGGTCTGAGCTATGTTGGAGCCGTGTGTTTACTTCTCACGTATTATGAGGTAGAGTATAAACAACAATTGGATTAGTACTGACCACTGTTCCAGCTACCATTCCGTTGTTCTATATAGCTGGCTTTATCGTCTACAAATGTTTAAGCAAGATTTACAACTGCTGGAGTTGTCTTTTTACCCCCTGGGTAAAACTTAAACTTCGCCTTTCATCCCTTTTTGTTCGCAGTAATAACAGCGAACTGTCCTTCTTGACACAATGAGATTAAGAGCATAAACATATTTTGGGCACAAGACACAGTACACTTATCCAATACAGGACATGGCAGTTTACTCGTGAACATGCTGCTGTTTCCTTGTATACATTCTCTGGCACCAAAAACTTTCGACAAAATGCAATAGGCTCTCCAATTGTTTAACACACTATTTTTGCACTTTTTGTATTATTCATGCAAACAGTAAGTAAACTGCAAGTGGGAAAAGCCAACTGTTGTTTCACTGTTTATACTATCTATATATGTGGGAAGATCAATGGTGCTGCCATACTCACATAATATAATTGACATCATCTTGATCCTTGGAGTTGGTCTGAGCTATGTTGGAGCCATGTGTTCTTTGATTGCATTCATCGAAGTCCCTTACCAACAAGTCACAAGCATAGTATTGGTCACAGTCCCGGCTGTTTTTCCTTTCCTCTACACACTTGGGTACGTTTTCTCCAAGAGTGTTCGGAAGCTTTGGAGGCGGTCTTTCACCATCAAAAGGAGGATACTTGGTCCTCTCTGGGTCAGAATGTCAGAGGATGAATCCTTACTCCCCCTTCTTAACAGTTGAAAGACTGTGCCATCAACTTGTAAAACGTGCAAGTGTGACATGTTACAAGATATACAGTAGTTCCTTACCTGTGTCACTTGTATTTTTGGTGGATATTCATCTAGTTAATACTGTTGTACCAAATTGTATAATATTTTCCCCCTAAGTCTGCCAGTCTAATTGGGCAATAACTATGCTAGTTTATGCTAGTAACTGCGATAATGACTTTTCCAAAAGGATAATCTTGGCTTGCTTTCAGTTTATGTACCTATAATATGAATAATTAATTCTGATTTACTTTCCTATCAGTTTTTGATTCTGAAAAATGGGGAGCATGACCCGTCACTTTTTTCTACTGACTCTGAAAAGAGCAGCCCTCAACAGAGTGAAAAAATGAGGGTCAGACCTTTTAACCACCTCGTGTTAAATCATGTGTGCCTTCCTTCACACTGCAGAGGTATATACTCATAGCCCTCCGCCCATCAATTAGCGGTACCACGCACGCGCAGTAGGCCGAGGGTTTGCACTTTAGTGCTTCTCATTAGTTGGTGTGCTTTATATAGAGCCAGGACGCTATAACGAGGCTTAAGCTCAGAATGTTGAGTTTTGCATTTCTCAATGAAAAGCACTAAAGTGCAAACCCTCGGCGAAGTAGCTCGCAGAGAGCCTGACACGGGCTAGCTACAGTAGTAGATAGCACGCGAGAGTCGATACACGCCATTCGTTGTGACTTGTGCCTTCAACATAGACAGAGCAAGCGGACCCGGTCGAGCCTGTGCTAAATATAAGCGCATGCGCATTATCCGCCAGCGATAAAATGGCTACTACCGGTATTAGCCATACAATGCTGGAAGCGCTCTAGCTCTGCAACGGAGCATTTTCAGAGAAAACCCCACATATTTTCTGACCTTCGTCGCCCGTTGGGTAGATGGTATCGTTTCTGGGACGAACAGACATTCGAGAGGTGAGATGTAGAGTAACAGACAGACACACGGACACACAGACAAACCCAACTACTGTAACCCTCGCGCGCCGAGGGTTAATGAGGGAGAAAGCAATTTCATGATTTCACTGCAAATATAGCAAATTTGGACATCATAGGCTATTCCTAGCATTTTAGTAGCACTTTCAATTTCCCAGTGTGTTTTTTCATGCCTTTCAGCTGTCATTTGTCATTTGAAGCACTCTGTGTCTACTACTGGGTAGTTCCTTTCAGTGTGCATTAGTCAAAGTGCTCTGTGCCTACAACTAGGTAGTTTTACCTGCTATTCTAGTGCTAATAGGTTTGGGTTGATTATCCAATCGGCTACTTGCTACTGAAGTAAGCTTGCTAGAGAACAGTATGGCAACAGCAATCCCTCTACTGATGCTTGTAGCTGTTGGCCTTGCCAGCAATGGTCTATGTGAGAGCTATCAATACCAACCAACAGTCAGTGATAGAGATACGAATTTAACTTGTTTTCCTGATTCATGGAAGGAGTTAGAGAAACACTATATTATCATGTTGAAGTCCAAAGACACTTGCAGTCCAGTTGAGGTACTAAGATGCTACTGTCTCTCCTTGAGTGCTAATGCCATTTATAGCATAGGGAGGTGCTTTTACAGCTGTTTCTTTTACCGTCCTCGCGGTCAATATCATCTGGTC